AGCTATCCTAGGGGAAGCATCCCTAGGGAGTAAGGCCTGTAATCTGGGTTTAAGGCCTTAACCCCAGATTAGGGAGGATGAGTATGCCTTAGGGAATCCCTTTTAGGGATATCTTCCCGATGCCAACGTAACCGCGTGGTTCGTTGTTGTACCCAGCCAAGTTGCTTATTTAATTCCGACTTTCCAACGTGTTGCAGTGGAGAAAACCGATGCGAAGAAACGCACGTTGGGAATGCATGCATAGCCGGCACTTTTTTCCGTTGAAAACAGCTGCTATATTTACAGCAAGCTAGTTGCGCACGTCCACACCACGAGTAGTGTCTGAATTCGTTTTAACAAGAATTTGATACAGTGTCCATGTGTATTGGCTGCTTTATTTGCGGAGTGTGTAGTTCTGTAGCATGTGCGTGGTAGTGCTTTGGGTATCATCCAGCGAGTTGCAGCAGCGAGTGCATGCATGGTATGGTGTAGCTAGATTGTTCGGTGTCGTCTTGCGTGTCCCGCATTGCATTGCATTGCATTGCAGTGCAGTGCAGTGCAGTGCAGTGCAGTGCAGTGCAGTGCAGTGCAGTGCAGTGCAGTGCAGTGCAGTGCAGTGCAGTGCAGTGCAGTGCAGTGCAGTGCAGTGCTTGCTTCATAGCTGCTGATGGATGGGTAGAGGCCATGAATTGTCAGATATTCTAAGCGATATTTACTTAATTGTCCGGTTGCCGTTAATGATTAATGGTTGATAATCAGTTTGACGTTCCTTATGCGTGTTAATTGTGGAGCCGCGGTTATTAGTGTGAATCCGTACACACTTATAACTTGACCAGCGCAGGCAGGGGCCGCGGCTTGCTCATGCCCACCCGAGTGCATGAATGACTTCACGTAGCCCCTCGGCAGAGCTGAACACACGTGAAGCAAGTGTCCACCTGCGGGAGCGCGCGCATGTGTTGAACGCAGATAGCGACACGCACCCTATTAATGCTGACCTTGCTTTTAATGGATAAATCTGAATTTGTTATATTGTGAATGCATTTCCCGAGTTGTTTGTCAGGCCAGTGGTGCAATGAGCAAACGCCTTTTATGCGATATCACACTTTACACGTACCCTGCTTACACTGTAAAAGCTGGTCATCAAGAAACGTGTGCAAAGCTTGCCATTGTCAGGCACCCCAGCTTATTACGTACATGGCATATGCACGAACGCATTCCTTTTAGTGTGCTGGTGCCGTTTCATTTGCTGCCTTAATTTTTCTCAATTTTCACTGTTGCCCTATGCAGCCACCCGTGTGCCGGGAGCATTTTATGGTACTGCACGCACGGCATCTCCGTCATCTCGCACAAGCTGCCGTGTGCGTGAGCGGGTGTATGTTGCCATCACATTCGTCTCTTCTGCTTTATGATCTACCAATTGGCACGGTTTCCTTATAAAGAACCGCATACATTTGCCGATCTAATTGCCGCCGAGCGAGCGATGACGTGCGGAAATAACCAACTAACAGTTTTGTTCCGGGCATGCGTATGGTGCGTATGGTGATGGCCGGTAGTTTGTGCTGTCCCCCCATGCGCACGTACCATTTCTCTGGTATGGGCGTTGTAAGGACCGCCGCTAGGACATGTCAGGCCCCGGTGTGCAACTTATATTTACGTTCGCCTGGGTCAACTGTTTATCTCACCTTAATGATTGTATCGAGGTCCGAGGTTAATACCCAAGGCATGCTTTGAGTTCGGGATGTGAATCTTGTCACACAGGGCGCTCGGTACTGCACGCCCTTGCGTGTGGGGCTTAAGCTTGTGACTGGGTTAGTTTACAACAATGCGCAGGCTTTTGCATGTTTCAATCGCAATAATACTTCCCCTTGTAAATCCTACATACATTATCGTGCACCATCACCGCGCCATCGGTCCGAGAATGCGAAATGTTACGGGCAGGCAGCTTCCGAAGCTCAGTCCGAGTCGGAGGTGGCGTAAGCTTGCCTTGGACGAAGAGGGGCCTCTTCAAGAAGTTCTTCTCTCATATGCCTGATGGTCAGGCGTTTACCATTTTACCTCATCACTCGACTGTACACTCCAGGATGTAGCCCTGTACGTGCCACTGTAGTAACTGGCCGCTGAAATAATTAGTGATGCCGTAACCTTGCTTGCGTCCAAACTCCTGCCGAATATGTTGTTCGCGAAGAGTATATAATACCGTACTGCGCGTGCTCGACAATTCGTTATTAATTCGTCCGCATTGCTTTTTGTGTGCGCCGCATGGGCGCGTGCAGGTACCTGTGCAGGCCACACAGCATTCCATTTTGGGGCGTGCACATGCAGCGGCTGCATATGGGCTGCATCGTTTTACGTGGCATATGGAACACGGGGGGTTTCCCCCAGAAGCTTAACTCATGAATATTGAGGCCAAAGCGGCCAAGCTTATTGATAGGAACCTCGGACCGGTAGCACAAGAAAGACGACTCACCGGGGTTCCTAAATATTTGTTATATGGCCATCCAACTGTGGGCGGTTTTGGGGCATTAGCAGTACGACAACATGTGCAAGCGCGATGGGCATGCTGGGCAGTGCGTTTTGTGGGAGCATTACTCCAGCCAGTCTTAGTGCGTCCGCCTTGGGTGATGGTCATGCAATCTTTCCTACATAGCCTTTACCCCAAATATAGTCCTATGTGTATTTTTACGTCCCAGGTGGGAGTGCCTTGGTTTGGATTAATCGTTTTACCGCCAGATGTTCAGCGCATTGTGACAGCGTTGGCATACCTTCCCCCAGTGGAAGATGTTGATGATCACCCGTTAGTTCCTAATGCGTGGTGTTGGAATTTGCCATTGTGGGGAAACCCTGTTCTTCCAGAAAAAAGGGTGAATGTCCAGTTAGATAACATCCGCCCGGGACTAGAATTTCGACATCAGGCCCTACTGGGCTGTAAAGCATTGCATACGTTGGGGGATGTTCTTTGCGCGCGCGAGGCCTTGGATGGAGTTATGAATGCAACGGACCAAGCAGGCCTAGCAATACGCAAGGCTTGGCATCAAATAGTGGATCAATACCTCCAACCGCAAACCCCACTAGCTAAATCCCTGTGCACCTATCGTAAATGGCAGGAATGTATGGATGCTATTGGCGTTCTTCTAGATGATATTCCAGCGAATTGGAGACAGGCGGCTAGTCTTTTGTTGCCGCTGAGTGTAGAATCTAGGGAAGCAATGGTGCCCCCTATTGAGTCGGTTACCCAAACCCTAGTGTCGAGGCTTGGTTGGAGATGGGGTGTAGGGCCTCCAATCCGATTCCAACACTTATCCGTTAAAATAGCGACTAATATGCAACTTTCACATTTTTCGATGGCTCGCCGTGTGGCCCATACCCTTTTCATCAAAGAGGCGACGGGTTCTTCTGAGATATTAGATGAAGCTATTCTTCTTTTGCAACGGACATTCCATCGTTTATGGTTTCATTTACGGTGGGAAAATGAACAAAAAGAGGTTTGGTGGCGTCTCGCAGTTGATGGGGTGCCTATGTTAGAAAATTCCCATCTTAGGATGTCGCGCCCAACGATTTGTGGTTGTGGAGGTTATCCAATAGGTTCAGTGGGAGGTGTATCCCCTCGCTATCATCATTTCTGGGCTTGTCCGGTGGCACAGGCAGTAGCAGATCAACTTACTCTTTCAATAGGAATGCCAGTCTCAAGGAAGCAACTTTGGCTTATCCAAGCCCCACAATCAGTGCAACAATGTGTTTGGGATGTTGTGGCTCTTGCTGCGGTGTCAGCCATGGAGCATGGGAGACGTTATATGGCTGCAAACATCAAAACCAACCCGGCACTGTTACCTGGCCCTTCCCTTACGGAAGAAGCAATTTGTCGAGTTATTGTTGACTTTTGGGGCCGCATTCAGGGTTTCGCAGCTTTGGGAATTCCACGGAAAGGTTGGGATTCCGTTGGCGTACATCACCCCTTCTTGAGAATTATATCTGGCAAATTGATGTGCTCGCGAGAGCGGTTACCGATGAGAGGTTAATTATCTGAGGTGATAATCTTTTGGTATATTAGTCTCTACTGCAGTGCACGGCCAGCTGGCCCGATGGCTCTACTCTTCGAGAGTCTGGAGCCCACTGTAACAACCACACACACACACACTGCAGCGAAGGTGGGCGGAGCCCCCTGCTGATCTCGTGGGGCCCATCTGCCCGCCTGCCTATTTACACGCCAGTCTACTTGTCTGCCTGCTTGCGGCGTCCTGTGTGCCTGCCTGCCTGCGTCCTGGAGTGCGTCTGCGTCTCCGCTTGCGTAGGTTAACTAAAGTCATCCTGCCAAACCAAAGTCCTTACTTTAAAGTGGATTTTTCCATATTACATATGTCGTAAGGTTACAGTCTACGCAATTTAAGAAGTTCTGTACTGATGCAATTTCCACACGCGATTTGCCGCAAAGCCGATCGATACACCAAAAGCACTTTCTCATCACAATCACAACTCAGGGCAGACCAGGCTTGCTCAGGAGTAAAGCAGTGCATGTTCCATGTTTGACTTTGTACGTATGGCTACATACGACCGGACCGGACCGGATCCGGATGCCGGTCCGCAATAACCAGCGGCCTTAACCAGCGCCTCAGTCGCTTCACACCAAACGCATTTTACATTTTTATTATCAATACAGTTTAACGCTATTCTCTGACGGACCACTTGATTTCATTGTCAAGAGTGGAAGTCAAAAAGAGTGGACTGCTACTGCGACCTGGGCAGCGTGAGACTAACAGGGCGGGCGGCGGGAAGTAAGTGCAAGTGAACAGCTACAAGTACTAGTACGTGCCTATTTGAACCAAATCAACTTTCCGCCCGAAATAAACGTCTCTGTCCCTCCCCTTGCTTCAGTGCCTCAGGTGTCTCTGTCCTTCCGCAGCATCACCACTCGTAGCACTGCTCCTCCAATGCCTACACTTGGGGCTTGTCCCCTTCTCCTGCCGCTTCCATGTTTCGCCAGGAGAGGCGGCCGCCCACCCCTCCTCCCGCTCTTCACATGCGTCTCACACATCCTTATCTGACCACACGTCCTCACACGCCCTCTCTAGCTCGCTCCGTGGCAGCAGGGACGCCTTCCCTCGCATCCTCACCAGCGCCTCGACCTCCACCCGCCGCCGCCGTACAAGCGACCTCAGCTCCCGCTGCTGTGCGCCGCTGCCGTACCCACTCGCATTCCCGTTAAACAGCTGCACCGAAACCAACGCTGATGGGCCCACAACCGACAGCCACCCATTGCACAACTGCTGGTGGTGGTGGTGGTGCTGCTGCTGCTGCCTGTGGACTTGCAGGGGCCGAATGGCTGTAGCCCCCACCGGTGGCACCCCTGCTGGCACCACCGCCGTCATGGCCATGCCGCTGCCGCCACCAGCCCTCAAGGGCACCGCCAGCAACGGCAGGGGCCCCTGTCCGGCTCTGCGAGCAAATGCGTCTCGCACGTAGCAGAGGCTGGCCAGCAGCGGCACGGCAATACTGTCGCCACCACCGACGCCACCACTGCCGCTACTACCGGCATTTACATGCCACGACGCCCACACCAGGCCCTGCAGCTGGTCCGCTTCTCTCTCCGAAATCAGCACCATCTGACCGCTGGGGAACAGCAGGACCGCGTCCACAGGGCGCAGGTACTCGTTCAGGTCTCCTTCCTTTCCACAGCGAGATGTTGTGAATGTCGCGCGTGTTCTCGCGGTGGTGGTACACAGGAAGTTGGCGGTGCAGAGGACTTCTGCAGACCAGGAGAGCGAAGCCAGACTGCTCGGCCATAGCAGCCCCGAAACCGCATCGCGGAGCGCAACAAGCCGTGCATCACTGTCAAGCTGCGCCGGTGACGCCGCTGCTAACGCAGTGCCGTAATTCCAGTCGCACTCAGTCGCCGGCGACACGTGTGGCACCTCAACTTCTCTCTCCTTCTCCCTCTCCCTCTCCTCCTCAAGCTCCCGCTCGCATTCCTCGTCGCCTGCGGCCACCGCGCCGCCACCGGCCGCGACCATGTGGCCCCTGCCGTACAGAGCCGCTTGGTCCCCAATACGCATCATTAGATCAGCCGCATGGGCCGACAGGCCGCCACTGCCATCACCGCCGCCACTGCCATCGCGGCAATGATGCAACCGCTGCCGCACCTTGGATGCCACCACCTCCCCCACCGGCTGTGGCGCCTTGCTACCGCCGTACAGCGGCCCCAGCTCCAGAACCTCATCGTGCAGGGCCCGCTCTGGCGCATCCTTGGTGGCAGCAAAGTGCAGTCCATGTGTCGACCACTGCATTACACCACCCAGCGTCGCCGTAACGGTATTGGCCATCACCCAGAGAAGCACATGCAGTGCCGTCGTTGGCTGCTGCTGACCCCCACGCAGGCGGCTATCGGAAACAGTACTGTTCCCGGTGTCGGCAGCCTTAGAAGATGTATGCCTGGCGAAGAAGGCCCTAATGTGCCGCAACATATGCAGCCGCGGCAGCGCAATCGGCAGTCCAGATGCTCCTGCACCATCAGCACCTGGCTCCGCTGCCGGCAAGCCGCTAAGCCGCCTGACCTTGGCCGTCACATCCGGCGGGGCGGCAAAGTGCAGTCGTTGGCCACGACCTAGCTGCCTCAGCCTCCCCGCCGCCTGCATCAGCTTGTCCTTACACACGCTGGGTCCAAGAGTCAAGAGCCCGACTGCACCCGGTCGCAGCTGCAGGTCAGCTCCGCGGCACCGTGCATCATCGTAAATGACCAGCGTCTGCCGCTCCATGATGGCTGAGGCGTGGCGCGGCAGTCGGCGGCCCCTCAGGTCGCCCACGGTCCAGCTGCGCAGGGCCTCGTCGAAGTACGTCACGCCCTGGTAACGGTGCCCGTCCAGACGGGCCAGCAGGTAATCGGCGGCGTCCCTGGATTTGAGGGCACGAATTATTGGCGGTAGGTTGAACGATTGGTTTCGGAGTTGGCGGCAGCTAGGGGTAGGAAGGAAGAATCATGCTCGCTTGCTGCGTGCAAACTATATGCAATCGATTCCATCCTGGTACCAGCTGGCAATGGTGGGTGCGTAGTAGTTCTACTGTTGGCTACAGGTGTCAGTTAAGCAGAGCAACCACCGCTCCGATAGGTCGCTATATCGGTCAATAATGACAACCGACAACCAGCAACAGCAAGGCGAGGAGGAAATGAAGGAATATGTGCTTTTTCCACCTTGTTATTCTTTTGCTCACACACACAGATGTACACACGCGTTCACATGCATGCACACAATCACGCACACCAACACACATAACGCACACACACACGCGCACACACACGCGCACACAAACACGCGTGCACACGCATGCACACACACATGCACACACACACACGCACATCACACATCGCACCTGTTACTCGCCCCTGCCAGCAGCGCCCCGCAGTCCAGCAGTGCGTCCACCCCCTCATCCAGTGCCGTGTCGAGAAGCACCTGCCACAGCGGCCGCTCGTCAGGGCAGAAGCCCTGGGCAGCACCCGCACCAGCTGCATCACAATGACCACCGCCGCCACCAGCGCCGCCAGCAGCAGCAGGAGTCCCGTCCATGTTGACCTGCGAGCCGAGGGGGAAGTTGTCTTAAGGCTGCATACATGCCATGTCCCCAGTCGAACCCAATTACATGTGGACCCTGCCCCTGTGCCGGTCTCTGGGTGAACGCGGGGACACGGCTATGGATATCCAGAACCCCAGCGGGAAACTACTACTCAAGCAGCAGCAGTTGGCCCAAATCAAGGACACTAACAAGAGGCCAACGCACGTGCAGCGCTGGCCTTTCATGTGATACTGATTAAGTGACAGAAGCTTTCCAGAACAAATTGATCATCGCCTTAACCATGCCATCACTCCCTGCATGTAGCGGCACACGCACCGGCTGATTCTCCCGTTGTCGTAGTCGCAAGGCGGCTACCTGCCCCTGCCCCTGCTGCGGTGTGGTGCCCGTATGCAGCGTTGTGTAGCCCAGCGTATTGCTGAGGATGACGTCCAGCATCTTGCCGTTAGTGGCCCGCAGCGAGGGGTTCTCCGGTCGGGCTTGGTGCACTTGCAGCGGCAGCAGCCGGTGGTTGTCATTGGTGCCGGAGAAGCCAACCACAGCCACCCGGGCATCCACCCTCTGCTGGCCACTGCCATCGCTGCAAGGGCCGCCGCTGCTAATGCCGTCCTTGCAGTAGGTATCCGCAAGGTTCCAGGCGCTAGCAGCCAGGCGCTGCGGGAACTGACGGCTCTCCGAGGGGAAGACGCAGTGGTTGAGCCAGAAGTCGATTAGCCCGGTGTTGTACCGCAGATAGCCGTACATGAGATCCAGTTGCGGCTCGTTGGTGACGTCAACCTTGGCCACACAGTCGAATTTGGCCAGGTCCTCTGCATGCGCGTGTGAAAGAGTTGCGTGGGTTGCTGTATGGGTGGGGCCGGATTATGGCGAAATGTTAGGTGGGCTATGCTGCTGGACAATACGAGGCCGGACAGAGATGTTATAAGCAAACACAAGGTATAAGCAAATGCAGGGGGCAGCGGACCATGCAGGCACCTGCAGTATATTCGCGCCATAGCAGGCACAAGTAGTTGGTACGGAGAGGCCCAACCGCCCCAGACAGCAGGAAGTCAAAGACCCTCCACGCTCACCTGCGGGTATCTCGCCTCGTCCCAACCGCAGCCAGCCCTCGTAAAAGTCCCGCTGCACGTTGAGGCCCATACCCAGAAGTGTGACCAGAGCCTCCCGGAGCTCGTGTCGCGATAGCCCGTCATAGTAGTACGACAGATTAGTAAGCAGGAGCGCTACGTCCGGCTGTGCAAACTCGCTGCGCTCGGAGGGTGTGTGAGCGGCACGGTACGGCACCGCCATTCGCTTGCGGCTCCCGGGTCGCCTGATCAGGGTGGGAAGTGAAGAGGAGTGGGGAGTCTGAGGTGTTTGCGACGGCGCGCAACCAAATGAGTGTTGCATAGGCTGCTACCCACCGCAACGGACTAAGGGCTCGAAGGCATATAGAAATCAACCGAACCCTAACTCCTCCCCATCCCCCTCAACCCGCCCACCCTTTACTACCTGTTTACTCCGTACTCCACTCTGTGCCTCTTCTGCAGGCAGTGCTGCATCAGGCCGCCCGCCAGCAGCCCCCTCAGCGCCAGCACCACAGCCACCTGGGATCCAGTCAACTGCTCCCGGGAGGGACCCTCCGCATCCGGACCCAGGAGCGCCTCACATGACTGGCCATCCTCAGTGAGGCAGTTCAGGATGCGGACCTGCAAACAAGTGGAACAAGAAAAGGACACGGATAATACACATACACACACATACACGCGTGTGCATCAAACCGAGGAGATGAGCTATGTTAACGGGCAGTGCGTTTTGGAATGCGGCTTTCAGGATGTGCCCCTGCGCAACGTACTCATTAATTAGATGCAGTGTGACGGGGTGTGCGAAGAACATGCACAGCGCGAAGTCATGACCGGCGTACGGCATCACGCGCCCCAAGTGGGTCCCACGTGTAACGGCCTTGGCTCTGCGTATGGGGATTGATGCGGGCCCGTCCTGCACCACCAGTACCGAGATCGTCTCTGTTAGCACTCGCGCTTCGTACCCGTAGGGGATGGTGTTGGAGCCACCTCAGCTCGTACGGCGGCTCGTCCATCAGCGCCTCCGCCAGCCGGCGGTGCCACCCAGGCAGTGACGCGGTGAGAGCGTCCCCCGGCAACAAACGCAATCCACTGAATGACCCCGGGCAGCGGTGGAGAGGAGGCTCCAGCACTGCTGAGCCGGGCAGCAGCAGTAATGGCTGGGGCTGCTGGCTGTGGGATGCCATTGGCTGGTTGCCACTGTTCTCCGCCACCGCAAGGCGCGAACCGACGGCCAACAGGGCCTGCATGGCGATAGCCCGCTCCTGGATGTGGGGCAGGTCGATTTGGGCTCCACATGCATAGACAAGCTGCAGCCTGCAACGGCGGGGGGGTACAGTGCGTTGGGGAGGGGGGCCTGTGCAGGCGATGGCGGCACAGGGCTGGGCGGTGCAGGCGATGGTGGTGCTGGGCTGGGAGGTGCAGGTGATGGCGGTGCTGCGCTGGGCTGTGCAGGTGATGGCGGTGCTGGGCTGGGAGGTGCAGGTGATGGCGGTGCTGGGCTGGGCTGTGCAGGAGATGGCAGTGCGGGGCTAGGTGACAAGCTGTCGGACAGAGCGCCTAAGCCTGAGGAGCGAGGTGCAGTGTTAGGCGGGATAGTGACCTCCCCTCTCAGTCTTGCAGCGCTCCTGCCCGCCGCCATAAAACAGGCAAGATGGTCTTCCTTAGCTTTAGGAGGCTCATGTGGAGGCGAGTGGTGGCGCCTGCTGGTCCAAGCATCTGACCAAATGCGTCTCTTCTATCCGTCCACGAGGCAATGGTGGTTATTATTGCCCCGCGGTATGGTCATACCCGATAACCCGTGTTAATGCGGACACACCGTACCTGTGGTGCAGCAGCTCGTCACTCTCGTCCAAAATGTCCAAGTACGGCAACGAAGCCAATTGGTCCAGCGCCGCCACGGCGGCCGCCACAACATCTTGGCTCTCCGGTCTCGATTGCTGTTGCTCCCACATCTCCTGGCGCCTCAGCAGCAGTGATAATCGGTGCTCAGGAGCCACTAGCAGCAGACCTCCCTCCTGGGGTGTATGTGGTAGAGGAGTGGGTGGGACGGGCGGCACTTGTACGGTGTATTCAGAGCTTGCAGAAAATACACAACGCGCGGAACATGGACAGTACAGGTGGGATAATGCCTGGATAAACAAAATAGTTCAATTACGGGAAGTGGTGCTTTCCTAAGACAGGAAGGTGTGTCGATACATCACACATGTATTGCATTCACATGACCACCGACAGCACATTTCTGCCTACCGCCGTACACACGTACCCGTTTGCAGTACAGCAGGCTGGCCGTCATGGCCCGGGCTCCCGCCTCCGTGACAGACACATCCCGGTTGAAGTGCAGCGTGAAAAGCTTGCGGCCGAGCACCCCAGCACACAGGTGCAGATGCAGGTGGCAGTAAGCCTCCTCAAGCAGCGTGGAGAGGAAGTTCAGACGCACCTGCATGAATGCATGAATATGCAGGTGCAGGGTTTTTAAAGGCTGCATAGCCTTTAACAGTTTGATGCACGGCATGTACGGCAGATTCAGTACGAGATGATATACGTAACGGCATGATGGGCCCGGCACGAGTGTACAGCCATCTGGGTACGGAGCATCACGAAGACCAGGCAGAATTGATGGATTAAGAAATGTACACTATGGTGTACGGCAAAGAGGTGGTCAGGCACAGGCCAAATACAGGGGACGGGCAGCATGACAAGGGATCAGTCATCGGCAAACGCGTCCGTACCGAAACTCCCGAAAACAGAAATAGAGTTCCCGAAGCTGGCCGACTTGCATGAATAGGATCATACGCCGTATACGAAAGATGTTATACGGCCCGAAACCGTCAATGATGAAGAACAGGTCGCGGGCCATTGTGGAAGACAGAAATATAACCTTTCCCGAAACCAGAAATACCCCGTTTGCCGATGTCTGCAAGGGATACGCTTAACTAACTGTCAACGACTACTGCCGAACAACTGTTACAACCGCCAAGAAATACAGCCAGACATGTAGGCGAATCAATAATTATATTCACACACGTGCACCGTCACCAACAGCCCATCTCACCACCCTGCATCCATCCGCCCAGTGCAGCACCAAGAGCGGCAGGATGACACGTGTCTTGCCCTCGCCCATGTTGAGCTGGGCGATGGCTCCAGGGTTGGCCATAACCTGCTGCGCTACCGCCGCCTGCGCAGGCCGGATCTGCAGTTGCCCCTCCACCTCGAACACGAGCCACTGAGGGTGCCGTACCACATCCCAGGTGCGTCGTACCAGCAGCTCCTGATAGCAGGGAAAGGGGGGTTTACGTGGGGTGTAGCGGTTAGCAGCCGGGCAAGGGGGCGGAGTAGGATCCGGCTGTGGTCAGGGGAAAAGTAAGGGAAAACGTAGCCACGCAAGCAAAGCCGGAACCATACTCGTGCAATGTTACCTGCGTTGACAACGCCATCTCGATCATTAGCAACTTCTGACGACAGGGTTAGGCAGTGATGGTGGTGGAAAGGGGTATCGGGGAATGGAGGTAGAAGAAGAAGGCAGAGCGGAGAAGGTAACGACACAGCAGGATTTAACCAGGAATTGCCTTTTAGCAAAGGTCCCCGATATACATACGAGGTACGCCGTACTAACTAACCTGGACGAGCGCGATGCGGTACGCAGGCCCCTCTGCAGCCAGCCTTCCCAGCCTCCTCAGTCGGTCTTGCAGCACACACAGCTGCGCCCAAAGCAGCACTCCGTCTTCCAGCACCTGCACCGCCTGCGGAGACAGGAAGGGGTTGAACTGGCGCAGCAGTGGGCCGCCCTGCCAGGCCGCCCGTAGCAGGTCCAGGGTGCTCGGGGTTGGGGCGCTGCCGGCGGCCTGCATGAGGCGGAAGCTGGTGCCGTGTCGCCCAACATCCTCCGGAATGGTTGTCAGGTGGCGCAACAGGAAGGCCTCGGAGGCCTCCCGCAGCTGGGCCACCTCCGCCTTGGTGGGTGAAGGCGGGAACGGGGGAAGGGGGGCGATAGCGGAATGGAGGGAGTTCAAGAGGTACTCAGCACTGCTCTCCCAACGCACCCCCAGGTATGTTTGGCTTCCCACGACATCCCCTTTTAGGCCTCGTGCTAATATGGCTCCCTACACCCACATAAACGGTCAGTTTTACAGAAGACATTAATTTTGGTCTGGTCTGGGTTGACACTTTTGCAATAGTGTTTTAAGGTCCTGGGGTCGATTCCCGGGGAGGCCCCCGAATTAGCCGGGGGCGCGACATCATGGCTAGCTGATGAGATGTGGAGTTGAGTTCACAGTTGATTGACCAGATTCGCACGCTGGATTAGTGGCGACTGCCGAACCCTCCGTCTCTTCGGAAGTTCAGGTAAATGAATGAGGCGGGATCCCTGAAGGTTGAGTCCACCGCCTAAGACTTACAGTTCGTATGGCATAGTACAGTGTGATAGTGGCGGATGGTGCTAAAAGGTGATAAATCGTAGAAGTAACAAGAGATAAAGCGGCCCAGAAGCCTCCTACTTGGTTACATTACATTGCACACACGCACCGTCCATCGGGCTATCTCCTGAGCAGCCCCCTCCGTCAGCTGGTGCTCCTCCAATGCCGGGGCCCCGTGGTGGGCCTCCCAGCTGTCCCGCAGCTCCTCATGCATCTCCACCTCCAGAGGCGTCAGAGCACGGGTCCAGCTAGCTGAAGCCGCCGAAGCACCAGTCGCCACCGCCGGGCCAGAGGGCCCCCGGGCGGCGCCTGCGCTGCTCTTTCCACAATCCCGCAGCCCCTCATCGACACCGCCATAGGCGCCCTCCACCTCCAGAGGGTACGGCGGAATCCGCGCCTGCCGCTGGTTCCTTTGGAATGTGGGTACTTCCACAAGCTGAACCAGCGCCGTCTCCACCTTCGCCACAAAGCCAGCTGCCACCGGAAAGGGTTCCCGGATTTCCACAGCCTTGTATTGGCCCAGCCGCAGCCACATGGGCTCCTCCAACACCGCAACAGTGGACGGACGCATACCCAGGGTTCGGTCCTCCTCCCCTGGAGTCAACAGCAGACGCGGATTCGGACCCACACACAAGCTACTGTCGCCGCAACTTCCTCCTCTCTGAGTCGGCGGCTGTAGCGCCTGGCAGTAGCTGATGGCGGCGTCAGGATCCAAGATCGCAGCTGGCAGTGGCTGTGGCGGCGCTGCTGACACCGCTCCTGAACCGGCTGCTTCACGCAGGTGCTGTAGCTCTCCAGCGCTGACCTCCAGCTCATGAGCCAGCAGCCTAAGTCCGGGAGTCAGGTAACCGCCCAGACGGGCAGCACTGCGCAACTGGGCTAGGTCCGCATTACCGAGCGGTCGGTTACCCCAGCACTGCCGCAGCAGCACCATGGCCATCTGGCCCCCAGTGCAGCGACTGAGGGGCTCCGGCAGCAGGGTGCCGGTGGCGGCGTACAGAGCGGCGAGCTGCAGGCGGGCTGGGATGGACGCGGCTCGCAGGTCCTTGAAGCGGCCGTGAATCTCGTAGCAGTGAGCCTGTGTGCGTGGGTTGGGAGCCCACCAAAGTAGCTCTTAAACTAAAAGCCTCAGCCCCTCCAAGCGCGGCAACAATTATTCCATCCCCACCCTTCTTCCACCCCACCACGAACCGTAACCCAAGGCATTCCCTCAACACCCTACCCACACGAGGAAGGCTGCAGAACAGTGAGGGGATTTCATGTACGGTATCTGTGTATCTGTGTACGGTATCTGGCGTCGCACGGTCATGTGTGATCATGAACGGCGCTTCACAGCAAGTGGCGCCGACAGCCCGCGGCGGCCCTTCCGGTAGGGGCAGTACGTGTACACTTCAACCAGGACATCCACCTCAGTATCGGGCCCACATAGCCCCGTGCCCTTACCCACCTTCAGGTGCACATCTGCCCTCAGGCTGACGTCTATCCGCACACAGCCCCCGGCAGCCAAGCCGCCCGTGCCGCTGGCCCCCCCTGCCTGTACGACCATGCCATCCGCCGGCACCAGCACCAGTTCATCCTCCCGGCGGGCGCCCACCACGGCGCCCGTCACGTTGGGTACTCGCTCCAAAACCAGCGTATACAGTACGGCATCGTACGACGTTCGGGGCTTCTCAGCAGCCTGCACCAGCAGCTGCCGCTGGCGGAGGCGATACCCGGCATAGTCCCGGGGCAGAACCTGCCCTTCTGCGGGACGGACCTCAAACTCCAGACCGTACCGGGGCAGCTCGAGTAGCAGCAGCCGTGGAGGTGATATCGGCGGCTTGGACGGCAGCACCTCCGGTGCTCCTGGCCGCAATGGACCCGTGGGCCCACCCAAGCCACAGGGCGTATCACCACCGTCACTGCTATGTACCAGATATGCGTGGATGAACTTCGCGTCTTCGAAGCGTGCCAGGATACGGTCCTTGACCATGGCGCCTGCCAGCAGCACCAGCTTGTCAGTCAACTCGGCGCGGTGCTTGGCCAGCAGGCTTTGCCAGTGGCGATGGCGCAGATGTGGCGGCACACGTCGGCAGTCGTATATGCAGGCGTGGCCCGATGACATGGCTGCCGCCACCGCGACATCTGGAGCAGCGGGCGCCAGAGGGGTAGACGCCGGCACCGGTGCGGGTGTGCACCGGACGATGAAGTGCACATCGTGCTTTTGGAAGTCCAGCGGGCGAAGCACCATGACGCCCTGTTCCCTGGAGTGATATCACAGTGGCCATTTGAGTTCAGTTCCTCTCAGTCCTATCTTGAACGAGAACAGAACCCCGCTCCAAACCAACCCTAATCCACCGGCACGGCAGCCAAAGCTCCGTCAGACCGTCACACCCCGTATGCGCTACCCCACCTCACCACCTGCGCCTTCACTCCTGCACCCACCCATCTACCTGTTAAGCCAGTGGCTGTGCAGAGCGCGTAGCGACACAGGCAGCTCCGCGCCCCATCCGCCACACGCCCCGTTGGGACCCGCATCCAGCAGCTCCAGCCGTGAACCACGTCGATCAGTTTCGGAGATCGCCAGGCGCTGCCCATCAGCACTGACGGCGAAGTCGTACAGCCGCTGCTGTACGGGCCGCAACGCGCGCATGACGCCATCGCTGGCTAGCGCCACGTCGAAGTTCCACTCGCCAAATGTACGGCGGTACAGCGGGTGTTCTGTGACCTCCTTGGGCAACTTGCCGGGAGGCCAGCCGTCGAACAGTACGGTGCCGTCGAGTAGATTAATAGAGAACAACCGGTCGCTGCCGCCGCTGCCGGCTGTGGCGGAGGTATCGACCGATACGGCCTCGAAGCTGCCCGTAGCAGCCAGGCGCCGCCACGTCAGCTCCCGCGGCGTGCGCTGCTGCAGCACTGCCGCCACGGCGTCTGTCAGTATGTCTGGTCGCCGCACCACTGCCTCCATTAGCGGCCCGATTGCACCCGCAATCACATTGTGCGCCCGGACAAACAACGGCGTCAGCTCCTCGCGAAGCTTCGGGCTGTGTAGAAACACGCGGCCGTGGTTGATTAGGACCATTAGCCGTATCATCTCCCGAGCGTCCGCCTCCGTCAGCAGCGGAGGCGCCATAGTCACCGTCGTTGCTGCAGCGGAGGCGGCAGCATCCGCCGCCGCTGCACCGGAGCAGCACATCAGCGCCATGCATCGCGAGCGGCATTGCTTGGCGAGCAGGTTGCTGATCGCTGAATCGTCAGTTGCGCTGCCGCCACCGTTGCCAGCCACCGCCACCTGCGGCTCCAACTCATCCGCCGCTCGCGCTGTCATGGCAGCAAAGCGCCGCGCCACATCACGGCAGGGAGGGTACCACGCCGCCAGATACCCCGCCACCTCCCCCAGCAGCAGCACCGCGCCGTGTTCCCGTGGCGTCTGCTCGAGATCCTCCGCCAGCGCCGTCAAATCGCCGTACAGCGCAGTCAGCACGTCACACTCGGCTTCCCAGCCGCGGCGCCACAGCAGCTGCGGTGGTTCATCGTCGGTCAGGGTGCCCAAGTGGAAGAGCAGCTGCCGTACAAGCGTGTGTACGGCGGGCTGGGCGAGCGGCAAGACGTGGTCATGTAGGGCGGCGGCCAGTCGACGCAGCTGACGGAGGGGAAAAGCTCGCAGGGTGCAGAGCTCCAAGAAGGCCGGTTTGGACAGCCAAGAGGGCTTGGTATCTGGAAGCGTGTGTGGGAGACAAGGGGCCCAAGCAGCGTGAGGAAATAAGGATTAAATGCGAGGAAAAAAAAGCCGCCGGATGCAAACCGAGCTCCAAATGGGAAGGACAGCTGCTTCCAACCCTTGGTGGAAAGCGGCTGAGGGAACGTACGTTGGGAGGGTTTTGACAGCAGCGAGTTGCACCTGGGCTCAGCTGGGCTTAGGGAAGGGAGTACATACCAAGCAAGCTTGATGCGAGCAAGCTGTGTTATAGACAGCACTACAGCGCTACACGCACACCTTGCTGGGCGATGGCGACGTTGCCGCGACTAGGCGACGTAACGCTCGCAGACGACCGCACGTGCATGGCCCACTGCAACGACTCCGCGCCTTGCGGCAGTTTCTCAGTGAAGTACAGCTCCAACAGGCCCTCATCCAGCACCGCGAACGGGTCGAAGAAGGTCGACGGAAAGCCTTGGCCCTGATCTGCACCGGCTCCGGAACCAGCCCACGCCATGAGGGGCGCCAGGGAATCTGGGTACCAAACGCCATCGGACGGTGTACGGCAATCGTCCACCATCTTGGGACCTACGCTGGTCGGAGCCTTCTTTGTGGACCACAACATGACACGGCCGTCAGCGCCGGCGCGCGTCTGTCGAAGGGTTGAAGCATAAGTCCGGTCCTGCCGCTGTGTGTTATAGTGCTGTACGAGCGATGTGGAATACTGTACGGCAATGGCACTCATGGTCTCACCACTGATGGGTCTCGGCAGAAGCATTTGTTGGGCCAGGAAGCTGGCGCGTGAGAGGTGGCGCAGCAGGGGTGGCATGTGCAGGAAGAACAGCCACTGGCGGGCGAGGTTAGCATCGCTAGGCAGCGGCTGAACGACGGGCGGCGGGGCCTTCTCCGCCTCAGAAAGCTGGCATCGTGTGCTGCATATTTCCTCATCTTTTGCCTGCAGCTTGGACTCGACGCTTCGCACTTCAAACTTTACAGAAGAAACTCTGTCCTTGGTGGCATGTTGCTCGGCGCTCTCCGAAGAATGATAAGCTTTAAGCTCCGCTTCCAGCGCTGCAAGCTTAGCCTTGTGCCGTTGCAGCTCACGATTGAGTTGCGCAAGTTCCCCCTCATGCTTAGCCAGCGTAATCCGCAGCTGGGCCGCCAGCTGCTGCTTCCGCTGCACCTCCTTCCAGTGCGCCGTTACACGTTCCGCCGCATCTGCCTGATCCGCCGTCAGGATCCCCTGGAGCACCGGACACGCCGCCACGTAGTCCTCCGCGAACGCCATCGTGCCCACCCCGCCGTCGCGCAGCGAGAAAAGATCCGCCCGCCTGCTGCCGCCCGCCGCTACTGCCCTCTGGCGACATCCCTGCAGATAGGCCGCCACACTCAGCGCCGCGTCCACTGCCAATCGGTCCGAAAGGACCAGGTGCCGCAGGGCCTCGTGGCTCGCGAATGTGCCTCCGCGGCTGGCCATCAGCGGATGCGCCCTGCATGCCGCTGCGTGAATCAGGCAGTAGGCCACCCACACCACCAGCACCTCCCGACTTCGCAGCTCAGCCACCATTACCGCACCCGACCCAGGGCCCTGGCGCGATAGGAAACGCTGAAGCGCCGCGCGGTACTCATCCACAACATTCTCCAGCGCCGCTACCTCCCCTTCACCTAGGCGTCCTTCGTCCAGGCGAGCATCGCCGGTGTCGTCACCACCGCTGCCGCCACCGAGCTGCTGCAGGGCCCGGCGGAACAGTACCCCCTCCACGGAGCGCAGGACCAGCTGCGCCGCGACGTCACTACTGAGGTCCCGCCAGGGTCCCGGATCCGACATGGATTTCAGGATCTGGGAGAAGCTGGCATGCTCGGGCAGCAGCGGCAACGAGCCCAGGTTGCGCTCCGCGCGCTGCCGTGCCGCCGCCAGACCTTGCTCCTCCGCTCGCGGTGTGAACGCCGCCGGCAGCACGCCGGAGGGTGGCTGGAAGGTACCCAGAAAGTCCGCGGACTCCGGGCCAGGGAGCTCGGACGCACGAGCGGCTCGCCATGCCCGTTCCCCGACGGCGGTGCGCAGCTGCTGGTGTGCCTGGCGGCAGGCGGCCTCGAAGGCGGCCATGTCGTACCCATCAGCAGCTAGTGCCGCCGCCTTGGTGGCGGCGGCATCCAGCATGCGCATCGCTGCCGTCACCATGAGCGGCGTGGCGGTGTCAGGGTTGATGAGGAGAAGCTGGCGGCGCAGCAGCCAGAGATCCAACCGGGCCAGTGCTTGGCGCAGGAGATGTGACGGCGCTGACGATGGCGGCGGCGGTGGCGGCAGCTTCTGGATGGAGAGACTGCGACCTCTGGCAGCAACAGCGCCGTACTGCTTCTCCAGGGCGAACTATGTACAGGCAGGAGGAGAGGGGCGAGAATCGAGTGTCTTATTTGCGAGTGAAGGAAACGTCTTGCCAGGGAACAAAGCGAGGCGCACAGGATGGCGGTCTCGTAGATATGGAGCGCATGGCAAAACGTATCTTGGACGCAGGCAAGGGGCCAAATGTACTATGGCCAGATGATACACCGTACGACCTCGTCGTACAGCACCCTAAGGTGCGTATCCACACAGAGTTTCCATATGTGTGCTGATGAATTATAGGGAGAAAGAGCTCAAGGAAGATGAGGATGAAGGGAAAGAGCGGAGGCCGCCGAACTCTCGGGGGCATGAAGACACAGGATACTGCAAGGGGATGTTAAATCACCCATTATGGGGCTCCTGCACAGCACTCGTTTGAGAATGCTGAAATGAGGATGAACCTGGCATCATCGTCACGCGGGAGTACATACCTGCAGGACTGCCTTGACCAGCGGCCAGCACGTTTCATAGTTGATGTCCCCAGAAGATAGGGCCACATCCGTGAAGCCGCCGCGAGAATGGATCTCCGTCGTAGTGCTGACGTCAGCCAGTGCGCTACACACCGATGCGTGTATGAAGGCGGGAGTGCGCCGATGCGGATTATTTTGAGAGCTGCGCTGCACCTGAGCGCGTACGGCGCTGACCACCCTGCCGTACTCTTCGGCTTTAATGGCGCCACAGACGAGGCTGACGTGGCTACTGCACCGGGCCGTGTGTTGGGAACCGCTGGGTGTACTGCGGGGTGGGTGGCAGGAGACAGGACGACGGACAGATGGACACAAATCGGCCATGTCTTACTGTGTAGGCCGTGTTGCATTGGTCACGCTGAACGCTGGGAGCACCCCGACACACCTTGTAACGGCCGCTGTAATCTTACCCCAGCCGCCTTGCTCCACACCGTACGCTACATCTTATTTACTTCAGTGCTCCTCACCACTTCATCGGGATCTCTTACCTGGAGCTGGTCGGGAAGCCAACCGCACGCAAGCATTCACGAGCGCTCGCAGAATGTGCCACACCATCCAGGATATCACGTGTGTGTATCAAAGCAATGGACTTCTACCGGCGGAAGTTGTACATGCTTGCGAACGGAACACCGCTGCACTACTTCCGGCTCTTTTGCCATTGGGCCAGTGCTGGTTCTAGCTCACTATCTCACACCAGCTATCTCTACCAGTCCTCTCGATTATTCATGTCCTGCCAGACCATCCGGCGATAGTCCTAATATCGGCCGCCTTACCACACTACGATAGATGGCACTTGACGCAGACCCTGCTACTTGCTCTAGCTCATCACCATCTCACACCAGCTATCTACGAACTCACCAGTGCACGTTGAAGCTCCAGCCATCCAGAGCAACCAGGTGCAGCACCACCTCACCAGGCCGGGACATTATAACCCCGCCATCCGACGCCGACGTTAACAAGTCCGGGTCCGAGCCAATACCCAGCAGCGCACAACCGTATTCCGGGAACCACGTGAGCTGCCGTACAGGGCACTTGCTGCCGTACAAGGCATTTGCGGCAGCACTTAAAGCGGCCAACCCGTCGGCTGGGAAGCCATTCCAGACATCAACCTCATCGGTTACGGGGCCGGCGGGATCGGCGGCCGAAGACCTGCCCTCCTGCTGGTGCTGTTTGGTGTTGGTGTTGCCACCACCCTTCTGTGTGCGCCAGCAGGTGCGGGAATACATTTTTGGTGTACATCAAGCGGTAGGGACGGGTGCACGGCGTCCATGGTTTCAGATCGTGCACATGAATGCATGTGGCATTGAGCCATAAGGCCTTCTAGAGGCGCATACATGGGCCGTTAGAAAGGAACACGGAAGGGATTGAGGTATGAGGATGCTACATTCACCTGGCTAGTGTGGACCCGGAAGTGTCGCAGTCGGGAATGATCAAGACATGACCCATGATCATGATCATGATCACTCCCCGCCACGCTGCTGAATTGGCCTAGGATGTGATAATGTATGTATGATGTGTGGAACAGGGGGGTATATCTTCACCCGTGGCAGCTACCCTGGGAAACCCTGCCTTCCCCGGCATTTCGGGGCATCCTCATCCAGTCAACTTCTCAGTGGATCGCTCAGGTTCCGCACCCACCACCAGCATCCAACGGAATCTGCTGGATCGACGGCGGCCCAACTCCGTCCTGGTCGGCTCGCAGGAATTGTATGTATGTTGTTACAGGGTGGTCAACTTCGCCAGCGGCCCCCTTTCCCGGGGCAGTCCCTGCTCTCCCCTGCTAGAGGGGCACCCTAATCCGTCACCCCATCCGACTTCAGAATGTATTCGTTGGGTTCGGCAACTCACCACCAGCATCCAACCAAATCTAGCGGATCAACGGCGCATCAACTTAGTTCCTGGTCAGCTCGCAAGTTGATATTATCACATCCTACACCGTCCATAAGATGGGGGGCCACCTCCCATTTCATTACTCCTCAAACACCCGAGGAGCCGGCAGGCGGATTTGAACCCGGGTCGACTGGGTCGACTGGGAGCAGAAGTCAGGCCTTAACCTCTGCCAGCCGCCTGCCATTGTATGTATGTGAGTATGATGTTGTTACAGGGTGGTATAGCTTCACCAGCGGCCCCCTTTCCCGAGGCAATGCCCTGCTCTCCCCTGCTAGAGGGGCACCCTAATCCAACCACCGCATCCGACTTCAGAAGTATGTATGTGAGTACATATGTATGTATATATGCAAGACCAGCAGCGCAACCACCAGTAGGAACCAGTATATGTAATCTATGTGTAACGCCTACACACCTGCCGGGTGAGGAATCGCCGCAGCAGGTCACACAGCGCCTCGACGTGGGACACCGACTGCTGGCTGCTGGCCGGCGCGTGAGGGAAGTTAAAAAGACTGTGCAGCAGGGCCTCCGGCTCACACCAAAGAGGTGTCAGTGCGCCACCGCCGCCGCCGCCGCTCCCGTTGCTGATGCCCCCGGTCGCACCACCAGTGGTACCACCGTCAGCAGGCGGCGGTGGGGCCATGGTGAATGGGGAAATACCGAGGTAGCGCTGCAGTCGTGGAACGAGCGGAATGTCCTTGCCAACGAACTCTGGCGACTCGAGGCTTGGTAAGGATCTTAATTCTGGTTTGGTTCGTATTATAGGCTATCTTGGAAAGTGTCGTACTTATCCAGACGTTCAATGAACGTCACGGGTATCATTCACGGGAACGGGTGACGTGTGGGTAGCTGTCTTCGATTGGTCCGAGGCACTCGAGGCAAGCGATCTGCCAGCATCAAGGCCAACAACTTTGGGAACAGCTTTGGCTTATCCAAGCCCACAAACAGTGCAACAATGTGTTTGGGATGTTGTGGCTCTAGCTGCGGTGTCAGCCATGGAGCATGGGAGACGATACATGGCTGCAACCATGAAAACCAACCCTGGTCCTCCCTTACAGAAGGAGCCATTTATCGAGTTGATGTTGACTTTCGGAGCCGCCTTCGGGGTTTCGCAGCTCTGGGAATAATTGGAGGACTTTTGAGGCTCAAGCCTCTTTCAGTAATGGTTGTGGATCCTGAGCCTTCCCTTTGGTCGCGCTTTTGCCTGTCTAGATGACTTGTGTTGTCTCATCTGGGTGGGAATCTAGTGTGAATGTTTGTCACTACTGCAGTGCACGGCCCGCTGGCTCTACTCTTCGTGAGTCTGGAGCCCACTGTAACAACCACACACACACATCAAGGCCGTTTACTTGCTTCAATGGTGAAATCCATCTTTTTAATTAGCATCTCTGAATACGCCCTTCCGCAACCTCTTCCTCATCTGAGCTAGCTGAATCCGTCGAAGAAATTCATGTCCTGCACTTGACGGCATGGGACTATTACTCCGTGATGAGAGGTTCTCTGTTTTAGTTTTAATCAAGCTAAGATCTTATTAGTAAGCTAGTAACAATCCAGGCGCGACTGAGTGCAAGGTCGGCGCATCTGATGATGTCATGAATACATTAAGGATGCATAAAGAATGCGGAGCGAGCGCGAAAGGGCATGGGAGGTGGGCGAACATGGACGGCGTATGAGAGCTGACTTTACATGACACATCACTACCAAATTAGCTGCGGCTATGGACGCAATTTTCACAAGCCAGTAGGTGTAAATGGCACATGTGCATAACACCAACACCCCGGGATTAACAGTGCCCGGCAGGCAGACAGAACAACCCGACTGAAGCCTGACGAACCTTACCGACAATTATTATTGCGACAGGCTCCGGAAAATTGTGATTCGCAGAACGTTTCAAATTTCTCTGCAAAAATTACCAGGAAATAATTGCGCTCTTCAGAGCTGCTAAAAGACTAATGCTAAGTGATTTTTTCTTAAGCAGCTAGGCAAAAATCGGTTGTTACTAGGCAGCTACACGTTCGGTCAGTGCGTCCAACTTTTAGTGGAATCAACCAAAGTCCACCAGCCCCGTTAGGAAGCTCTCAAGATTAAACTGAACAAACAGCGCCAGTACTAAAAGATATGGAAGCTCTCTAGCTCGGAAATGCGCAAACATGCCGCCCGCCGCCAACACCGCTGCTGCCGCCAACACCTCTGGCCAGCTGGCTCTACTCTTCGTGAGTCTGAAGCCCACTGTAAGAACCACACACACCTCTGCTACGTCCTCAATCCACACATCCAGTCGTCATGTACCTTGCCATGTATATCTACCTTTCCAACCAGTTCCCCTGCTTCCAGCTCTGCTGTTGGTAATGTTGTTTGCAATTGCCGCCTCTGCCCTGGCTTCAACCCAAGAGGTCCCAACCACGGACGATTATGGTGGCGGCCATCGCACGTGGAAAGCGCAGTAAGCGCGTGTCTATCTTATCTCAGCCAATGATAGATGATGATATTATCATCGGCGGTCATCATTCGTTGTCATCAAGCGCACCGCCCAAAATTGACTCGCCAAGGTGCATCTACTATCATGTACATACATTTTTTTTATCTAGTTCGTCTATTCAATTTATAATATGTAGGTAGGTATATCGTATATATATGTGCTCTCTAACTAGTTCGTCTATTTAGTCATCTATCCGCCCACACCGTCCATGCAGCCGCAACGTTTTGTTTTTTCATTTTCAAACAGCCAGCCGTCCATCCATTTAGTATTCACTGCCCAATTATGATTGCAAATTATAAAACCAGCTATCCAATGATGCATCACATATGTACATATCCATCCAGCCGGTAAGCCCAGAGCATGCAAGTTAACTAAGCCAACGAGCAAGCAAAGCAGTAAGCAGTCCCCTTACATCACACAGGCGTTTCCCCGTCCACAGCGACCCGAGCTACACTTCAGCTTGAATGTTTCTAGTGGTGATGGTCCTGCCTACTTGAGAAATAAAAAAACAGTATCATTTTTTCATCAGCGTTCTCTGTCGTACATGTATTGCACCCGCGTACATGTTTTGCGCTCTGCCCCCGGGATCATTGCGCGTGCAGCAGTTCTTTAAAGCATCATCATTATCATCATCATCATCATCATCTTCCACTGTTGACAGGCTCACTCCATCAACGACTCACCCCCACATGCCGTGCCCCCCCCCACACACATCCGCAGTGCAGTATCAATCCTATTCGGCCTGCCTTCGCATGCCAATGTCCCCGCATCTTACCAACAACAACACCGATTGGCACCCAGGCGAGGGCTGCCTCCCCTCCGGAGACCTTCCGGAGACCTTCAAAAGATTCACCTATCTACCCACCCACCCACCCAACTTCTGGTATTATTTTGTTGTTGATATACGCCAGATCTGGACGTGGCTGCCTTAGCTGTGTGGACGCAGCCTTCGTACGGCAAACTTGGCGCCACGACAGTTAACAGGCCCAGCCCCACACGTTGCAATAATAGCATTTCTCGATTTGTGCGCATCATCCTTGTGCAGGGGCCGTGCTGGCCTAACAAGCCTCAGCTGCTCTCCGGTGGCCTTAGGCTGCCAACCGTTTGGAAAGGAGGAACGCCGAGAATTGTAGCCCATAAGCATTACGCATAAGCATTTTTCCCCTGCCACCTTACTTTTCTCTCCACAGGGGCGGCGAACACCTAGGACCTTTGGGCCCTGCGTCGCCCACTTAGCCGCATGCCCTGGCATCACCCATCCTTGTTAATTGATTTTTTTGCGAACACGCAAATTCTACATCAGAATGCAACCGCACGATGACGGCGCTTCAACCTCCCGAGCCCGCCCCTTACCCATATTCTCCACCTTCCCTGCAGCCCCATCAGCTGTTGCTGAAGCTGAAGCAACACCAGGGACAGCCTCGCTCAAATCCTCCGAACGCGTATTACAGCAGCCGCCGCCGCTGATGCCGTACCCATTGCCGCTGATGCCGCCGCCGCTGATGCCTTTCTGTGAGCTGTTCGCGTAGCTGGGCGCCGGGGCCAGCAAGGCACCCTTGCCTGGTACACCTGCGTGAGCGACCTTGCTGCCGCACAGACTGCTGTCGTACCTTCCCAGGTCCATCAGCTCCAGGGAGTCAGCGTCCAAGGCACCGCCGTCGTCGCCGGAAGCAGCCGCCATCGCTGAAACGCTTGCGGTAGTGGCAGTAGCGGTATTTCCTGTGGCGGCCGATTGATTGCTGATACTGTTGCCACTGCCGCCGCCGATGCGACTACTGCCGCCACCGCCGCTGCTGCGGCCACTGTCACCGATGCTGATGCCGCCGCCGATGCGACTACTGCCGCCACCGGTGCTGCTACGGCCACTGACACCGCTGCCGATGCGGCTGCCGATGCCGCCGCCGATGCGACGACTGCCGCAATACCCGTCACGGCCACCACTGCCGCTGTCAATGCTCTCCGCTAGCGTCGCGTCTTCCGACGGGGCACCGTCATGACAACGGGGTGCCAGCGGCGGAGCGGTGTCATTATGTCCCTTATCGAAGTGCTTGGCAGTGTCCGTGGCTGGGAGATGAGCCTCGCCGTCGGCAGCAGCAATTGTGCTAGCGGCAGCGGCCGCGGCCAAACACCTGTCGGCGGCCCAAGCCGGTTGTACGCGTCCTCCCGTCGTCGGCACCGTTGATATGGCGGCGGCGACCGCAGGATTGCTCCTGCCTCCGCTGCAGCCAGCTTCCGCCGGCTTTCGTGGTGGTCGTACAGGCGGGATAGGTACAAGGACCGCCTTGTTAGAGTTACAGCCGCTGCCTGGCGTCGGCCCCTTGCTCGTACTAGAATTCCAAGCGGGCTGATGGCTGCCGGCGGCAGTGGCGGCCGCCGCCGCCGCTGCTGCAGAGGCCGCGGCGGCGGCAGCCTTGGCGGCAGAGCCTTGCGCCGCCGCGGCGAGCCCCTGTGGTGATGTCACCGCTCCTACATTCGTACAGGAGCTCGTCTTCGCGGGTGGTGTCTTGGGATTCTGTACGCGGGGTTGGGAATGCGTCGACTGGTGCAGCGGCGACGCCACTGCCGGGCGGTCCGCAGCGGAGGCGGTACCCTGAGACCTGGCCGTACGGCACGAGTTGGGAGCTGCCTCTTCGGCCACGTGGATGCCGCCGCCTCCACGGCCGGCGACAGCAGCGCCGCCAGAGCTTGGAGAGCGCAGGGATGTCGCGGGCGAGGGCAAGCTAGATGGAGGTGAGGGCAAGCCCCGGCTTCGTGCGGTGTTGAGGGTTCGCGTTGAGAGCTGCGCGGGCTGGTCTATTTGGAGATGGGAGAGGCGGTGCCGATCGGCAGATGAGTTAGAAGGCTCTTGTGCAGGCCGGAAGACTCCGTGGCATGTAACGATCGATGATTGGTGGGAGGACTCCATAGCGTCATTGCGGGGAGTGGGGCCGGCGGAAGCGGTACTGTCGACAGCGACGACAGTGGCGGGAACGCGTGGCGTCGGCGCGTTCGGGAAGGTTCGGGAAGTTTCGGCGCCGGAGTCGCGCGCTGAGAGGAGGGATGGGATGCGGCTGGCAGGGACTCTCGGGGTGATGCCGTCGGTGACCGCGACCGTAGCAGCGCCGGTGGCAGTAGTGTCGATGGCGGGGGAGGAGATGGTACGAGTATGGCTGTAAATGGGCGAGGAGATTGGGGTGTGGTGGTAGACTGGGGTGCCGACACCGTCGCCTGAGCTGCCTGTGATGTGTCGGTTGATTGCTGGGCGTGTTGGAAGGCGGCGAGAGGCGTTCAATGATTTCTTTTCGTAGCTTTCGTGTGGCCGCTTGTTCTTGAGGCTGCTGCTGAGAGCGCGTTCGGCTGCTTCGGCTGCACCGTCGCTCCGTCGAGACTGGGATCCATCAGACTGCTGTCGCTGGTCCTCATCCTCGTACTCTCGCACACTAGAGTGTAGGGAGTCAGGACAGTTAGCGGATGTCACTCTGCACCGGTTAGGGGCGTCCATCATGGTTGTGACGAACACTTCGGCGCAGCTTCCAAGGTTGTCGCGATGCTTGTACAATAAGGTCCTTTGAATGGCAAAGAGAGGTTTTCCTTGTCAGTATGTGCTGAATTGAGGTGCAGCAGAGTCGTAGCATTGCTGCTGCGACGACTAAGCATAACTCTGCCCGGCAAGCTATAGCGCTGAGCATACACAGATATCAGCTCCATAAGTCGTGACTGATTGAACCCCATGGGCTCACCTCTTGACGCGAAGTAGTCAGGACTCCCTCTACGCCCAGACTGGTCAAACCTTCAGGGCGCTGACCAAAACGTTTGTGCACGTGCTGAAATGTTCAATCGCCGTCACAGTAATTTTACGCTCTATGATCAACTCACATTAGCAATGCATTGTCTTTGCTGTTGGAAGGCAGCTGCGCCAACATTTTGGCTGCAGGAGTTTGCCGTACAAATGTGCAAATGTCCCTGGAACCTCTCCTAGAGCAACAATGTAAGGCCACCATTATAAATTGTACAAGAGCCGTAACTTGTGTAATTTGATGAATTGATTGTCGTATTTGTCGGTTTGTTGCTGCTGCTGCTGCTGCAACCTTACACAAAGTCGTCCCTTCCTTATGGCGAAGGACAATTACGCATTCTGCGTTTACATGTCCTTATCTTAGTTCTATGCCTCCAACCTAGCGTAAAGGAGATATTGATCGCGCATTATTTTGCAGCGTGTCAATGAGCGCATAGTACGCTAAGAGCAAGAGGTCCGTTAGAAGCCTTTAACGGAAACAGATTAGATGAAATGCTGCATATGCTTTAACGTTCCAAGGGGTTTGGAGATGAAGTAATCTTGACGTGTTGTTTAAAGTAAATCGCTAACCGTCGCCGCGAGCTCACTCTTTGCGACACTTACTTCACCAAAGAGTCTTTTATCATATACATACCTTGATGCTCTCACTTAAGTCGGTCTTGAAATTTGTGTGAATCAGATTGAAGGTAGCTTCCCTAGCAGGAAACGCGCTTTTGGAAAATACCGTGTTGTATTGCCACACATCTTAGAATAGTAGGTGGACGTCGCAGTTGTGGAGCAGCGCTGTGTCATTTCACGCCGGCGGGTGCTCATTTCTGCTGCCCGGTTCTAGCTGACAAGACGCCATGGCTAAGCATCACCCCGACTTGATTATGTGCATGAAGCAGCCTGGCGTTGGTGAGTGGTGTCGGTAAACTGTACCCTTGAGTCAGAATCTGCTTCGGAGGTTAGACTTTTAACCTCTGCCATGCAGCTATCGGTCGCCTGTGCGAAAAATGTGACGGCAAGTGCCCAATCTGCGATTCGTACGTGCGGCCTTGCACGCTGGTGCGCGTCTGCGACGAATGTAATTACGGATCTTACGAAGGCCGGTGTGTCATTTGCGGCGGGATAGGTATCTCAGATGCCTACTACTGCAAGGAATGTACCTTGCAAGAAAAAGACGTAAGTCGGGTCTTGGGGACTTATTCTGGCTGGTGAGCTGGTTACCAGTTACCAGTCTCCGCTGTCGTTTCCAACCCAAGAGGCTGTTCACCCTCTCAGGCTGCTGTTTCCAGTCATGCTCGCCCAAATGGATTTCGAGGGTTAGTGGGACCAAGCATGCCATTTGAAAAGCCAGACCCTTCAGTTTTGCCCTGCCACCACCTAACCTACCCCCCTCCAACCTGTCCCCCGCCGCTCCTGTGCAGCGAGACGGCTGCCCCAAAATCATCAACCTTGGCTCGGCCAAAACAGACTTATTCTACGAGCGGAAAAAGTACGGCTTTAAGAAACGGTAGCACCCGAGCCTTAAGGATTGTTGTGACAGCCATCCGCCAGCCCTCTCCCCCCGCCAGTGGCTCCCACCTGCCCTCTCAAGCTTTTATTAGGGCCAAGTGTAACGCGCCCAGGCGGTGTCCCGTCGACTTCAGTCGGTTGGCGTGCTTGCTTGCCGTCTGGCGTGTTTGCTTATCGAGACGGAAGGATTGGGATGTTGGTGGGACAAAGTTGGCTACGTGCTTACTGGGGTTGCCTCGGGGCTTGTTTGCACTTAATTTCTATCGGCAACGATAGAGCCCTTTTACCGTAGAGGCAGGGCTGTCGGCGGCTATCTGGGGTTGATTAACGAAACCAGTTACAGATTGCGGCGGCCAGCGGCCGTGAAGCCATCGAAGCCTCTGGATAATGGAAACAGAGCAGCTCGTGGTGGTGGAGCCCAACAACGGGGACAACACGTTAAGTGTGAATCTGCACGTGAAATATTTATCTCAGATTGGTCACTGGGGGGGGGCTTTAGGCGCACGAGTCGTGTGTTCGTTCATAAGGGTTCGTGTGTGTCTTGGTGTTTAAGGGGAGGGGAAAAAGACAAGCGACGCATACAGATGTGGGGGAAGTTTCGGACGGCGTGAAGCGACCTGAACGTGTGAAGGATTTCTCACTGAAATGGGCGGTTCAGGCCATTCGTAACCTTTTTAAAAAGCGGTTCGGTTTGGGAAAGGATGGCGATCGTAATTGTGGTGTTGTACACGTGGATGGCATCAAGAAAGTGTGGGCTCATACGAACCCATGGACTTCCACGTATTTAAAACGCAAATTTTCATTCGATGCAGGCCCACGAATGGCTCTTGGAAACAACGTTCTGGCGCTTCCACGTGTTAAACAAATCAGGCTTTACGAACAAATATTACCGGCGTGCCGATCCCAGAACATCGGAAATTAGGACGTTTCGAATATTAGAAGGTTTTTCATAGCCGGCTGTGAATGCTTCGTTTCGGTGGTTGTAAGGCGCGTACGACTGACGCATGCAAAACCTAATCGGGGTCGTCAGCGCTTTGGAGATTTTTCCATAATTATCGGCATGCATCCTCGAATTATAGTCCTTTTTAACTTGACGTTATCTTTCATAGACTGTTGAAAAGGGTGCTCGATTAGCGCCTTCGGAGCGCGCTTCCATGCGCGCGAAAACGCTGAATACACAACTCGGAGCAGGGCATGCACACATCAGAGTGATTCTTGAAATATTATGAAGCATAAAAAAATTTGCCAATCACCCTTCGGCATGTATCGCGTGAATCAAGGCTTGTCTGCTTAAATCAGCCCTAGGTCCCGCGCCATCCATTCGAAGCAAAGCAAGGCAATTATTGTTAATATCATCCATATCACCAACAAAGAAGGACAGATAACTAGGTCACGTCTGACGCAGAGCGCGCGCTTATTACGCAGGCAACAAGCACCAGGAAGAGCGGGAAGGACGAGCGATGGTCATCTTGCAAGCTTCACTGCTTCCGCAAGAGCTCAACGACAGGAGATGGATGCCTGTGCTGCTCGTTGGCGCGCTGTCAGGAGCCCTAGCAGGCGCAGCCGCAGCCTACGTCACCTTGCGACCGCGTCCCTGCGAGTCAGCGAAAAGCGATGAACCGCTCCCAAGCCGGCGCCAGGCATCAAACGCTGACATTCCTAAAATTCGCGCCACTTCAGCTGCCGTCGGCGGCAGCAGCAGCGGTCGGACGCCAGACGGAGCGCCTGCCAGCAGGTGCAAGGAGCAGCCGCGACACCGCAGACCTCAAGACCGTAAATCCATCCATACGCAAGCCCCGCCTTCCCAACGGCGATCATTTCTGGATAAGGACGCAGATGCGGTCGCGGCAGCAGTGCTTGCGACGCCTTCCCGGCCGCGAAGCGGCAAGCGCATGCGGCCTGACGGGCCGACTTTGGAGGCGCTAGGTGCTGCTGCTGGCAGTGCCGTGGTGCGTCGTGGTGGGCAAGATGTCGAGGATAACGGAGCTGTCGCAAGTCACCAGGCAAACCTGATCACGGAGCCAGATGGAGGAAGTGGAAACGGAGCAGGAGACTTGGGCGGTCGCGTTGGTGGTTATGACGGCGGTGGTAAGGCGCTGGGACCTCTGCTATCACCGCTGGCGGCCACCGGACGGAGGGATCCAAGGGACCCGGCGCCTCGGAGCGGGTAAGTGAAGGAAGCTGCCAGGGTGCAGAAACCCGTTCAGCGCTGTCGCAGAAGGGAGGTTTCGGTATCTTACCTTTTTTTCGATTGATCCAACTGCTTCGCCCTGGCTGAATGATGAATGGATGGATGGATGATGGATGGTAAAAACTTAAATAATAAAGTGACGACTGGATCCTGGAATGAGAAGGAGAGGCGATTATAAAGGAGAGGCGTTTTTAAAGGAGAGGCGATTATAAAGGAGAGGCGATATAAAGGATTTCCTTGCTTTTGCACCCTCGGAAATGGTACTCTGGCTACTTTGGCTTTCGAGGGCTTCCGCGAAATGTGCCAAATGTGGCTGGGAGGACGCATAAGCCGTGGCTAGTATTTTCTCTCGACGACGACGACGACGACACCGTCCTCACACGGCGCCACAACAATGTGTGGATGTGCGTGTTGCCCCTCCTGGAGTTGCGTTACCACCCTCCGAAGGTGTAACCCCCGGGGGGGGCCCTGATGAGGGGCCTAAGGGCCAGCAGCCTAGGATGTTCAAGCTAGATTCACATCATATGGACACGTAAGAAAAACTGTTATCCTATCTTTTAAAAAAATTATGGAAAAAGCAAAATTATTTTGAGGTAACTTAACTGTTCAGACTGCTATGCCGTAGCAGTGCGCCTGCAATCTGACACTCTCCTTAGCCCAGGTACTATTGTCGCGATCCGCTACCATCACCACATCCTTCACAGCCTGATCCACCACCTAAACCCCGACAGAAAGCCCCTGCATGTGCTGTATGTATGCTGGGCACTCCAAGGGTACATGCTCTTCGTCTATCTTCCACGGCTTGGAGCTCGCAAAAGTTGCATTAGATCCTCTGCTCGCGCGCATTAGATCACCTCATAAGCTCTATTTGCTTCTTCAGTATATAGACGTAAACGCACTTGCAACCGGTGCATATCGACAGGAACAATGACAATTGACCGTCTATGTCCCCTCCACCGCCTTCTACGGTTTGAACACACACCCTAGAAACCTGCAACCAGTTGAAAAGGTTGCTGCTCACGCATCTGCACGATGCTGCCCATGTGTCAATGCTGGTCGCACACAACGTTCTCTACATTTCACATTTGCGCCCACGTCCAATCCCGCCTCTGTCCCCCGTTCATCACGTCACGCATTCTGTCTCATTTCGCATTCTTTCTCATATGTATTCTTCCAACCGGCTCTCAGGAGCCTCAGCTGGGATGACTACTTTATGGCTCTGGCGTTCCTATCTGCGGAGCGCTCCAAGGACCCCAACAAGCAGGTGCGCGATCTGCGAGACAGGTTTGGCACGATGCGGGATGCACGATGCGAGGCGACCACACGGGCGCGGCGTCGATAAAACGGCGCGCGGTTTGTGGATGAGCTGACGTGATGATGGCTCATACTGCGAGTTGTAGTTGCACGATTTTTTCGTTTTTGCGTCCAAAATCCACAGCAGAAAACCACAGCACGATTGGATTGCCCAGTTCGTATTTACTGCGGGTTCTTGTTAGGCCTTGGTAGAGTATTGGCGGGTTTCCTATCATTCGTGTGCGTGCGCTCACGCACCCACGCGCAGCCGCATCTCACACACATAAGCATGGCCGCACGTACGCACACACAAACTCTCTCTCTCTCTCTCTTACACACACACACACATTGTTATCCCCCGACTGGAGGAGGAACTTCCGCTGTCCTGCTCCACAGCCGCCGTGCCGCTGCTCTCGTCTACGCAGGTAGGCGCCGTCATTGTAAACGTCGACAACATCATCTTGGCCATCGGCTACAACGGCTTTCCTCGCGGTTGCTGTGACAGCGACCTCCCTTGGGCCAAGGTGAGGATGCGGATAGCCAACTAGAAAAACGAACTAAAAGGTACGGAAAAGTACGGAAACAGTGGAGCAGGCAAACCCATCAGGGGGACATTAGCCAGGATGGTTGCTGATATCTCGTCAACGCGCTTAATTCAAGCCTGTGATAAGTTTGCCACTTCTTTCTTTTTTCTCTTTTTTCCTTCTTTTCGATTTTTTTCCTTAGCAGGTCTAAGGACTTTCGGCTCATCAATAGACCTCACCACGTGGTCCGGTCCCAGGCTCGCTGTGATGAAGAGCTCCCCCACCTCCCGCCTCCTTCATCACCATGTAATCCGCACCTATTGGCCTGAACCTTGATTGTACTTCCGCAACGTAGTTGAAGGCCGATTATTATTATTATTATTATTATTATTATTATTATTATTATTATTATTATTATTATTATTATTATTATTATTATTACCTCCGGTCCGAATCTCGCCGATTGCCTCCAAACCCTTCCCTGCCGCAGGAGGCTCTTAGCTCCGACGGCAACCCGGACCCGCTGGCCACCAAGTACCCCTACGTGGTCCACGCGGAGGCCAACGCGTTGCTCAACAAAAATGCAGCCAGTGTGGCCGGGGCGGTGAGTTTCCCTGTTGGGAGTGAAGGGAGGCGGGGTTAGGTACACGGCAGTTTTAGGTGTACGACAGGGGGTTGGATCGTGGAGGACTTTGTGAAAGTGTCTGAGCAAGCACTGCTGCTCTTCTTCCGTACTACAAGAAAGGGGTTTGGGGAGGGTGGAAGAAAACATATTATTACTAATTTGCCCGCCAGTGGTTTCTGTGAGTTAAAACCTAAACCTAGCAGACTGCCGAGCAAGTCCACGGTTGTGCATTCCTACCTGTACGGGGAGCGAGCTTGACAGAAACCACTTTTATAACACAAACATCCGTTTCCTGGCTGTTTCCCAATGTGGTGTCGTACTTGGCCGCTGCCGGGTGTGCGTCATCAGTTCATTACTGCCTCGCCCGTCCCCCTCCGGCTGACTGCCCGCTGCCCTCCTCCCCTCAGCGCGTTTACGTGACTATGTTCCCCTGCAACGAGTGCGCCAAGTTGCTAATCCAGGCGGGTGTGCGGGAGGTAGTCTATCATGAGGTGGGTTGGGGTGGAGGGGTACAGGGCGCGGTGGTGGTTGTGGTGGTTGTGGATTCGTCGGTTAGGCGCGGTGGTTGGTGTAGCACGAGATGGAAGTGAGGTGGGGTGAGATGGCGTGTTGAGGAAATGGGAAGTTTTTGGGAAACTCCCAAGGCATTCCGAAAACAGGTGCGTCCTGGCTCCTAACCCCGATTTCAGTACATTAAGCTCGCTGTCACGTATGTTACGGCTGCAGGACAAGGTACTGCATTTGGAGGGAGGAAGCCGTCGTAACGGCTCAGAGGCTGACGGTGTGGGTCAGGCGGCGACGGCGGCAGCAGCCGTGGCGGCTCCGCCAGCCTCTGCCGGACAGAAACAGCGGGAGCGGCGCCTGCGGATGGAACGGCAACACGACATGCAGCAGCAGCAAGGGGAGGCGCTCTCCGGTACCGCCGGCACCCCATCTGCCGTACTGACGCCCTGCACCCCGCTGTACGACGATGAGGACGACGATGACGATGAAGGAGAAGAGGAAGAAGAAGAAGAAGCGGACGGAAAGGCGGCATGGAGTGCGGCACAGCAGCACCACATACGCCAGTTGACGCCGGACAGTAGCGCCCGCAGAGCTTCGCTGGCGTCGCTTGCTACACCGGCCTCGCCCGCCGCCACGGCGGCGGCCGTTGCAGGATCTCCGCCGGGGAATCTGCCGACGCGGACACCTGCATCAGCGGCGAGCCGGGACGCCCTTCCGGCGGCCGCCCCAGCCAACGACGCTGCTGCTGCGGCCGCTGCTGCTGTAACTCCAGATGGCGTAAACGTCGCCGCCGCCGGCGACAACGGCCCGCCGTGGTCTGGCTTTTGGAGCCACCCACGTGACGACGCTGCGACCCGTGGGTCGGTATCTCTTCCCGTCTCTGCCGCGACGGTCGCCGCAGCGCCGAGCTCCGCTCAGATCCTTTCCTCGTGGGCTCGATCGCAGTCGCCCGCTGACTCACCCCGGCACCAGATGCAAGAGTGTAACGGTGCAGCAGCGGTGGCGGGGTCCTCTGACGGAATTCGAGGGGGAAACGCCGGTGTTGACCACAATCCGGCGGTGGCGCCCTTGTCGGCGTCGCTGGCATCGGCGGCTGGCGCCGATGTGTGCTATCTGGCGTCGCTGCGGTTGCTGCGATTGGCGGGAGTAAAGCTTCGGCAGCACAGGATACAGAAGGTTATTTCCATCCCTGGACCGGCGGCGCGGAACTCTGGCGCTGAGGAAGCATGGGCTAACTGACGGGAGCGCTGACGAACAGACTTTTTGTTCAATTATTAACGGACAGCTTGGGGGAACGACTGTTGTTTGAGGGTGTGCTTGTTATGAGAGTGTCGCTGGGCTCGAGGCAAAAGAGGCAAGGAGTTGGTGGAGGATGCGTAGCGGGACCTTTGCATGCCAGAGCTTTTGCATGTGGTGCTTTCATGTGGAGGAGAAGTTGTGTTGGGACCCGTCTTGACAGCCGACAGTCGCGCATCGTTTAGGCTTTCGTTCCTGTCTCCTAAATCGTGTGTTGCATGTGTCGCATAGCGCCGAAAAACGATAGGAACCATGAATGTCCACTGTCGATATGTGTGTGGATGCAGCATGAGATTCTCTTGCGAAGGTGTTGTTGCTGGATATGGACGTGTGAGAGCCGAGGGTGGATGTGTCCGTACTCAATGCGGACAAGGGAGATTTGTTGTTAGTACACATGTTTCGTCTGGAAGTAGCGAGGAAAAGCGCGACTGTGGAAAGGGGCAGAGAGTTGATGTGGTTGAAGCGAAGGCTGTTGACAATGGCGATCCTTGGTCCCTGCCGTATTGCACAGTCGCCATCTGTACTACAACTTTGCACGCTGGCATGTAACTTGGTGATGGAGTTTTGTCCGTAGGGATTTTAACGATGACATGACATGGCACGACACCATGCGGTGATGAGCAGTGAAGTAACCATTGATCTGATCTGGCAGTCTGGTCCAGGTCCGCTGGCATCCTATAAGCTTTACAGCTGCTTTGGGCGTAGGTTTGGGACGCAGGACAGCACACAGCGCATGACTATAATCCGGCAAACCAGAGCGGCTGCAGGAAAGCAGAAGAGGGAAGAGATTGCACAGAGCAAGCTGGCGTGCGGGCTCTCTGGACCAACTGCCCATCGCCTTCTGTGTGCCACGCCGTGCATAGCAGGTCTTCGTTCCCTTTCTCCGAATCCTTGAGGCAGGGCAAGCGAGGTACAATGTACAATGATCAAGGCAGGTTAATACAACACCGCCTTTCATAAATGTTAGCAATTGTGTTTTAGGATGAAGTGTACAGCAATCGCCATGGAATACCAACTCGGAGAGTTAGCTCTCCCGCTCAGCAGGACATAGGTCGAGATTTCCACGCGTCCCAACTTCACGGAAAGTCAAGCGTTTCGCACGTCAAAATGAATCGAGGCTTTGGCGACGCTGGAAAAACAGCATACGTCGACACTGATGTCATAGACACAGGACACAGAAGCACATCTTGCATAAATGAAGCCTTAGTCGCCGTGGACCTCTTTTGCAGGTCTGGCTGACAGTCCCGGTGTTTTCAAGATGCCCACATTAGGGGTGACAGTCAGTGTCCCCTGGTCCACACACGCACGCTCTGAGGCTTTGGCAGCTCGAACGACGAACGAAAAATGAGGAGGCTCTGTGGGTTTCTTAATGCACAAAGAGTTGTAAAGCGTGGCATGTATGCGACGCACACGCTACCGAACATGCATTTCAACGATCCAGCAGGCGAGAGACACACGGTCGCTAGCTCGCGCCGAGGGGCACGCAATGCTGGGTTGCAGTCACGGCCAAGCCGTACAAAGCTTTGGGAAGATTTGTGTCTGACGCCTGATCCCACCCCTTGAGGAAAAGTAATCACATGTATTAATACGATGTGTTAAGACTTCGCTGGGCATGAAAATCCACTACCATCACGCCTTTAACCTGCGGAAACGCCCGATGTGCTCAGTATCTGGTACTGAAATTAAGCATGAGTCGTTTAATGGGGCGTTCCTGGTGCACCTCATGCAAGACGCATACACATGCTGGCTGACACACACGCATACCCACCCCTAGATAACCGCGGCCATCGCTCACAGGCAGCTTCCTCTCTCCGCTCGCTCCATTATTGTCACATGACCTGTAGCTGTTGCTGTCATGACTTGGCCATGCATGTTAACCGTACATAAACATGCCAGGGCAGCGGCCCACCTGCATACTAGGTGGTGTGACGCCGCGCCTGTCCTAGTTCTACTACCCGCTTCGACGCCTTCGATAGAGAGGGGGAGAGAAATAGAGTTAGGGTGAGCTCGCCGGCCTTCTTCACGCACAAGTGTCAGCCCTTGAACACTGACCGCGTCAGATGGGTGTTAGTACAGTGGACATCGCTCGTGCTGAAACGCACATGTAGCAACACAGCGGAGAAGCACGCGGTCAGCTGACGAAACCCAAAGCCAGGGCTGCAATGTATAGCGTTTTGCATCCCTGCTACAGCCCCGCACCAAAAGCAGGTAAAGGACATCGTTCCGAGTGGGCGAGTCCCTTTCCATCGCGATTAATAACGGGGAAGCGGTGACGCGGTGGCGTCGCGACAATATTAGTAGGTCGACGGAGTTCCGTTCATTCCCTTGGCGCCTTTGCGCGCTCCTGGTAATCATTTTTGGGGGGCTGTGGGGCCGCACAGCCGCCACACATCTCGTCATCATCACCCGCTGGCGTCACCGCCAAAGCAGCCCCCTTTCTGGCGCCAATTCCCAGCGTTCCTTCGACAAAACTCGCCGCGCCTAGCACCAGCGCGACGCCGACGGCCATACCGCCGGACCACATCCCAAAGTGCAGCAGCGCCGACCAAATGAAACGGCCTTTGCCTTTGCCAGCGCCGCCGCCGCTGCTGCTGCGGCCGTGGGCCAACGACCTGCCTGCAGAGCTATTTTTGTGCGCGCCTTCCCCTGCCCCGAGCTGATCAGCTGGCGCCCGGTTGACCGTGATCTTCGCGGTGTCCATGTGAACCGTGTGCTTATATTCTGCAGCCTCTAGCTTCCGGAAATCTGGGCCGGCAGCGGTGGCGGCTGCGCCGCCATCGCTGCCCCAGCCGGCGGTGCCAGTCACAGATGGGACCGGGCGTCCGCGACCAGGGCTATGTCCCTTGGCTCGCCGGTTGTGCCGCCTTAAGATCCACTGCCACCACGGCCGCCGGGGCTGTCGCGGGCTCCTGCTGGCGGCGCGGCCGCTTTCGCTGCCGGAGGCATCCGCATCCCACAACGCAACACCGCCCAGCAGGTGCCGACGTGATTCGAGCCCCACACTCCGGTGCCGCCCTGTCGGACTTTCTCTCGGCGCCTCAGGAACACCCGGCGCTCGCGCCTCCTCTCTCGAGTGGCTTTCCGCAGCCGCTTTGCTGGTGCCGGCTGCCCGCAGCAGCTGCTGCTGGGCCGGAGTTGGCTGCTGTTGCTGCTGCCAGGGCTGCGCCGTGCTGGCGGCCGGCAAACTGCCCTCGAAGCTGGCCTCTGCCGCCATGGAACTGGTTACGGAGGGGCTCACCAGGTAGCTGTCCAGCTGGCCAGGGAACAGCATGCGTGTGCGGGAGGTGAAGGCGAGCTCGCGCGGTGGCATACCTGCGTGCGCCGCCGCCGTCTTATATGCAATGGGCGCGTGTGGTAAGGGATCCGTGGTCATGGCCGAGCTGTCGGCCCCTGTCTGCCAACGTGCACCTAGCGTCCCATGTTGCTCGCGTGCGCCGCCTCTCAGTGCCTGCTGCGGCTGCGGCGGCGGCGGCAAGAACGAGCTGCGAGCGTGCGACACCAGCCCATGGGCATCCGCTGGGAGTCCCCACGACCCACGCGACTGCATGCTTTCGTACAGGTCGTTTATATGGCTGGTGTTGTAGCCCTGCGGCGGTCTGGTGTCCACGGTGGCTGTCCTACCCAGCCGTGACGGCTGTGTCATGGTGGCTACGGTGCCGGCCTGGGGCCGGTAAGACGGGTTCGTGAGCAGCAGTGTTGGCACGCCGGCGGCTGCAACGACAGCTTCACGGAGCCCCATCTGTGGTGCGGCGCCAGGGGTTGGTGCTGCCGAGCCGTGGCTGGAGGACGCGCCGCGGGCGGATGCGGCGTTAATTATGTGCCTTGGGTAATCCGGTGGGGAATTGGATTGCTCAAGGGGCGGCGGCCGCAGGTCTGGCAGGGCTGATCGTGCTTTACTGGCCTCAGATGAGCTGAGCGTGGTGGTGGTAGAAGCGGTTGGGGATCCGCATGTCGCCTGGCTCTGATGCGCACGTAGCTGCGGCGTTGGTTGTTGCTGCTCTCGCTGCTGTTCTAGCTGCTTCGGCATCTGCGATGAGGACGACCTGTCCTTGCCAACGACGGCAGCGGCAGCTGCGGCGGGCGCACCGGTATGCGCTTTCGCCGCCGCCGCCGGTGCTACTGCTATCGTCGTCGCCTTTGTCATCGTGGTCCTGCCTGTCAGGCCATCTGCTGCCGTCTGCTGCCGCTGCGCTGTCTGAGGAGCGTCTGGTGCAGCACCCGCCGCTGCCGCCGCCGCCGCCGTTGCTGCCGCCATCTGACGCCGAAGATCCGACAACGACAAGTTCACGCTGCCTTCCCGACTCCTGTTGTGTTGCTGCTGCGGCGGCGCCAGTGATAGCTGCGCGAGCGAAGGGGACGAGGTGGACGACAAAGAAGCATCGCGCGTCAAAACCACGGTCGCCGCATTGGGCACCTCAGGCCGTAGCTCTTCTCTAACCTGCTGCCGCACGTGTGTCTGCGCCTGCGCTTGCTTACCACCAGGAGCAACCTGACGCTTCTGCTCTTCTGCATCCTCATCAGCCGCCTTGCTCATCGCATTTGCTGTTGCTGAGGCATTGAACATGCGGCCTGCGTGTGTCCCCATCGGTGCATGGTGCGGCACGGGCGCGGGTGATGTCCGCACCTGCACATCCCGGCCCTGACTTCCCTGACTCGTCTGGAGGGTAGGCAGCCTCCGACGGACTCCAGAGGATGGTGTCCGGTTAAGCGGCAGCATCTCCTCCGTCACCCCGCCGCCGCGATGCATGCTGCCTGCGTTTCGCAAACCCGCCGCGCCTCCAGCACCCTCCCGATCCACATCTCCGTCATCGTTGCAGCCAACACCGGTAGCTTTGACGGAGGGCGGCGCTGCCGCCCGCGCAGCACCATCTCCATCATCGATACCCACGGTGTGCTGACGCCGTACCACGCCATCGTGCGAGCCTGACATGGCACGAGGGGACCGTGTCCGGCCTGACGCGCCCCGCCCAACCATCAAGCCGTCCGGCTCGTCGTCTCCACCGCTTGGCGATTCCAGCAAGCCGGTGTCCTGCGACCGGCTCTGCCGACGAAGGGCCATGCACTGGCCGTAGCGCACCGATGCGCAAGTGTCCGCAGGCATCTCACAGGGCGGCACGAGCAGGAGTGAGCCGCCGCGCCGCCGCTGCGCGGATGATCCCGATCTGTTACGCGGCCGTGACGGCGACGAGGAACGCGAGCCGCCGCCACTGCTGTTCTTGCCACTGCTGCCACTCCTCGCCGCGCTGGACCGTGTTGAGATAAGAGACGGCCGGTGTGAGAGCTTGCCGCCCTCGCCGGCCCCGCCCTCGCCTGGAGATGCCGTGTGCATGTCCCGGGTGAGTCCACCTGGATTGGGGCTGTCCATGTTGGGGCTGTCCGCGCCTGCACCCGCACCCGCACCCGCAGCGCCCGCTGCCGTGCTTGCAGTGATCGAGTACGATGGAGCTAGGCCCTGGGCGCCCTCCCTTGGATTCGAACTGGCGTGCTGAGTCAGTGGCGATGGCACGCTCCCTGCCGGCTGTGAAGAAGGCGGCCTCTGCTGCGTTTGCTGCCGCTTGTCGTTGGGCCCAAACAAGTCCGCCCTGCTGGAGCTTGAAAGCCAGCCCTCAGCGGCGTCTCCAATCTGCAGGAGCGACCAGAGGACCGCGCACAGAAGGGGGCATAGAAGTCGAGAAACGTCACTGGATCGCCGGGAAATTACAGCACGCAACGCACCTGCCGTTACTCGAGTGACTTAGCGTAATCTGTGCTTGTAAAAGCCAAGACCGAAAACTCGAGAGAAGCTCGACAGCACAGTAAAGTCAGTGGCACTCACCTTGCCACGGAGGTCAACCAATTGGGTCTGCAGCCGGTCATGGTCGACGCTCATAATCTCCAACGCCGCGCGTGTGCGGCCGAGCTCCTGGCGCGCCACAGCAGCCGCAGCCGCGGCGCGCCGAGCGCGCTCCTCCTCAGCCGATAGCTCCTAGGCGATTCAAAAGGAAACGCAGCACGCATGCGCCAGCATTGGTGCAACTTGAGTTAATGGAGAGCGGCAATACCGCTATGTCGCTTTACTGTAACTGCACACCGCTTAGCCATGCCATGCAAGGCGGCAAGCTGCCTGACGTCTCCAGCCCTATTGCCTAAGGAGGCCACCCAGCACTCGCGCCGCCCCGTAACATCGCTTGCTGCCGAAACATGCGCATTCGATCCTTCTGTTCATTTTCCCTCTTTCCCCTTCCCTCCTCTCCCAGTGCCGTTTCATTCTCCCCCTGGGCCCTTTCCATGCATGGCCAGGATGGAGTAGTCGCATTGGCCACTCGGGCACTCCCGCTCCGACTTAACTGGCTGAACGGCACCCTATCAAGCATCACGCTAGCAGGATTTCCTCATTGCCACCGCCACCGAGCAGCCGACTCCAAGCGTGTGGCAGAGCACAGCTAGCACGGGCCCCACCTGTTGCGCGATGAGCGCCTTGTTGCGCGCCATGGCCAGCTCCAGCTCCACCCGCGTCGCCCACGTTTTCGCCGCTGCCAGGTCCGCTCGCAGGTTCCCGACCTGCTCCTGCAGTAGTCGCAAATGCCGGGATGGACGGGCCCGAAATGTGGACGCACGCACGTGCGTATGTACGCGAGAATGGACAGTATGAAGGACAGCGGCGCATGTGAGGACTCCGGAGGTGCCGAAGGTGAGATGATGCCTGCTGCACACAGCCGGCCCTAACACCGTGGTCCCAAACCCTGATGGTGTTTCTCCCTCGGCAACAACCCCATACTACATTGATTTCCTCATGGGCCTTGCTGTCGTACCTACAGAGCACAACATGTCGCGCCATGCCAAGACCCGCACCTGGCATGCGCCATTCCATGACTGTACGCACGCAGCCGTGTATCACCTGCCTCCCACAACACCTAACCGAGATGCAAGATGCACCAGCAACTCATCGTCAAGTGAAACGGGCCCCCGCCCTAGTCGCCGTCCGTCACGCTCCCCAGCAGGTCCCTGCTGCTATGGAAGCGGCGGAACTTCCGCAGATGGCAGAACGCGACACAACCCACTCCCGTTCACCCATATTGTATGTGGGACCCTCGTTCTGGGGAGTGGGGCATAGGCAAAACCTACAAAACAAAAGGACTCCTTTCCTCAGCTCGGTCGCTCGGCAACACGCGGCCTCCTACGTGCTCCAGGCTTGCCTGTTGCTTTACAACCTGGGCTTCGTGAAAACCTGGACTCTCATCTACGTCCCCGTACCGGCGGTGACGAGCTGCCTGTAGATGTGTCCACCTCCGACTGGCCGGCCCGTTGCGTCGCGATGAGGCGCTCCAGGCGCAGCTGCGCGGTTGCGGCAACGTGCTCCGCTTGCTCAGCACGCTTCTCCTGCTCCGCACAGCGCTCCTGCAGCTCCTGTAACTGTTTCCGGGCTAACGCCTCCCTGGAGCAAAGACAACATGTCAAGGATAAGGATCAGGTTTCCAAGGACTTTGGAACTGGGAACCAGGGGAGAACCAAAGAAGGCAGTAAAGGATGGAGAAAGATACTACTGCCATTCGCCTGCCAGTACAGCCATGGACAGCCGGATCTGCCGGATCGCATAGTGGTGGGGAAGCGCCAGGGGCCGTGGCTGGCATGCATGCGTGAATGCGTGGTACGTGCACGCAGCGCGCACCGCGGGTAGCATCTTTACCTTTCCTCCATCTCAACCAGTGCAGTCTGCCACGCCGCCACACTCCTTTGCCGCAAGATGAGCTGCTGCTGAAACGCACGAGCAAGAGAATCCGCCTCCTCCGCCCTGCGAACAGCAATTCACGACTGTTCAAATAAACTAAAGCGTTAATCGGACATTGTCGAACAAGTGGGTCGGGGAGCGGCGCACATGGTGAATCCATACACGTGGTTAACCCTGCTCGTGGCTACCTAAAGATTCCGGGGTGGAGATGCTGCGGACCTAGGCGCCCGCCTGGCGCAAGTCTCATCACACGCCCCTCCACCATGTGACGACTCGCATCGGTCGCTGCTGACCCTAGTGGCACAAGGAGGCGGCATCCGAATCCGTTGGGACCCCGAAAACCGTGACACCCAAGGCGGCAAACGTTGCCTTTCGATCGCGGATGGAAGACGATGCTGTGTCCCCATGCTAAGGAAAACCCAAACCGAGTGCCATTTCCTTCATTTTAGGTTTTACCGCGAGGCTGCATGAGAAGCCACCGACAAGTTGTGTGACCCACAAGACAGCCAACTCCACCATTACCCAGTCAATGCCTCGCGCATATACAGGTCACCGCACACACCTCTCCTTCGCAACTTCTGCTTCCTTTCGGGCAGCCGCCAGATCAGCCAGTAGCCGCGATGTCGTCTGGTTGCATGCCTGTACCACGCTAAAAAGCTCCGTGAGGACGTTACTTGGTAGACCCGCGGGCAGACCAGCCGGCGCCACCGAGCTAGCAGCTCCTAGGGACCGGTCGGGTGCCGCTGCATCAGCCGGCTGCACCGCTGCCTCAGACGCCACCTGAACGCTGCCGCCGGGTGTAGGTTGGGCTGCGGGTGCATCAGCCGGTGATCCGGATAGCCCCTCCGCGACTGCACCTGCTGCAGCCTGTTGTCCGGGTCGGGTGGAGTCTTGATGTGGCGCTTGGTAAGCTAATGGCAAGACTGGGCGAGGCTCTGAAACCCCTGCGGTGGCGGCGGCGGCGGCGGCGTTAGCAGCAGGATCGGTGTTGGTCGTGCCGGTGGCATCCATTTGGACGATGGGGGCGGGTCCGAGTGGATCAGCTGCCGGCAAACCCGTCGTCAACAGTGCCGACAATGCCGTCCACAGCTGGCCTTCGGAAGGCGAACCCAAAACGGCTGCTGGTCCTGGCGCCGGTGCTGCAGCTGGTGGTGGACTGGGTGTTTGGCTTAACGCCGAGTCACGCTCCGCCCATGCATGCCGCGGGTAAGGCACGAGCACGTCCTTGGCAGCTCGATCGTCCGTGCCGCTTCCACGGTGCGCGGCTACCTGCGCGTGCTCTTGCCTTGCAGCGTCCGCCATGTTAGAAGAGCTGCCGTCGAAGCGATGGCTCGGTTGATCTGCCACAGAATGTCCTGTTGACAGCGGCTGCGCATGGGTAGCACTTGGCCTGCTTGACGCCGTAGGCAGGTCCTGCGTTGTGGGTAGCTGACGTGGCGGCGCTCGGGCCTCCATGGGCGCTGGCGCCAGGCCACTCAGGCGCGAGAGCCCGGCCAAAACGCGCTGCAGCTCTCGGATGACATCACCAGATGAAAACTCGTAGCTGCTGACCCAGTCGTCACCTGGGTCCTGGAACCGCCCGCTCAAGCCCGCCGAGGCCGGCCAGGCGGCGTCCGGCGGTACGCCCGAAGATGCAGAGCCGATGCCGGGCACGGCTGGCTTGGTGGCGGTGTACGCAGCCCGCAACGCGGTGTAAGGGTTGTCCCCGTATGTGAGGCGCCGCTGTGCTGTGGCTGTGGTCATCTGACCAAGAGAAGCTGTTGCCGTTGTAGGGACTGTAGGGACGTTCGGCCGCCCGGTGTTCGGGAAAGATGGGGAGAGGTTTGCCGAGGGCGTGTAAAGCAGCGGCGAGAGGGTTTCTGAAGGGGTATGGATGAGCGGCGAGAGGGCTACCGAAGGCGCACTGAAGAGTGGCGAGAGGGTTGCTGAGGGCGAAGTTCGCGTCGGCCAGCCGGAAGCGTCGGGTACTGCAGCTGTGTTAAAGGCCTGCCCCGGGGCGATGCCGGCAGGGTATGGCTGCCTCGCGTACACGCTTGGCCCCCGGGCGGCTGCAGCGGGCCTCGAGGAAGGTCCAGGGGATGCAACATGGGGATTTGCGGATAGGACTGGCACGCGCGATCCAGGGGTCATTGCCCGCGTCTCTTGCATGGTGTATGCTGCCGTTGGCCGAGCGGTGTACCGCGTAGCGGCAGGGGTCTTGGACCTTTGTGCAGGCATGCTGCCATGGACGGGGGTTGTCCGGGCCAGAGCCATCTCAGTATAGCTTCGTTGGCGACCGGGGGTGGTAGAGGTGCGCCGTCTCGCGGACGGGACGTAGGCAGACGGGCTCCTTGCGGGCGCAGCAGTACCAGTGGACTGAGGCGAAGGGCCAAAGCGCGCAGAGGCCCCAAATGTGCCAACGGGCGTCGTGCTGGATTCAAACGTGCCCTCCCACCCTAAACCTTTCTCGAGACTCGTAGAGTACTGATTGCTCTCTGGAAGTGACATAAGCTACTGCCTTGAGACTAAGTCCGGTGTTTAAACTAACAAAGTTTGGTTACAGCATTGCAAGAGTCAGCGGGCGGCCTGTGTCGACACAGGCCGCCCGCTGTGGAGTGGACGATGGCAGGGGTTGACCGGCCGAAACCTGAACTTGACCGCGAAGGCGTCGTTTGTTTACGCGCCTGACGAGTTCGCCAGCGAGTAATCTACACAAAATATTCGAAGTGAGGCTCTCGGCAAGCTGTCAAGGTTCGGCTTACAAGGCAAACTTGGGGCTACAAAAAGGAGATGCACAGCTAGGGTCAACATACAAATCAGCGAGGAGCGAAAGCTTACGACGTACTAGCTAGGCGTGAGTCAAGACCTTATACGGCGGATTTCAGGTGCTGGAAGTTGTGCGGCCGTTGACAGGAATCGCGACGAAATGCTGAAGAAAAGTTACCGTCATTCCTCGACGAGCTTACCATCACAAAAATAGGGCGCCTTAGCCAGGCAGTATTTGTGGATTTTAAGGCATCTACCGAATGCAATCTGCTGAATCGCTATGACGAGCTTCGGTCTTATAACTTGCTAGCCTTTACAATCGTGTTTCTAAGCAGTGACTAGGTCCTGCGACGGGGCCCTGCAGTTAAGCCTGCTTCGCGCAGCGGGGCAGAATGTCAATTTATGACTTAATCCAGCGAACAAGTATCATTTTGAAGAAGTGAGCAGTATAATGCTGTAAACGTTTGACGGAAGAGAGCGCAACTCTCAATGACTGGACTCTGCGTAGGTATGAGAAGTATGACGCCCCCATTAAGACAAAAGGCAATAAAACGGATGACCCCTTCATGGAAGAGTATCAAGAGGTGGAAGCTGAGTTGGAGAAGCTGCTCGAGGTAAGGAGGATGCCACACAACACGTCGCGTGTGCACACTGAAGTCCGTGCTGTGTATGCAGGCGGCTAGCGACGTTGCCTGCGAGCAATCCCGGGCGATGATTGCATCGAAGAACGCAGAAATCCGCAGAGCCAAAAACGTCCTACTGACGGAAGCTGTGTCTGCGCTAGAAAAAAGGGTTAAGAAGGGGAGAAACATCAACAAGCAGATCATCGCTGACCGCCAGGAAAAGGTACGCCTTCGGGGTATGCATGCAAGGGGGCTTCACTGTCAGTTGTAGGCGACGAAAGCTGGGGATGCGCCAAGGACCGCCATTTTGCTACCGCGTGTCCGCAAATAAGACCCGGTGTTTGACCGCAGATTAAGGACCTCATCGAGCGGATATATGCTGTTCCCGATGGTATGAGCATGGCTACAAACAGGCGCCCAGCACGGGTAGGTGATTGGATACCCAGCTATCCCGCATCGCTGCAGCAGATGCATCCCTGCCGTAGGTTCTTTCAGCCTAGTTGCCTAGGATCCTGATGTGGGGATAACCGCATGTGCTGGCCCCGCTACCCCTCCCCCCCGGGCGCTGGGAAACGCCCCCTGCTGCCAAGTGGAAATTCCCCGTTTATACCCGTGAACACGTCGCGTGTTGTGAACGCGGGTGCGGCAGATCTGCACTGCGCGTGTGTGGGGACGTCCTAGCGGCCTGGTCATAAGTAGATATGCTCTAACGGCCAAGCCATATGTGGGTATGTCCTGACGCCCTATAGCCATATGCACATTCGCAGGCTTACGTCAAGGGCAAGAAAGGTGCGGCCGTGTACATCAACGGCGGCATGGACTCCAACCCAGCTGCCCAGGATGGCTACTATGCGCACACGGAGGCGACGCAAAAGTTTGAAAAGGTGCGGTTCTGCTTGGGCGACCCTCTTAAAACCGCTTCCGTCATCTCCTAAAGGGGAAATGCATCATCGATTCCCATTTAGGGGATGAGCCAAAGGGGCTGTAATTTGGTTAGTTTCTATGTTTGTTTAGGGGAAGAACTAAAGGGGACAGAAAACCCCTGTTCGTTTGTGAGTAGGAAGGTGGGTTAGGGGATCAATCGCTGAGAGGGTGGCCGTCGATCTGGAGCCGGGTGCCCCTTGACACACGTCAACAATACAAGCAGAAACTACACAAACACGTGTCAGCATCTGCCCACGAAAAACTCAACGAGGCATCTGTTGAGTAGAACTTAAGTGGAACTTAAGCGTAGTAGACGTTTGCTTGGTCTTGGATCTTCCTGCTTTGGGCCTTCTGCGCTACATGCAATCCGCATCGGATCTGGCCTGGGCCTTTGTCCTGGCGGTGTTGATGCACACTACTTGACGCTAGGCTGCAGTCGAAACGGCCTTGTCGCGATGAGAAGCACCCTGCGTCTTCGTGTCTGATCCGTGTTGGATGAAGTCCTTGTGGCTGAAACAGCAAAGCGCATCAAAGCAGTCGGTCCTGACGACGCATAGGTAGGCGTACGTGGGGTCATCGCGGCCATCGGATGGCATTTGGGCCATAACCGCACACTCTGGGTGGCTCTGCATACCCGTCGGCATGATCAAAGCTGTGACTTGAATTGCCCAGTCCCACTAGTCGTTTGCATGTAGGTCTTCCTTCCAGGGCCGGTGTTCGTGATCAACTCTTCGATAAATACTTTGCATCGTGCAGGAGTGGGAGGAGGCCAAGAAAGTGCAAGACGAGAAGCTCAACCAAATTGACCATGCGGTCGAAGAGCTGGGTGACATGGCGCGAAACTACGGTAAGCGCGGGGCGCTGGTGGGGAAGCTTGGGCTGCGGCTACTTGCGTGTCGTGATGTAGCGTGCTGGACGGCTGATCATATGGGTTGTCGGCCTCTGGTCTTTTCCCGGTTACTTCATACTTTTGAGGCCCACCCTGCAGCGCACCAGCGACTGCAGGGCAGGCGCATGGCCTTCATGTTTTCCGACGCGCACTGTCAGGATTACATTGTAAGGCAGCTATCTACTTGGGCACGACCAGGTACTTAGTTTAGAATATCTTAATGAATAACCCTGACGACCCTTCTCGGCGGGCCATCATCGCATTTTCCGGTCCAGCCTGCCGCGTTTGCGGGCGTTGCTTAGCTCGTACAGCACCGTGACCTTTAGAGAAGCTGATTCGTAGCGCACTTAAAATCTACTACTCTCACCCCGGTCACGTCAAGTCCTGTCAGGTTTTTCTCATTTTGCAAACCACCGCTCGTCTGCTCCCCGTCCCTTTGCTGTCGCTCACATTCGCGTCGTGGGGTTGTGGTCTGTTCTCTCCTTCCTAAACTCCTTACCCTCCGCTTCACACCGCTGCGCACCCCGCAGGGACCGAGCTCGATCGGCAAGCGCCCATTATCGATGACATCGAGCAACAGATGGACAAGGTAACCAAGAGCCTTAAGACCAACAATGCCAAGCTCAAGGGCATCGTGTCCAAGATGCGTTCCTCGCGCAACTTTTGTGTCGACATCATTCTTATTACGGTTTTGCTTGCGATCGGTGCCTACATCTATGCCATGTTCATGTAATCGCTGAGTTGTTTTCAAGCAAGCAGCCACGCCCTTCACGAGGTGGATTGCGTCTCGCGGGGCGTTGCAGATTAGGTATATGGCTCGTATCGTGGTTAACTAGCGCGAAACTCGGGGAGTCGGCGTGCGGAAAGGGAGGTGCTATCAAGGAATTGCGCTTGGGAGAGGATGCATGAGGACTTGCACCATGTACAGGTAAATGGGGTGCATAGGGAGATTTGCCAGGCAAGCCCCGTAAAGGGAGGGGAGTAGGCTTAGAGAGTGTAGTCGTATGAGGTCATGTGTGAGCTAAGATTAGGGGGGAGAGGGAAGGTAGCTTAGGTTAACACGGAAATTTATTCCTTGACATGCAATATCGGTACGTTTGACTGAGGTTGTGGTCTTGGCTGTGGTTGCGGTCTGGACCTGTGGCCTATGGTAGCGCGCAACCCGCTGGCTGGTACGATAGTTGGACTGCGTGGTGCTCCCTTTAGCAATGTATTACCTGTTAAAAGCTAATTTTGAACCTGATCCTGAGTGCTAACGTGCTGCATTAGTTGGTGTCGAGTCCTGCACAGGCGCGGTGCCGAAGTCGGCTGTAGATTCCTTGGCTCGGGAGGAGCCTGACTTGCGCTGACTTTAGAGACAGCTCTCTCGGTTGTGCTGAGCCCCGTGTACAGAGATTTTTTAAGCATTTGACTAAACGGTGGCCGGCAAGAAAGCTCGCCAAATCGTGCGTGTCAGAGCAAATGGTGGTTTGGCAGAAAGATAATCACACTTTGCTTTCGGTGATGGCAACCTTTTGTTATCTCAGGAACGGTGAGCTGGGATCTTGGTTGCTTTGGCTGCGTCCGGAACGTGGCCTGTATCTTCCGTGTGTGTGTTGGGGCGTCCCCCTTAGAGCAGCGCAGGTCTTGCTGTGCAGCTGCGCGTTAATATATGTGATAGCGTAAGCGTGGTGCAAAGAACCGAGGGAATATGTATGGCGCTCATTGCGGGTGTTGTGGCGGATGGCCTGGAATTGTGTTCCATGCTAATGACGCCATATTTGGCTTGCTTTGGTTGACGTGAGCACGGGCGATGACCTTACGTTTCTTATGATCTGTCGCGATGTCGTGTGCCCTGTGTGGCTGAGCATCTTGCTGTGGGCTCAGCTCTTTCAACAAAGTTGCGTTGCGCTGGATAAAGGCTGCGGGCCAAAAATTGTCCAGTAGGTGTGCTGATGTATGAACATGGGGTGATGTGCTTTTATTTTCAGATTACTGCGGTGTCTTGGTCTCACGGGAACAGTTGATTGTTTCCCTTGTGTTCAAGGGCCGCAAGGGCGAGCCGGTGACTGCACGGCAGAGGCTCGGAAGTGCAGCAAACCAGAGCAGACATTATGCTGGCTCGAATGGCCGATTTGTGATTATGAGCCGATCGATAAATCTTCAACACGGAGCTGTTACAAACGTAAAAGGCTGCAAATTGCCGGCATAGTACCTATTTCGAAATTGGCAACCTGCGATTTCGTCGGCTCAGGTGTCTTAGTCCACTAGAAGCAAACCGGTCTATTGAGCACCAAAGCGGCCCTATGATTGTGGTTGCACTATTGCCCACCCAAAAGATGCCAAGGTGAATCCCGGAATAGCGAAAGGCGAGGGGGGCAGCGGCTCCGTTCTTTCGTACCGCGTGCGCGTATGTTCCACTTCTTTTCGGAGCTGCGACACCCTCGAAAGCCCGCCTTTGCCCCCCGTGGAGCAGCTTTCATTTCACCGCGCCTTCCGGCCTGGAAACGTACTGTATCTTTAAACGCATTATTCGAGAAAGCGTAACGTTTTCATTGGCATAGTGAAGGGACAACCTGAGCACGCCAACGAGCATTCGACAGTTTTCGGCTCCAATCTGATGCCTAGTCATTAGGTACGTTGGATGTGAGTTTGTATTAACAGAGGCCACTGGAAGGTGGAAGCTGGTGATGAGGGGTAATGTTACTTTACGGGGAGCACACTACCAATTGCGACTCCAAAGGTTTGAGCTCACGAACTCAAGGACGAGACAAGCAAATTTCAGGGCATAAGGGCTAGCAATAAGCATCTATAAGAATCTGGGTTACTTGCCGAATGATCCATGTGAGGACGAAATGTACGCCGCCGGCGCACCCACCACGCAACTTACCTTGCATTTCTCCTTAGACCATGGTAATGCGTTTTGTATTCAAGACATAATAATTTAACATATCCATATCAAGAGGTGTCGTTTTTAAATTTATCCGTACATCAGTTGCGACTTCAAGGAATAGTTACGGAAGCGAGTTTCTGCATGGAAGGCAAACACGTTCCGCAAAGTAGTCCTACCAGAAACAATTAGCAGTACTTAGCAAGGAACATATTGCGTCTAAATTGGGCCTGGTTGACAGACGAATGCTGTCGTTGGCACCTTGGCATCAACATGCATATCTTATGTCTTAAATTGACCAGTCAAAAACATCTGGAAATAATACAATAATTACAACCTAAGTATTCACATTTACTTTTATGCATCAAATGGCGTGGAGCCTTGTCCTACAGTTCGTCCTCCTCCCAGCTCTGGCTATGACACGTGCGTTCCAATTATGAACTTGGATTATTTGCGACTTAATGGTGCTCTGTAACATAAACCTGATGTGCAGGTGCACGCGCTGGTGCTTTGCCGACTGGTAAGGGCATGCAGATCCTTCATAAAAGTTTCAGGCTAGAGATTTAAGACCGTATGGGTTTATGTCAGCGTGTTATTCCACGAGTCCTTGCTGAGAATGGCGTCGGGTGCTTGGTATCCCACCCACGCCCTAATGTTTTAACCCACATCCTTATGTTCAATAAAAATATCATAACATAGTTACATACGTATAATACGGTAGAAATGCTATGATTTTAAGAGGAAGATGCCTATCACTGCATATATTGCGGGCCGCGCGGTGGTTAGTAAGGTGTCAAAGCTCACCTTCAGCGCCGCGTACAACATGGAACGTACGCTTAATGATCTGAGGTGCTAGCTCGTACATGTATGCCCCAAAGATTAAAATTTTCCATTTAGGCTGCTTGGCCACTCTATTTATTCGTACCCATCCGCAGACATCCTGACCTTGGGCACCGCACGATACGTCCTGAAAGCCTTCAACTACAAGGAAGGCGATGGGACCTTTGTGAAGCTTGACAAATCCATGGAGGTGGCCGTTGGCTACGTCTTCGCAGTACCCTTCCCGATATCCGCGGCCTATCCTGCTGTGCCTGTGTGTCTGCCCGGCGGCTGGGACGATATAGGCGCGGCAGCGGCCTGCAGGCAGGCGGGGTTCTCCACCGGTCGCACATTTGCCACGGGCGGCAACACAGGCTACCCGAAAGTCCAGCTGACAGGCACAGTGTCAGTGCGGAACATCACTTGTCCCAACGGCGCAACATCACTGAGTCAGTGTACGGCGACACGACTTCTTAGTGGCGTTTGCAAAGCGCTAGCAGCAGTGGTATGCAAAGGTAGGGCCTCAATTGGTTGTGGCGGTAAGGCCTATGACAGCGGCGACGGCCGAGGGATCAGGACGCGTGCAGGGCCCATCCTCGAATGGGCGTTGCACAACGGAACAAGCCGGAACAGTGTCAGAGCTGTACAACAAGTAATGCATGTAATGTGTTGGCCCTGGGCATTGCGGGCGCTCGAGCCACGCGCTATTCTACATTGCTATTACCAGCATCCCCCATCCATGCTGCATCTAAAGGGTTGGGGCAGTGAGGGGTATGCCTCGGCCCTGTAAGCCTCGGGGCCGTTCCGATGTGCGTGAGAACTGGGCTTTGGAGTTTTTAAGTAGGTAACGGGGACTAGGGACGGTAGGCGATTCGGTTAGTAAGGCACCGTCGCTGTGATGTTGTCCGGCCGTTGACCCTTGGTGGCGCGCCAACACCGGCGGTTTCAATTTTAGCGGTTCACCTAGACTTTATGACGGCAGCGCAGGCAGAATCCAGCTCCATCTTCTGCCTTAGGTTTCCTTGGCTGTGTGGACATATAGGGGGGGATTCCTTCCTCTGTAAATTATTATCTGTATTTAATCTGTATTTTTATATAAAACAAGTATTTTTTACCCAATAGCGAAACACGATCGATACAGGATCCTGTCAGGAGCAATAAAATGATACTAGCAAAATGTATCGCTTAAGTTTTGCTTTGGCCGGCATATCGCAACTTCCCTTGTCGCTGCCTGCGGCCAAGGTTGAGGCGTCAGGTTACAGCGATATATAACTGAGGATGGACAACGCATGTCGGTGTAGGAGTCGCGTGTCGAATTTTAAGGACTGATAGATATCTCCTACCCTTAGCTGCGCTGCCGCATGTTTACTGCATCGTGCCGTTTATTAGCTTAACTTCTCCCCCGACACGCTTTGTAAGCACTCCCAATGCAATCTCCCTGACTCTCCCCCCTCCCCCACTACAACGCCAGGAGCGGTCTGGCTGCCGCCCAAGACACCCAGGCCGCCCAAGCCGCCGCCGCCGCAGCCGCCGCCCTCTCCACCAAGTACGAATGTGCAATGAATGGTGAATGTGATGTACCCTCCGTACAATAATGATCAGCATAACGATATTGCAGCATCAGGTTATCATCCTTTTCGTGTCTAGAGTCCTCCTATGGCGGAGAATGTCATTGTGGTGGATAATGGAGTCATGACAGCTAGGGATGGGTTTGGTTCCAGCGGGATTGATAGTTCAGATAGTGCACTACCCACCCGCAGACGGCACAACGACGCGCCGGGTGCCGATGGACCCCCTAAGCTTCGTATGAGGAGAGGGGACTCCGGCAAGGTCATAAAGGCATGTATGTATATGACTGGTGCATACTCTCTGAAAAAGCTCTGTGCCGTACATGTCGCACCGTCTCACGCTGCAGGACCAACACGGCGGCCACCCCCTCCCCCTCCGCCAACACCCTTACCCCGGCCACGCGCTCTAAGGCCGCCGCCTCCTAAATCGCGTTCATCACCGCCACCTCCACCACCCGAGCGCTCCCTTCCCCCTCCGTACGAGTACGAATCGCCGCCACCACCTCCGGAGAACTCGCCAGAAAACACTCCACCGCCCCAGTACGAGTACGAATCTCCTCCACCGCCTCCGGAAAATACGAATGACAACACTCCACCCACCCAGTACGAGTACGAGTCACCTCCGCCACCTCCGGAGAACAACCTGCCTCCTCCGTACGAGTACGACTCGGCGCCACCACCCCCGAAGCACTATCCCCCGCCTCCGTTCAAGGACAACACACAACCTTCCGGTGTGTCATCTCTTTTGGTTTTGCATTAATTTTGTCAATGCGCGCGTTTGCGTGGCTGTACGGGATGCATGTACGTTAGTCTCACCGTATAAGCCAACCAACCAATCAAGTTCATGTGCGGAGCCGTATAACAAACCCCTCTTTAATTGTACGTCATACTACGTTGAAGCGCTGTTGCAATGCATTCATACCATGTGGTACTAGTCAGTCCATAAAGAAGGGAGACCCAACTTCATGAGGGAGAAAGACATGCGAAGAAGTTAGAAGAGAAGTTAAAAGAGAAAAGGGAAGAGAGAAGAGAAGAGAGTAAAGAAGAGAGGAGAAGAGGGAAAAGAAGAGAGAAAAGGAGAGAGAAGAGAAAATTATGAGTTGTGTCTTCTCAGGTCGTCGGAGGACATTTACACATCTCCCACATCCTGGAAAGTTGCTTGCATTTCGGCCCCTGGCCCCACCGATGAGAACCACCTGGGTCTCATCTTGGTCTTTGCTCGCCCCACTGCTGCTTGGGCTCCCCCTCTCGCAGGCGGAGATGTCCGCCTGATAGGAGGGCTCCAAGTATGGGAGGGTCGAGTGGAGATATTTTTCCGCGGCCAGTGGGGTGTCGTCTGCGGCAGGTGGGTGCTTGGTGGGCAGCTGACTGGGGAGTGAAGAGTTAGGTAGTTGCCGGTTAGGCAAGGGATAGGGTTAATCGTTTTCTGTTGAGTAGTTGCATGGTTGGGTGGTTGGCATGTGCCAGGACGCCACCGGCGCCTGTCACCCTCCTACCCTCCTACTTGCTATGCCCCAGCGATGGAATCTGATGTTTGCGCTACCACAGCCATTGCATTGCGCCACCAATGGGGGGTTGCAGCCCTCGCGATTGGGCTGGGGCGAGCCATGTCACACCGGACTGCTCAGCACTATATCGCACCTGCGGGGCGGCGCCAGTAAAGGCTACTGCACTAAGAAGACCGACTGCGCTTCCGTGTCGACCGCGGTCAGCCTGGGTTGTTGCGGTCCTTTAGGGTCTTAGGATCCACCACCAACTGCGTGTCGCCGTATATTGTCCGCGCCGTACACAAGCCAACGAACCCAGTAGTACAGAGGGGCACGTGTGGTGGTAAAGAAAGTCTGATGCTGGTGCCGATTGCCGCCACTACAGTTATCATCTTTGCTGCTACCGCCACCGCTATTGCTGCAGCTATTGCTGCAGCTACCGCACTTGTTGTCGCGTTGCTTCTAAATCAAGCCTAACCGCCCGCCTCGTCAAACACCCCCGGAATGACTTGATCGCATCCAGGTGGACGTCTGTGGAGGCAGCAATGGTTTGCAGACAGCTCGGATTTAACAGCACCTCGGTTCGCGTGACTCGCTGGACCCCGCCGCCCAATCTGCCCATCTGGCTGAGTGACATCAACTGCTCCAAAATCGATGCCAGAAGTCCGTACAAGGGCCTGGCAGCATGCAACTCCAACGGTATCGGCGTGATCACGTGTCAGGCGGGCTCCGACGTAGCTGGCGTACGTTGCTTCGCTTGAATGTTTCATACGACAGCCCGTCTGGTTTTGGGGCTCGCGTGCATAGCTGCCAGTATTGTAGAATATCTTGGTTGTGATGTAACAGCGCGAAGATTAATTCTCTAGATGTGTGTGTGGTTGTTACAGTGGGCAGCTCCAGACTCACGAAGAGTAGAGCCAGCAATCTCTAGATGATTGTACCTTACAAGTCGTACCGGTACGGGACGATGGTATGGCATGGCAGGGACGGAGATTTGTGACTCAGGGGCTATAGTGTTAATCAGCGTGAAGAAACAACGGAGGAGGCGTGCCTAGTTAAGCTACCTGAAGAACGTAGCTCGTTTTTGGCGGCCCATTTATTCAGTTGAATAATGCTAGCTTGCGTATAGAAATTATATTTCATGTTGTTATTTAAGTCAACAACGGAACTCGATGCTGGCTTCGGCGTGAAGGGCACGAAGTGAACGAAGGCCTGAGCCTATCGAAACCGCGCGGCTACGTGTGCCCCACCATGAAGCCCGCCGAAAGATTCGCCATACATATTCATGCTTGCGTCGGAGCGGGTGCGTGAACAGACATGCAAAGGTGCTTACTTCCTGTCCTGATTGGGTTATTGGCGTTTCTTTGCTACCGCTCATTATTGCGCTCGCCAATGATCGGCCAAAAATTTATAATAGTAGTAGTTGCTTGCTGTTAGTTCTTTCTGAAAAGCTGTAACTCTTAGGTAAAAAATGATTCTTCCTTTATTTCTAACTCTAAAAAGGTAACCTCTTAGGTAAAAAATGATACTGCCGTACAGTCTCTATAGGGAAGAAGGCCAATGATGCCGTACACTCTCTATAGGGAAGAAGGCCAATGATGCCGTACAGTCTCTATAGGGAAGAAGGCCAATGATGCCGTACAGTCTCTATAGGGAAGAAGGCCAATGAACAAGGCCCTCAAGTCGTACGGCCTAAAGGGAAATCTATCCGTCGCTGGCTCTACCTGCTAAGCGGAATCTGCAACAATTTCTTTTAAGTATATGACAGCAAGTTTAAGCATATTGATCTTTCGCCTTGTAGCGTGCTTGATGCTGTGTGGTAAAGCACTGTGTTCCGCGTCTGCGTCCATTTTGCCTGCCAAAAGTGGTGAACCAACTTAATCAAATGCAAATTTACAATGCCATAAAAACGAAAATGTAGGTAGTGCTGTTACGCACTTTTCGGCGGCGGCAAGATTTCGCACGGCATCATCGCACGACCGATCTGCGTCGCTGTTCAGCCAGTATTTAGCCCAGTGCATAAATATCAAATACTGTGTATTACATATGACTTCTTCTTTTCACCATTTGTAGGGTTAGTTTGGCTTTTCCTTCGCCGTTATGGTTGTGATAGACTGATCCTTGAGTCAATACATTCATTAAAGCCTTGGACTGCTAGTGAATATAAAGCTAGTAAATGTTGTCATTGTCGGTACAATCGCGGACGTTCAGCATTGTGGTCCTGCTCGCCATGGCCACGACACACTATGACGACGGGTGATCGCCTTAAGTCCGCGTTAGTTCGCGTTAGTTCGCGTAACGGTGCGAATCTTAGCGTTAGGTGCGAATGAGCATGTTTTTGTAACGCAAAGAGCTAACGCACAACGGCTATGAAAAAGCGGAAATCGGCCCTACTGGCTAAAATTTTTAAATTTTATAATTTTCAGATTGTAAAGGTTCATTTGGAAATAAACTTGCGTCGTTTTGGTCGACTTGAGCAATTCATCCGTGCTTATGTTGAAACACGAAGCATACGCGCATGTGTAGCAAGGCGATACGCATGCGATTCCATATTGCGATTCGTGCGTGTGGGGAGACAATGCGTAAAGCAATACGCGTCCAATCGCACATCAAACGCATACAGTCCGCAAGGCTACTCACATGCGAATACATGTTGCGTTTCATGCGTATGAAGGCTGATTGCGTAAAGCTTAACGCGGCCTAACACACACCAAACGCACACATGTCGCAACGCAATTCGCATGCAAACAAATGGTGCGTTTCAAGCATATATGAAGGCTCGTTGCGTCAAGTTTACTGCAGCCTAACACACCAAACACACACCAAACACACACGATTTACTTTGATTAATCGCATGACATAACAATTCACATGCGATGTTTTATGTGTTGGTCGCATACTCAGTTCGTTAACCTTCACGCAGTCTCATAAGAATATAACATGCTTGGCAGCACTCAGGGGGCTCTTCCGCAAACGAGATCGCATCAGGTGCAGCCTTACATCGCACAACGATTCATCATACCATCAATAGATGCCAGAAAGGCGGCGGGACATATGCCGCATGTGAACACGCACGCAATTAGACCCCCACTGGCTGTGAGGCAGTTGTGGGGACATGCCTGCGAGGCTGAAAGGGCTTCCGGACGCTTAAATCGCATCAGGCACTGTCTTACACCGTGCCAACGATGTATGATGCCATCAACTATTTGCCGAAATGAGGCGGGAAACGCTGCATCCAACACGCGCACAATTAAACCCCTGCCATGAGATGTGTCGGTGGCTGTGAGGCAAGTGGGGACATGCCTGGGAGGCTGAAAGGGCATAAATCGCATCAGGAGCCATCGTACGCCGCAACAACGATGCATCATACCATCAACTAGTTGCCAGAAAGGCGGGGGGGAACACGGCTTGATCAGTCATGCTCGCTAGGCAACCATCATGGGGAAGGGATGTAAGGGTGTCCTCCTCTCGGATGGGTCGAACTACTCCCAGTGGCTCGGCGACTTAGGCGATTTCCTTGCAACATCCAAGTTGAAGACTACATCAACACCCGTCGCCTCCGGGCCGCAACACCCAAGACGCCCTGGAGGAGGACGCACAGGCGCTCGGCTACCTGCATCTGTCCTGTGAACTGCCCATCAAGCAGTTGCTCAGGAATCGCCAGACCACTCTCGCCGCCATGCAGCTCTTACAGCAACAGTTGCATTCTGCATCCCAGGCCCGGCTGAGCCTGTTGGAGCCGCAGAAGCAGCTGAGCATGTACGATGGGAAGACGACCACTGACTTCGTTCAGCAGGCAGAGCAGCTCCGTAGCAATATAATCGTGGCCGGCGGCCAGTGGGACGAGAGCACCACACCATTCTGGCCATGGCCTGCCTCCGCAGTGCACCATCACCATCGAGTTCACGATGTATCAGCCCAACTTAACGACCCCACAGCTCGTGCTCATGCTGCATGAGAAGGAGAACAACCTTAAGACCCAAGCAAGCAAGCAAGACAAGCCTGGTGGGAGCTGTCGGCCCTGGCCGTGCTGCCAGTGGAATCGGCAGCGCCGCCGGTGCTGCAGGCACCGTACGGGCCGGCGACACCTGTCACTACTGCGGACAGCCTGGTCACTACGTTCACGAGTGTCCTGTTAAGCAGGCAGACGAGTCCGTCGGCCTTCACCGCAGCAACACATTCGAGCAGCTGCACGCCGCCAGCAACATCAGTTGAGGCAGCTGCAACCGCCACCGTGACGGTGGCGGCAGGGGCACTGGCAGCGGCAATGGCGGTAACAGCAGGGCTGACGGAGCACGTGAATGTGGCCGTGCTCGATGTGGCAACAGCCAACACAACGGTGGCGACACTGCATGCGGCAGCAGTGGCAGCAGCTCGGGCAGCAGCCGAAGCAGCTCACACCAGAGCCGTGCCCCAGTGCTGGTCATCGACCACAGTGGAAGCAGCTCACGAGTCACCCTCGACTCAGGCTCACCATACCATCTCACGGGTGACCACTCCCTGCTGCACAACCATGTCCCCGCCGGCATGCCACGGCTAATCGGGTGGGGCAACATGTCGTGGGAACAGCTCGGGCCCACCCTGACGTCTGTCGACCTCGTGAGAGGTCGACAGACCTCATGACACGCAGCTACTCGGTCACGTTCAGCATGGACAAGACGGGCTGCTGGTTCTCATGCATCAGCCTCCTGCACAACAGCCCGTCTATAACCGCATGGAGTGAGCGTGGGCACTATGCATGGACGTGGACCTGCAGGCGCCGACCGACATCACCGTCAATGTCCTCAGCACCACGGGTGACAGAGCGGGCGGGGGCCAGGCCGCAGGTAGCAGCGCTGGCGGAAGTGCCGCCACCATCACCAGCACCCGTGGCGGCAGCACCGCCGGCAGCCACACCGGTGGAGGCCAACCGAACGGCGACAGCAACGGCAAAGGGCAACCAGGCAACAGCAGCCCCGGGGCCACTGAATGCTCAGTCGCCGAACTTGTGGCAGCACAGCGCCTGCACTGCCAGTACGGTCACCTCAGTTACCATGTGCTGAAGCAGCTGATCAGCAAGCGGAGGAGGCCGTCTGTGAGGCCTGTGTCACCGTGAAGGCCACCGCAACCGCCCACCCCAGCCGCGGCAACCGGCCGTAGCACGCACTGGAGGTCGTACACTCTGACCTGTGCGGGCCCATGCCGACCATGGGCCGAGGGGGCGCACGCTACTTGCTGACGCTGCTGGATGGTGCCACCGGTTTGTCCGCCGTCCGCATGCTGGCCAGCATGAGCCAATGGGCAAAGTGCAGCAGGACATGGTGACACAGCTGGAGGCCCGCCACCCGAACCACGCACGGGTGCACACGCTGCACAGCGACAACGGCGGTGAGTACGTCGCCAAGCAACTGGAGCAGTGGCTGCGCCAGCACGGCACCGCACACACCCACTCGGCGCCGTACAACCCAGAGCAGAACGGAGCGGTGGAGCGACTCAACCACACACTCTTCACCGTGTGCGGGTGATGCTGCATGACACAGCACTCCCGGTCAGCTACTGGCTGGAGGCTGCACTCTACACCAACCTCCTGCGCAATGTGGCCCCCTCTCAGGGCCAGGAGGCCACACCGAGGAAGCTTATCACGGCATCCCCCCCGACGTCAGCCACCTGCACACCTTCGGCTGCCTGGCCTACATCCGCATCCCAGCCAACCAGCAGGACAAACTCAGTCCTCGTGCAAAGGCGGGAACCTACCGCTGACAGGAGCACGGCATGGCCACCCACCGCGTCCTCGTCGAGGGCAAGGTGACCGTGAGCAGCGACATCACCTTCGATGACGACTGCCACGACCCGGTTCACAACAGGCGGGCACCCTCTTCGGCACTAGCCCCGCATGCCCCGGCAGCAGGGACACTATCGGCGGCTCTACACCGCCCGCCATGCTGCCGACTCCAGCGGCTACCCCAACCCCGGCGACCCCAACAACACCCCTTCCATCGCAACACCCGCAGTCAACGGCTGTCCCTGCACATGCCGCAGACCCGGTCAGTGACGGCCTGCCAACCCGACAGCAGCAGCAGTGGCGGCGGCGGAGAGTCGGGAAGTCCACCGCTGCTCGGGTGGTAGCGCTGACAGTGCTAAGTCTAACATGCCCGACGGCAGCGGCGGTGGTGGAGGCAACAGTGCGGTACACACTGCCAACGACATGCTGGTGACGGCGGACAACCTGCAACCTGCCCAGTTTAAATGGGGGGGACTAACGGCTCACCTCGACTGTAATCACAAATTTAGATGCTTAATTCACCATACTGATATTCTCCTTACACTTCGTCAATTGCTTATACTTTACTGTTGCAACAACTAGCAATGTGTGGGCAATTTGCACTGTACGACCAATGCAAGAAAACAAACTGTTTCAATCATTGGAAAAGGCACACAGCCCAAATGCTTGCTAATGCCAGCCGATCAAAACTTTCGCCTAAAGTTTTCCAAGAACAAGGGGCAGGAGAGAGGGGAAAGGCGGGGAAGTGGGGCGGCAGCCCCACGACCCCGCACATCCCCCCCAAGACCACCTGGCCACCGACAGGCAATCATGATAGGGATGAGCGGGAGCCAACGGAAACATTTAAAAGCATGATTCCCTATTGAAGTTGTCCAAACGTTGTTCACTGTACTGGATACCTCATGAGACTGTCTGCGGCCTGTGGGTTGATGGCTTACATGGCCGGCAACTGCCAGACAAATAGCTAGCTAGAGTCAAGAGCATGTTGTACGCGTCGTGGGTGTGTGTCACATGGGGTTTGGTTCGTGCGTACCGACTGTATGCCGTGCGTATGCCCTTTTTACCCCCTTACATTAACACGTTGTCCTCTCTTCGCAGATAAACGCCCTTTGTAAGCCCACTCTTAGATTTTCATTTGTGCTTGGTGACCGAAAGGCCGAATTCTTCGCCTGGAAAAAATTGCCTGGGATGTGTTCTGGTAATCCTGGGATGCGTTGGGAAGATCCTGAGCCTGAGCCTTGGTTTGACCGAGGCGTCTGTTAGGGTAGGAACCCTGAAACAGTGTCATTCCTTAATCAGGAAGCACTTATAGATCTCAAGGTATTCCTAGTCTGTTCATAGATCAGCCTTAGTCGAGTTACGTCTTAATCGCTTTGCGATGTAGCTCTGTAACGCAATAACGCGCTACAACATCTGGCCCCCTTCTTTAGACGCCTGCGTCTAGGCGGCGCGCAGTCCAATAGGCATCAATAAGAGATCTATCGGGGAAAGCAGGCTCTCCAATCCAACTGTTATTCTCATGTCCATGACCAACCCATCTCACGAGATATCGTGTCAGAGTTCGGTTTCGGAGCTTTCGTTGATCATGATCTAGAATAGGTGTCCACACAGGTGTCCACACAGAGGTAGAACCTTCAAAGGGTTGCAAAGGGGGTCTAATCCCCCAATCCAGGGGGTGGGTACTGGTCAGCCATCCTACCATCCTGGCAGGGGCAACCCTCTTCCATCCCCCATCTTAAGGGCCGATGCTAATCCCGTCCCTCCAACAGGGTTCCCATCCTCATCCTGCAGCTGTGTCCCCAATCCTCGTCCTGCCAGCCAGGGTCCCATCCCCAATCCCTTCGACCAGGGTCCTTGGTCAAGGTTTCAATCTTGCCGTGGCCCCTAAACCCAATCCTGACGTCGTCACCCTACCCCCCATCCCGCCTGACCAGTACCTGCCCCCAATCCGCAATCTGTGCAACCCGCTGGAACCTTCAGCATCAATTTCCACTGTAGGTCGAGGTGGTTGTACAGTGCCATCAGATCGATAAGGTCGTAACAACGATACATAGAACACGACATGGAAACGATATTCCTCTGGAAGAACCAATCTAGCAGCAGCAGGATTGATCATCCTCTCAACCGTGAAAGGTCCAATCCATTTAGGCATCAGCTTCTTCGAACCTTTCTGAAGGGTCAAATTCTTCGTACTGAGTAAGACTTATTGTCCTTCAGTATACGACACATCACGCCGTCTTTTATTCGCAAATTCAGCAGGTCCAAGAATGTCCAAGGTATATCTCCGACCGTGAAGGTTACTGGTCACAGTAGTTTCTCAGCATGTCTCCAAGGACGTGATTGACTCGTTCTGTCTGACCATCAACCTGGTGGTGGAAAGCAGAACTCATTGCCTGCTTCACCTCTAGCCTCTTCATGAGCGAGGTCCAGAAAGCACACCTAAACTTGGTGTCCCGATCTAAGACGATGGTGCCTGGTAAACCATGAAGCCGGACCACTGTGTATCATCAGTCTCTTCTGCGACTACATCTTTCTTGCACCATCTTAGTCAGTCGATCTGCAAACACCACAAGGGAGTTGTAACCTTTTCTAGTCGAGGGCAATCCGAGTACAAAGTTTATTGAAGAGCTCCGAGAACTGAAGCAGGTGCCGTTCCGTTGAGAATGCCGGTGGTACGTGCCTCCTGCTAAGGGTGTTTCTTGTTTTGAAAGCTTTAAAAATTGCTGAACCGCAGTGGAAGACTGGGCAGAACCCTGAGAACTTCAGTAGATACTACGATTAGGGTGTATTTCCAGTGCGGATTAAGGCCAGGGATTAGCGTTAATCCCTGTGCTAATCCCAGCAGTGGAAATCCCACCGGGATTAAGCAGGATTCGCCGGGGGATTAAGGAATTCCTCAGGACACCGTGTTCTTTATTCAGAGGACTAGCAGAAGTTAGCAAGAGATTAGGAAAGAACATAAATTGAACTTGATGTCCATGTATTTACCTGGAAACTCGTGACAAAAAAGTTATTACCTGGCCCCACCCAGGTAGCAACTTTCCGTACCTGGATTAGCGTTCATGGCGTTGTATCTTACTTTAGTTTCTAGGTAATTCCATGTGGATGACCTCAAGTAAGCAATATCTGATTCGGTTTGCGCGAAAGGTGCTACTTCAATGTCAGGCCTCAACGGTGGCCACAACGGCGAGAAGAGTGCGCTTCTTGCCCATATTTTATACTCATACGATGCCTAATGCCCAAATCAATTCAGAACTGGTAATATTAGCTTCGAGATCGCATCAAAATATGTGCATCGCCCTTTGTACGGCCTTAATCCCCGCGCTAATCCCAGGCCTTAATAATTGCCAGGGATTAGCCGGGGATTAGCCGGGAATAGCGGGACCTTAATCCCTGGCCTTAATCCGCACTGGAAATACACCCTTATACTACGAGAACTGCCGGGGCACGCAGAGGCACGCCCCCACCACTTGTGGCCATGCTGGCCGCTTTACAGGAATCATCCGAGAGGCGTTAACCAGTACAGCGAATCCGCAGAATATAGACCCGAGCGCCTGAAATTGGAAGCGCTGATCAATGCTTTCAATGAGGTTTCGTTGATTCGGTACTGATTTAATTAATATATGCTTCTAAGTTAGCAATTAACTAAGATTGATATTTAATTGCCATTGTTGAGCTGTTCGGGTTTCAGATTTTCAAATCTGTGACCGATGTAATCTAAATACGTTGCTGCAAAAGCTTTTGTAACATTTTTGGCATACTTCTGCAAGGTAAGAAGGATATTATTTTAGCTACTTCGTGTGTTAGGGAGTTAGTAGAGCTGCGATACATGAAGCTGTTGTCGACACTGGTAAGATCACTGTAGTTGGTACAAAAATGCCACTAAGCGAATAATAAGCGGGTAAGTGGGACACTATATTGGCTCCGTTCCACGAGTGTGATGAAAATGCGTAATTGCAGAATGGGTGCCGGGTTCAACGTAACCATAGAGCACAATTTAGCAGATCGGTGATTTATTCATCGTGTAAATGGCAGTATGGAATTAAGGGAAAACAGAACCCAACAAGGGATACCTCAACATGCACACATGCGTACACTGCCTACAGTGTAATTGCCTACATGCCCATCTGAATATTCACATTAATGTACCTATAGAACAGGATATCTCCCACGGCCTGGATGCGGTCGATGATGTCGCGTTTGATAATGATGGAGCCCGTATACATGCCATTGGGAAGGTTGGTGTGGATCCATGGCAGGTCTGTGATGGATTGCACTTGTTTGTTGGAAGCCTCCTGCTAATGAACCCGCCAGACTTCATCATCCTTGTCAATGTTCAGGGTGATAAATGGGTCCGTTTAGGATGAAATAGGCCCATTTGAGACCCGGGTCTTGTTTGTGGATTGTGCACGGTATGCTTTGTTAAATTCTGTGGGAAGTGTGGGACTTGCGGGAAGTGGGGGAAGTGGGGGAAATGTATGGCTATACATTCCCCGCACCATCCATGTAACTAGGAGGGAACATGTGGTATGGGATATCATGCTTGGAGATTAAATCTAAAGTGTAAACTGGCAGGAATGCGGGGTGCCTTACTGGGTTCATACCTGACTTGCATGCACCGAAGCACAGGCTTTGGTTATTGATGTGTGGGACAAGGGGGGCATATCTTTTCCCGCGGCCGCTAAACAGCGGAACCCTGCCTTCCCCGATACTTTGGGGCACCCTCAACTAGTCACCCTAGTCAACTTCTCTATGGTTCCCTCGAGTTCCAAACCCACCACCGGCATCTAACGGAATCTGACGGATCGATGGCAGCACAACTCCGTTCCGTTCTCATTTCACAAGTCGTCTTTCCCAGATCACTACTATCCATCGACTAAGGGCGCTCCACCCTCCACCAATCGGAGGAATATCCGACCTTGTTAGGTCTCTATTCCGGGATCTCCCGGGGCATTGGTGCATGCTTTACCAGTAGTGCCTGACCTGCTGGTTGTTATCTGCAGCCCACTCGAGCATCTGGGGCAAGCAAGCGAAAGCGCCGTCCGTATGCCAGTAGAACATCTGTGGGAATGGACGCAATGTCAGTAAAAAACGAACCGTGCAAAAGTGTTCATGCAGATGGTATGTTCATACAGCACGCCATCTGCATGAGGGTAATCACCTTATATATTACCGAACCCGTGCAAGCATAGCCTAGTACTAGTTTGTACGAACCTCGGTAATCGTTTGAGCGGATATGCAGGTGCAAATGTATAAGGCATGTGAGCTTTGACTTACAGAAAGGTCGCGCGCATTGCCGTCCTCATTCAGCATGGTGATGGCGAAGACCGTGTACCCGGCGGCATCTTGGGACTTGGGCTGCACCAGGATGTGCATGGCGTAGCGTTTGGTATATTAATATATCATAGTTGAAGATCAGTTGCAAGTTGTCGACCATGCGTTGTTACAAGTTGCATGTGTGAGTTGCTGCAACGTGTGCGTTAGTGTTGAGACTTGCTGCATGACGGCTAGGCACGGCTCCTAGGATTTGTTATTGTAAAAGTACGGATGTGTGAACAACGGTGTAATGGTCCCATGACGTCAAGTGCAGGAAATGAATTTATTCGACGAATTCATCTAGCTGGTGTCAGTCCTCAGATGAAGATGACGAGGAGGTTGCGGAAGGGCGGATTGCGTGATGCGAATAAAAAACGTGCATTTCACCATGGAAGCAAGTAAAAACGGCCTTGATGATGGCAGATTACTTGCCTCAAGTGCCTCGGACCAATCGAAGACATTTACCCCGCGTGACCCGTTACCGTAAATGATACCCGTGACGTTAATTGGACGTCTGGACAAGTACGACATTTTTCAAGACAGCCTGTAATACGAACCAAACCAGAAATAAGATCGTCACTCAGCCCATGACAGCTCGAGTTTCCAGAGTTCGTTGGCAAGGAAAATTTGCTCGTTCCACGACTGCAGCGCTACCTCAGTATTTCCCCGTCCACCATGGCCCCACCGCCGCCTGCTTACGGTGGTGCCACTGGTGGTGCGACCGGGGGCATCAGCAACGGGAGCGGCGGCGGCGGCGGTGGCGCACTGACACCTCCTTGGTGTGAGCCAGAGGCCCTGCTGCAAAGTCTTTTTAACTTCCCTCACGCGCCGGCCAGCAGCCAGCAGTCGGTGTCCCACGTCGAGGCGCTGTGTGACCTGCTGCGGCGATTCCTCACCCGGCAGGTGTGTAGGCGTTACACATAGATTACATATACTGGTTCCTACTGGTGGTTGCGCTGCCGGTCTTGCATATATTAAAACAATCGCCTCCCACGCGCACCTGATCGGAGATTCGCGAGCGGCCCGAATGCAAATCCCGGATGGCGCACACAATCATTAAGTGATCTTGCGAGCTGACCAGGAATGGAGTTGGGCCGCCGTCGATCCGGCAGATTCTGTTGGATGCCGGTGGGTGCGGAACCTATGCGATTCATTGAGAAGTTGACTAGGTTACAATTTACAAGTGCCGCACGAGTGCGGGGGGCCTGTGAAAGCCTGAGGGGAGTCCATGGGCTATATATACAAATTACAAATTACAAGTTCCGCACACAAGTGCGGGTGTGTCCGTAAAAGCCGGGGGGGCCATGGACGTTGTATTGGTATTGATGCGGGTACGCGGGAGGTCATCTTCATTCTCCCTCGTCCGCTTCAGGGCGAAGCGCCTCAGCGCGACGTGCCTGGCCTCCCAAATTTCCGAGAGGTACCTGGCCAATGCCAGGGGTGGCGCCTCAGTCAAAATGGTGCGCATGCTGCGTCCCGTAAGGACTAGGTCACCATCATACTTAGCCCGTATGCTCTTGTAAGCGGGACATTCTTCGAAAACATGCAACTCATCTTCAACCGCTCCACAGTCACAAAGCCTGCAGGTACGCGCGGCGCGCACACGCCCATTAGGCCTATTAACCTCTAACTCCCAACAGCCTAACCGAAAACGCATGAGCACATGATGAAGTCGCTGGGGCATGGTCCCTTTAGTGTGCTCCAACCAATCGAGACGCGCACCCCTAGACGGGGCAGCTCCCATCCAGTTCATATAGCGACACGCCTTGGCTCCGGTAATTCCTATGGGGAAGACGCGGGGGTCACCCAAGGTATTCGGGCACTCCCACCGTGCATCAAGCCGCTTGGCAAATACCTTAAGAATGCTCTCAACTGGCAATTAAAGAGTGGTGTAGTACGATATAAGATCATTACCGCGCGTATTAGTGGGGGTTCCATCCCTAAGCTAGTAAGAAAGGCTAGTACCTTGCTTGCCCAACACTCAGTGACGCCCCCAAGTGCCAACTCCAGGTCAGCGACAAATGCCCGGTGACACAGTGTTCCCGGCCTCTTAACCACAGAGTTCCAAAACCTAAGTACAAGATTGGTCCAATGGAACTGGAGTGGCCTCTGTGACAGCTCGCGATATAGGGAAACCATAGTCGGGCTCCTCGCCCCAACTACGGTTCGCATGCAAGCACGCTGTTCCTGGACCATGGGATTAGCCATAGCACCTTCAAAATTCACATTAATGAAGTCAGGTCCCCAAACTTGCGCTCCATAAGAAAACACCAGTACAACTAGTGTATTGTAGAGAGGCATACATAGCTTGGGGGTGGTAATTCTCTTATCACGACACAGGGTGCTGAGCCCAAACGTGGCCCGCCTCACTGCTGTGAGTAGTTGCTTGGTACATGCTGAGAACTGCACTCCTGGGCCATAGTGCAACCCGAGATACCGTGCCGTCTCGTTGCCGGTCAGCACCCGCAACCCCGCCCCACCTAACCGGTACGCAGCTTCAATAAGCCGCTTCCGCTCACGAGTAGCACCCCCAAAAATGAGGACCTCGCACTTAGCGGCATTCGCGGCCATACCCGTCGCTTTGCAGTAGGCTTCGAGTAGCCCCAGAAGGCATTCAGCTCTATCGTGCCCTGTCGCTACCAGTGACACATCGTCAACGAAAAGTAGGTTAGTGAGTTCACCGCCCGCCAGGCTAACACTCTGCTCACGAAGAGTGCTCCATCGGCTAGGGAGGCACACACGGCAATTAGCATCGTGAGCATCAATATAATGAGCGAATACTTCTATGAAGAGTCCAAAAAGGGTTACGCTAAGGGGGCACCCTTGCTTAACATCACGCCCCACCGTGAATTCAGGTCCCAACTTACTTCCTAACTTGACCCGAAACTTCACGTCAGCATAGCTAGCCTTTAAAGAATCGAGGATGCGCCCGTGTAGCCCATACGACATATATATATATATATATATATATATATATTTCCATATATATACATATATATATTTCCATATATATACATATATACATGTATATACATGTATACATATATACATATATACATATATACATATATACATATATACAATATATATATATATATATATATATATATATATATATATTGAAAGATGATTCCACCGTACAACTGACGGCGGTTGGGGTCCTGCCAACTAGACCCCGCCTCATGCATATACACAAATGTGTCACCAAACCAAACAAAATATTGGCAATATAAAATATAAGGCATCTCGCGACCAAAGCGCAATGTTCTTGCGAAGGGGCCATGCTCACTATTTTTGACTGCATAAACGTGTCCAAAATCCTGGGAAACGCAGGGTTTCGCAGGGTAGCTGAAGATATACCCCCCTGTTCCACACATCATACATACATACATTATCACATCCTAGGCCAATCCAGCAGCGTGGCGACCTGGAGTGATCATGATCATGGGTCATGGGTCATGTCTTGATCATTCCCGACTGCGACACGTCCGGGTCCACACTAGCCAGGTGAATGTAGCATCCTCATGCCTCAATCCCTTCCGTGTTCCTTTCTAACGTCCCATGTATGCGCCTCTAGAAGGCCTTATGGCTCAATGCCACATGCATTCATGTGCACGATCTGAAACCATGGACGCCGTGCACCCGTCCCTGCCGCTTGATGTACACCAAACAATGTATTCCCGTACACGCTGGCTCACACAGAAGGGTGGTGGCAACGCCAACACCAAACAGCACCAGCAGGAGGGCAGGTCTTCGGCCGCCGATCCTGCCGGCCTCGTAACCGATGAGGTCGATGTTTGGAATGGCTTCCCAGCCGACGGGTTGTCCGCTTTAAGTGCTGCCGCAAGTGCCTTGTACGGCAGCGAGTGCCCTGTACGGCAGCTCACGTGGTTCCCGGACTACGGTTGTGCGCTGCTGGGTATTGGCTCGGACCCGGACCTGTTAACGTCGGCGCCGGATGGCGGGGTTATAATGTCCCGGCCTGGTGAGGTGGTGCTGCACCTGGTTGCTCTGGATGGCTGGAGCTTCCACGTGCACTGGTGAGATCGCAGATAGCTGGTGTGGGATGGTGATGAGCTAGAGCAAGTAGCAGGGTCTGCGTCAAGTGCCATCTATCGTAGCGTGGCAGGGTGCCCGATAACAGGACTACCGCGGGATGGTCTGGCAGGACATGAATAATCGAGAGGACTGGTAAAGAAAGCTGGTGTGAGATAGTGAGCTAGAACCAGCATTGGCCCCATGGCAAAAGAGCCGGAAGTAGTGCAGCGGTGTTCCATTTGCCAGCATGTACAATTTCCGCCGGTAGAAGTCCTTTGCTTTGATACGCACACGTGATATCCTGGGTGGTGTGGCACCTCCTGCGAGCGCTCGTGAATGCTTGCGTGAGGTTGGCTTCCTGACCAGCTCCAGGTAAGAGATCCCGATGAAGTGGTGAGGAGCACTGAAGTAAATAAGATGTAGCGTACGGTGTGGAGCAAGGCGGCTGGGGTAAGATTACAGCGGCCGTTACAAGGTGTGTCTGGGCGCGCCCAGCGTTCAGCGTGACCAATGCAACACGGCCTACACAGTACGACATTGCCTCCAAAGACACGCTTCCGTCCGATTTGTGTCCATCTGTCCGTCGTCCTGTCGTCCTGCCACCCACCCCTCAATACACCCAGCGGTTCCCAACACACGGCCCGGTGCAGTAGCCACGTCAGCCTCGTCTGTGGTGCCATCAAAGCCGAAGAGTACGGCAGGGTGGTCAGTGCCGTACACGCTCCGGTGCAGCGCAGCTCCCAAAGTAATCCGCATCGGCACACTCCCGCCTTCATACACGCATCGGTGTGTAGCGCACTGGCTGGCGTCAGCGCTACGACGAAGATGCTTCACGGCGCTCATTCTCGCGGCGGCTTCACGGACGTGGCCCTATCTTCTGGGGACATCAACTATGAAACGTGCTGGCCGCTTGTCAAGGCAGTCCTGCAGGTATGTACTCCCGCGCGACGATTGATGCCAGGTTCATTCCGCATTCTCAAACGGGTGCTGTGCCGGAGCCCCATAATGGGTGATTTAACCTCCCCGTGCAGATATCGTATGTCTCTATGCCTCGAGAGTTCGGTGGCCTCCGCTCTTTCCCTTCATCCTCATCTTCCTTGAGCTCTTTCTTCCGCTAATTCATCAGCACACATATGGAAACGCTGTGAGGATACGCATCTTCGGGCGCTGTACGACGAGGTCGTACGGTGTATCTTCTGGCTGCAATTATATTTCCAGCCTGTTTGCATCCAAGATACGTTTTGCCATTCGCTCCATATCTACGAGACCGCCGTCCTGTGCGCCTCGCTTTGTTCCCTGGTAAGACGTTTCCTTCACTCGTAAACAAGACACTCGATTCTCGCCCCTCTCCTGCTGCCTGTATATAGTTCATCCTGGAGAAGCAGTACGGCGCTGTTGCTGCCAGAGGTCGCAGTCCTTGCATCCAGAAGTTGCCGCCACCGCCGCCGCCATCGTCAGCGCCGTCACATCTCCTGCGCCAAGCACTGGCCCGGTTGGATCTCTGGCTGCTGCGCCGCCAGCTTCTCCTCATCAACCCTGACACCGCCACGCCGCTCATGGTGACGGCAGCGATGCGCATGCTGGATGCCGCCACCACCAAGGCGGCGGCACTAGCCGCTGATGGGTACGACATGGCCGCCTTCGAGGCCGCCTGCCGCCATGCACACCAGCAGCTGCGCACCGCCGTCGGGGAACGGGCATGGCGAGCTGCTCGTGCGTCCGAGCTCCCTGGCCCGGAGTCCGCGGACTTCCTGGGTAACTTCCAGCCACCCTCCGGCGTGCTGCCGGCGGCGTTCACACCGCGAGCGGAGGAGCAAGGTCTGGCGGCGGCACGGCAGCGCGCGGAGCGCAACCTGGGCTCGTTGCCGCTGCTGCCCGAGCATGCCAGCTTCTCCCAGATCCTGAAATCCATGTCGGATCCGGGACCCTGGCGGGACCTCAGTAGTGATGTCGCGGCGCAGCTGGTCCTGCGCTCCGTGGAGGGGGTACTGTTCCGCCGGGCCCTGCAGCAGCTCGGTGGCGGCAGCGGTGGTGACGACACCGGCCATGCTCGCCTGGACCTAGGTGAAGGGGAGGTAGCGGCGCTGGAGAATGTTGTGGATGAGTACCGAGCGGCGCTTCAGCGTTTCCTATCGCGCCAGGGCCCGGGGTCGGGTGCGGTAATGGTGGCTGAGCTGCGAAGTCGGGAGGTGCTGGTGGTGTGGGTGGCCTACTGCCTGATTCACGCAGCGGCATGCAGGGCGCATCCGCTGATGGCCAGCCGCGGAGGCACATTCGCGAGCCACGAGGCCCTGCGGCACCTGGTCCTTTCGGACAGATTGGCAGTGGACGCGGCGCTGAGTGTGGCGGCCTATCTGCAGGGATGTCGCCAGAGGGCAGTAGCGGCGGGCGGCAGCAGGCAGGCGGATCTCTTCTCGCTGCGCGACGGCGGGGTGGGTACGATGGCGTTCGCGGAGGACTACGTGGCGGCGTGTCCGGTGCTCCAGGGGATCCTGACGGCGGATCAGGCAGATGCGGCGGAACGTGTAACGGCGCACTGGAAGGAGGTGCAGCGGAAGCAGCAGCTAGCGGCTCAGCTGCGGATTACGCTGGCTAAGCAAGAGATGGAACAGGCGCAACTCAATCGCGAGCTGCAACAGCACAAGGCTAAGCTTGCAGCGCTGGAAGCGGAGCTTAAAGCTTATCACTTTTGGCAGGGCGCCGAGCAACATGCCACCAGGGACAAGGTGGTTTCTGTTCAGTCTGAAGTGTTGGGCGCCGAGTCCAAGCTGCTGGCAATAAATGCGGAAATATGTCGCACACGATGCCAGCTTTCTGAGGCGGAGAAGGCCCCGCCGCCCGTCGTTCAGCCGCTGCCTAGCGATGCTAACCTCGCCCGCCAGTGGCTGTTCTTCCTGCACATGCCACCCCTGCTGCGCCACCTCTCACGCGCCAGCTTCCTGGCCCAACAAATGCTTCTGCCGAGACCCATCAGTGCTGATACCAGCACGGCCATTGCCGTACGGTATCCCACATCGCTCGTACAGCACTACAATACACAGCGGCAGTGCCGGACTTATGCTTCATACCTTCGACAGCCGCGCGACGGCGCTGACGGCCGTGTCATGTTGTGGTCCGAAATGAAGGCTCTGACCAGCGTAGGTCCCAATATGGTGGACGATTGCCGTACACCGTCCGATGGCGTTTGGTACCCAGATTCCCTGGCGCCCCTAATGGCGTGGGCTGGTTCCGGAGCCGTTGCAGATCAGGGCCAAGGCTTTCCGTCGCCCTTCTTCAACCCGTTCGCGGTGCTGGATGAGGGCCTGTTGGAGCTGTACTTCACTGAGAAACTGCCGCAAGGCGCGGAGTCGTTGCAGTGGGCCATGCACGTGCGGTCGTCTGCGAGCGTTACGTCGCCTAGTCGTGGCAACAACGCCATCGCCCAGCAAGGTGTGCGTGTAGCGCTGTAGTGCTGTCCCTAACGGGCCGTGTCTCGCACAGCTTGCTCGCATCAAGCTTGCTTGGTATGTCCTCCCGGCAGGGGCAAGGACTCTGCTCTCAGCGCCCCCTTCCCTAAGCCCAGCTGAGCCCAGGTGCAACTCGCTGCTGTCAAAACCCTCCCAACGTACGTTCCCTCAGCCGCTTTCCACCAAGGGTTGGAAGCAGCCTTCCTTCCCGCTTGGAGGGCAGTTTGAGTCCGGCGGCTCTTTTTGCCTCGCATTTAATCCTTATTTCCTCACGCTGCTTGGGCCCCTTGTCTCCCGCACACGCTTCCAGATACCAAGCCCTCTTGGCTGTCCAAACCTGCCTTCTTGGAGCTCTGCACCCTGCGAGCTTTTCCCCTCCGTCAGCTGCGTCGACTGGCCGCCACCCTGCACGACCACGTCTTGCCGCTCGCCCAGCCCGCTGTACACACGCTTGTACGGCAGCTGCTGTTCCACTTGGGCACCCTGACCGACGATGAACCGCCGCAGCTGCTGTGGCGCCGCGGCTGGGAAGCCGAGTGTGACGTGCTGACTGCACTGTACGGCGATTTGACGGCGCTGGCGGAGGATCTCGAGCAGACGCCACGGGAACACGGCGCGGTGCTGCTGCTGGGGGAGGTGGCGGGGTATCTGGCGGCGTGGTACCCTCCCTGCCGTGATGTGGCGCGACGCTTTGCTGCCATGACAGCGCGAGCTGCGGATGAGTTGGAGCCGCAGGTGGCGGTGGCTGGCAACGGTGGCGGCAGCGCAACTGACGGTTCAGCGATCAGCAACCTGCTCGCCAAGCAATGCCGCTGGCGATGCATGGCGCTGATGTGCTTCTCCGGTGCAGCGGCGGCGGATGCTGCCGCCTCCGCTGCAGCAACGGTGACCGCCGCTCCTCCGCTGCTGACGGAGGCAGACGCTCAGGAGATGATACGGCTAATGGTCCTAATCAACCACGGCCGCGTGTTCCTACACAGCCCGAAGCTTCGCGAGGAGCTGGCGCCGCTGTTTGTCCGGGCGCACAATGTGATTGCGAGTGCAATCGGGCCGCTAATGGAGGCAGTCGTGCGGCGACCAGACATACTGACAGACGCCGTGGCGGCAGTGCTGCAGCAGCGCACGCCGCGGGAGCTGACGTGGCGGCGCCTGGCTGCTACAGGCAGCTTTGAGGCCGTATCGGTCGAGACCTCCGCCACAGCCGGCTGCGGCAGCAGCGACCGGTTGTTCTCCATTAACCTACTCGACGGCACCGTACTGTTCGACGGCTGGCCTCCCGGCAAGTTGCCCAAGGAGGTCACAGAGCACCCGCTGTACCGCCGTACATTTGGCGAGTGGAACTTCGATGTGGCGCTAGCCAGTGATGGCGTCATGCGCGCGTTGAGGCCCGTACAGCAGCGGCTGTACGACTTCGCCGTCAGTGCTGATGGGCAGCGCCTGGCGATCTCCGAAACTGATTTCGAGCTCGGTTCACGGTTGGAGCTGCTGGATGCGGGTCCCAAGGGGGCGTGTGGCGGATGGGGCGCGGAGCTGCCTCTGTCGCTACGCACTCTGCACAGCCACTGGCTTAGCAGGTAGATGGGTGGGTGCAGGAGTGAAGGCGCAGGTGGTGCGGTGGGGTAGCGCATACGGGGTGTGACGGTCTGACGGAGCTTTGGCTGCCGTGCCGGTGGATTAGGGATGGTTTGGAGCGGGGTTCTGTTCTCGTTCAAGATAGAACTGAGAGGAACTGAACTCAAATGGCCGCTGTGGTATCACTCCAGGGAACAGGGCGTCATGGTGCTTCGCCCGCTGGACTTCCAAAAGCACGATGTGCACTTCATCGTCCGGTGCACACCCGCACCGGTGCCGGCGTCTACCCCTCTGGCGCCCGCTGCACCAGATGTCGCGGTGGCGGCAGCCACGTCACCGAGCCACGCCTGCATATACGACTGCCGACGTGTGCCGCCACATTTGCGCCATCGCCACTGGCACAGCCTGTTGGCCAAGCACCGCGCCGAGTTGACTGACAAGCTGGTGCTGCTGGCAGGCGCCATGGTCAAGGACCGTATCCTGGCACGCTTCGAAGACTTGAAGTTCATCCACGCATATCTGGTAGATAGCAGTGACGGTGGTGATACGCCCCGTGGCTTGGGTGGGTCCACGGGTCCATTGCGGCCAGGAGCACCGGAGGTGCTGCCGCCCAAGCCGCCGATATCACCTCCACGGCTGCTGCTACTAGAGCTGCCCCGGTACGGTCTGGAGTTTGAGGTCCGTCCCGCAGAAGGGCAGGTTCTGCCCCGGGACTATGCCGGGTACCGCCTCCGCCAGCGGCAGCTGCTGGTGCAGGCTGCTGAGAAGCCCCGAACGCCGTACGATGCCGTACTGTATACGCTGCTGGAGTTCCAGCAGTACCTGGTTTTGGAGCGAGTGCCCAACGTGACGGGCGCCGTGGTGGGCGCCCGCCGGGAGGATGAACTGGTGCTGGTGCCGGCGGATGGCATGGTCGTACAGGCGGGCGGGGGCAGCGGCACGGGCGGCTTGGCTGCCGGGGGCTGTGTGCGGATAGACGTCAGCCAGAGGGCAGATGTGCACCTGAAGGTGGGTAAGGGCACGGAGCTATGTGGGCCCGATACCTAGGTGGATGTCCTGGTTGAAGTGTACATGTACTGCCCCTACCGGAAGGGCCGCCGCGGGCTGTCGGCGCCACTTGCTGCGAAGCGCCGTTCACAATCACACATGATCGTGCGACGCCAGATACCGCGTTGCCTAGTACATGAACTCCCCTCACTGTTCTGCAGCCTTCCTCGTGTGAGTTGGGGGTTGGGTGTTGAGGGAATGCCGTGGGTTACGGTTCGGGGTGGGGTGGAAAAAGAGGAGGAGGGTAGGAGAGCTTGGAGGGCCTGAGGCTGTTAGTTAATTAAGAGCTAGTTTGGTGAGCTCCCAACCCCCACACACAGGCTCACTGCTACGAGATCCACGGCCGCTTCAAGGACCTGCGAGCCGCGTCCATCCCAGCCCGCCTGCAGCTCGCCGCTCTGTACGCCGCCACCGGCACCCTGCTGCCGGAGCCCCTCAGTCGCTGCACTGGGGGCCAGATGGCCATGGTGCTGCTGCGGCAGTGCTGGGGTAACCGACCACTCGGTAATGCGGACCTAGCACAGTTGCGCAGTGCTGCCCGTCTGGGCGGCTACCTGACTCCCGGACTTAGGCTGCTGGCTCATGAGCTGGAGGTCAGCGCTGGAGAGCTACAGCACCTGCGTGAAGCAGCCGGTTCAGGAGCGGTGTCAGCAGCGCCGCCACAGCCACTGCCAGCTGCGATCTTGGATCCTGACGCGGCCATCAGCTACTGCCAGGCGCTACAGCCGCCGACGCAGAGAGGAGGAAGTTGCGGCGACAGTAGCTTGTGTGGGGGTCCGAATCCGCGTCTGCTGTTGACTCCAGGGGAGGAGGACCGAACCCTGGGTATGCGTCCGTCCACTGTTGCGGTGTTGGAGGAGCCCATGTGGCTGCGGCTGGGCCAATACAAGGCTGTGGAAATCCGGGAACCCTTTCCGGCGGCAGCTGGCTTTGTGGCGAAGGTGGAGACGGCGCTGGTTCAGCTGGTGGAAGTACCCACATTCCAAGAGAACCAGCGGCAGGCGCGGATTCCACCGTACCCTCTGGAGGTGGAGGGCGCTTATGGCGGTGTCGATGAGGGGCTGCGGAAGCGTGGAAAGAGCAGCGCAGGCGTCGCCCGGGGGCCCTCTGGCCCGGCGGTGGCGACTGATGCTTCGGCGGCTTCAGCTAGCTGGACACGTGCTCTGACGCCTCTGGAGGTGGAGATGCATGAGGAGCTGCGGGACAGCTGGGAGGCCCACCACGGGGCCCCGGCATTGGAGGAGCACCAGCTGATGGAGGGGGCTGCTCAGGAGATAGCCCGATGGATGGTGCGTGTGTGCAATGTAATGTAACCAAGTGGGAGGCTTCTGGGCCGCTTTATCTCTTGTTACTTCTACGATTTATCACCTTTTAACACCATCCACCACTATCACACTGTACTACGCCATACGAACTGTAAGTCCAAGGCGGTGGACTCAACCTTCAGGGATCCCGCCTCATTCATTCACCTGAACTTCCGAAGAGACGGAGGGTTCGGCAGTCGCCACTAATCCAGCGTGCGAATCTGGTCAATCAACTGTGAACTCAACTCCACATCTCATCAGCTAGCCATGATCTCGCGCCCCCGGCTAATTCGGGGGCCTCCCCGGGAATCGAACCCAGGACCTTAAACCACTATTGCAAAAGTGTCACCCAGACCAGACCAAAATTCAAGATTTCTGTAAATCTGACCATCCATGTGGGTGTAGGCCGCCATATTAGCAGGAGGCCCAAAAGGAGATGTCGTGGTAAGCCAAACATACCTGGGGGTGCGTTGCGAGAACAGTGCTGAGTACCTCTTGAACTCCCTCCATTCCGCTATCGTGCCCCTTCCCCCGTTCCCGCCTTCACCCACCAAGGCGGAGGTGGCCCAGCGGCGGGAGGCCTCCGAGGCCTTCCTGTTGCGCCACCTGACAACCATTCCGGAGGATGTTGGGCGACACGGCACCAGCTTCCGCCTCATGCAGGCCGCCGGCAGCGCCCCAACCCCGAGCACCCTGGACCTGCTACGGGCGGCCTGGCAGGGCGGCCCACTGCTACGCCAGTTCAACCCCTTCCTGTCGCCGCAGGCGGTGCAGGTGCTGGAAGACGGAGTGCTGCTTTGGGCGCAGCTGTGTGTGCTACAAGACCGACTGAGGAGGCTGGGAAGGCTGGCTGCAGAGGGGCCTGCGTACCGCATCGCGCTCGTACAGGTTGGTTTGTACGGCTTACCGCGTATGTATGTCGGGGACCTTTGCTAAAAGGCAATTCCTGGTTAAATCCTGCTGTGTCGTTACTTTCTCCGCTCTGCCTTCTTCTTCTACCTCCATTCCCCGATACCCCTTTCCACCACCATCACTGCCTAACCCTGTCGTCGGAAGTTGCTGGTGATCGAGATGGCGTTGTCAACGCAGGTAACATTGCACGAGTATGGTTCCGGCTTTGCTTGCGTGGCTACGTTTTCCCTTACTTTCCTGACCACAGCCGGATCCTACTCCGCCCCTTCCCCGGCTGCTAACCGCTACACCCCACGTACCCCCCTTTCCCTGCTATCAGGAGCTGCTGGTACGACGCACCTGGGATGTGGTACGGCACCCTCAGTGGCTCGTGTTCGAGGTGGAGGGGCAACTGCAGATCCGGCCGGCGCAGGCGGCGGTAGCGCAGCAGGTTATGGCCAACCCTGGAGCCATCGCCCAGCTCAACATGGGCGAGGGCAAGACACGTGTCATCCTGCCGCTGTTGGTGCTGCACTGGGCGGATGGATGCAGGGTGGTGAGATGGTCTGTTGGTGACGGTGCACGTGTTTGAATATAATTGTTTATTCATCTACATGTGTGGCTGTATTTCTTGGCGGTTGAAACAGTTGTTCGGCAGTAGTAGTTGACAGTTAGTTACGGGTATCCTTTGTCCTGGACGCCATGTGTTATTATGTCTGCCCGTCCCTTGTATGTGGCGGGTGCCTGATCACCTCTTTGCCGTACACCTTAGTGTACATTTCTTAATCAATCAATTCTGCCTGGTCTTCGAGGTGCTCCGTACCCAGATGGCTGTACACTCGTGCCGGGCCCATCATGCCGTACGTATATCATCTCGTATCGCACCTGCCGTACATGCCGTGCATCAAACTGTTGAAGGCTATACAGCCTCATAAAACACTGCACCTGCACATTCATGCATTCATGCAGGTGCGTTTGAACTTCCTCTCCACGCTGCTTGAGGAGGCTTACTGCCACCTGCATCTGCACCTGTGTGCCGGGGTGCTCGGCCGCAAGCTTTTCACGCTGCACTTCAACCGGGATGTGTCTGTCACGGAGGCGGGAGCCCGGGCTATGACGGCCAGCCTGCTGTACTGCAAACGGGTACGTGTGTACGGCGGTAGGCAGAAGTGTGCTGTCGGTGGTCATGTGAATGCAATACATGTGTGATGTATCGACACACCTTCCTGTCTTAGGAAAGCACCACTTCCCGTAATTGAACTATTTTGTTTATCCAGGCATTATCCCACCTGTACTGTCCATGATCTGCGCGTTGTGTATTTTATGCAAGCTCTGAATACACCGTACCAGTGCCGCCCGCCCCACCCACCCCTCTACCACATACACCCCAGGAGGGAGGTCTGCTGCTAGTGGCTCCTGAGCACCGATTATCACTGCTGCTGAAGCGCCAGGAGATGTGGCAGCAACAGCAATCGAGACCGGACGGCCAAGATGTTGTGGCGACCGCCGTGGCGGCGCTGGACCAGTTGGCTTCGTTGCCGTACTTGGACATCTTGGACGAGAGTGACGAGCTGCTGCACCACAGGTACGGTGTGTCCGCATTAACACGAGTATCGGGTATGACCATACCGCGGGGCAATAATAACCACCATTGCCTCGTGGACGGATAGAAGAGACGCATTTGGTCAGATGCTTGGACCAGCAGGCGCCACCACTCGCCTCCACATGAGCCTCCTAAAGCGAAGGAAGACCATCTTGCCTGTTCTATGACGGCGGGCAGGAGCGCTGCAAGACTGAGAGGGGAGGTGACTATCCCGCCTAACACTGCACCTCGCTCCTGAGGCTTAAGCGTTCTTGTCCGACAGCACCGCCATCACCTGCACCACCCAGCTCATCACCTCCATCGCCTGCACAGCCTAGCCCAGCACCACCATCGCCTGCATCGCCCAGCCCTGTGCCGCCATCGCCTGCGCAGCCCCCCCTCCCCAACGCAATTTACCCCCCCGCCATTGCAGGCTGCAGCTTGTCTATGCATGTGGAGCCCAAATCGACCTGCCCCACATCCAGGAGCGGGCTATCGCCATGCAGGCCCTGTTGGCCGTCGGTTCGCGCCTTGCGGTGGCGGAGAACAGCGGCGACCAGCCAATGGCATCCCACAGCCAGCAGCCCCAGCCATTACTGCTGCTGCCCGGCTCAGCGGTGCTGGAGCCTCCTCTCCACCGCTGCCCGGGGTCATTCAGTGGATTGCGTTTGTTGCCGGGGGACGCTCTCACCGCGTCACTGCCTGGGTGGCACCGCCGGCTGGCGGAGGCGCTGATGGTCGAGCCGCCTTACGAGCTGAGGTGGCTCCAACACCATCCCCTACGGGTACGAAGTGCGAGTGCAAACAGTGAAGATCTCGGTACTGGTGGTGCAGGACGGGGCCGCATCAATCCTCATACGCAGAGCCAAGGCCGTTATACGTGGGGGCGCGTGATGTCGTACGCCGGTCATGACTTCGCGCTGTGCATGTTCTTCGCACAGCCCGTCCCACTGCATCTAATTAATGAGTACGTTGCGCAGGGGCACATCCTGAAAGCCGCATTCCAAAACGCACTGCCCGTTAACATAGCTCATCTCCTCGGTTTGATTCGCGCGCGTGTATGTGTGTGTATGTGTGTATGTGTATTATCCGTGTCATTTTCTTGTTCCATTTGTTTGCAGGTCCGCATCCTGAACTCCCTCACTGAGGAGGGCCAGTCGTGTGAGGCGCTGCTGGGTCCGGATGCGGAGGGTCCCTCCCGGGAGCAGTTGACTGGATCCCAGGTGGCTGTGGTGCTGGCGCTGAGGGGGCTGCTGGCGGGCGGCCTGATGCAGCACTGCCTGCAGAAGAGGCACAGAGTGGAGTACGGAGTAAACAGGTAGTAAGGGTGGGCGGGTTTGAGGGGGATGGGGAGGAGTTAGGGTTGGGTTCATTTCTATATACCTTCGAGCCCTTAGTCCGTTGCGGTGGGTAGCAGCCTATGCAATACTCCTTTGGTTGCGCGCCGTCGCAAACCATACACCCTAAACTCCTCACTGATCAGGCAACCCGGGAGCCGCAAGCGAATGGCGGTGCCGTACCGTGCCGCTCACACACCCTCCGAGCGCAGCGAGTTTGCACAGCCGGACGTGGCGCTCCTGCTTACTAATTTGTCGTACTATTATGACGGGCTATCGCGGCACGAGCTCCGGGAGGCTCTGGTCACACTTCTGGGTATGGGCCTCAACGTGCAGCGGGACTTTTACGAGGGCTGGCTGCGGTTGGGACGAGGCGAGATACCCGCAGGTGAGCGTGGAGGGTCTTTGACTTCCTGCTGTCTGGGGCGGTTGGGCCTCTCCGTACCACCTACTTGTGCCTGCTATGGCGCGAATATACTGCATGTGCCTGGTCCGCTGCCCCCTGCACTTGCTTATACCTTATATTTGCTTATAACATCTCTGCTCGGCCCCCGGACTTGTCCAGCAGCATAGCACACATAATATTTTGCCATAATCCGGCCCCCATCCCCGTATCGTCCCTCCTCCTATGCACACAATGCTATAACTAGTGTGTTTTCGTGAAATGTAATAAGCTCGTATAGCTCAGTCGGTTAGAGCGGTGGTCTTATGCTTCGAGCAAGCCGCAGGACCGGGGTTCGAGCCCCCGTACGAGTATCCGTGCAGTTGTAATGAAAGAGATGCGTGACTTCCTCAGATGTGCGGGGGATTCCTGCAATTCGTTTTGGCAATAGATAACGAATGAGTATGCATCCACTAGTGACTAAGTTGCATATTAGCCATGCTATTGATGTCATGAAGTGATTTTGCAGACCTGGAAAATGCGGGGGGATCTGTTGCCGGAAACCTATGCTGTCGACCCATACACCAACCCACGCAACTCTTTCACACGCGCATGCAGAGGACCTGGCCAAATTCGACTGTGTGGCCAAGGTTGACGTCACCAACGAACCGCAACTGGATCTCATGTACGGCTATCTGCGGTACAACACCGGGCTAATCGACTTCTGGCTCAACCACTGCGTCTTCCCCTCGGAGAGCCGTCAGTTCCCGCAGCGCCTGGCTGCTAGCGCCTGGAACCTTGCGGATACCTACTGCAGGGACGGCATTAGCAGCGGCGGCCCTTGCAGCGGTGGCGATGGCAGTGGCCAGCAGAGGGTGGATGCCCGGGTGGCTGTGGTTGGCTTCTCCGGCACCAATGACAACCACCGGCTGCTGCCGCTGCAAGTGCACCAAGCCCGACCGGAGAACCCCTCGCTGCGGGCCACCAACGGCAAGATGCTGGACGTCATCCTCAGCAATACGCTGGGCTACACAACGCTGCATACGGGCACCACACCGCAGCAGGGGCAGGGGCAGGTAGCCGCCTTGCGACTACAACAACGGGAGAACCAGCCGGTGCGTGTGCCGCTACATGCAGGGAGTAATGGCATGGTTACGGTGATGATCAATTTGTTCTGGAAAGCTTCTGTCACTTAATCAGTATCACATGAAAGGCCAGCGCTGCACGTGCGTTGGCCTCTTTTTAGTGTCCTTGATTTGGGCCAACTGCTGCTGCTTTAGTAGTAGTTTCCCGCTGGGGTTCTGGATATCCATACGGCCATAGCCCTGTCCCCGCGTTCACCCAGAGACCGGCACAGGGGCAGGGTCCACATGTAACCGAGTTAATGTGTTCGACTGGGGACATGGCATGCATGCAGCCTTAAGATAGCTTCCCCCTCGGCTCGCAGGTCAACATGGACGGGACTGCTGCTGCTGCTGGCGGCGCTGGTGGCGGCGGTGGTCATTGTGATGCAGCTGGTGCGGGTGCTGCCCAGGGCTGCTGCCCTGACGAGCGGCCGCAGTGGCAGGTGCTTCTCGACACGGCACTGGATGAGGGGGTGGACGCCCTGCTGGACTGCGGGGCGCTGCTGGCAGGGGCGAGCAACAGGTGCGATGTGCGTGTATGTGTTTGCACGTGTGTGTGCATGTGTGTGTGTGCATGTGTGTGCACGCGTGTTTGTGTGCGCGTGTGTGTGCGCGTGTGTGTGTGCGTTACGTGTGTTGGTGTGCGTGAGTGTGTGCATGCATGTGAACCCGTGTGTACATCTGTGTGTGTGAGCAAAAGAATAACAAGGTGGAAAAAGCACATATTCCTTCATTTCCTCCTCGCCTTGCTGTTGCTGGTTGTCGGTTGTCATTATTGACCGATATAGCGACCTATTGGAGCGGTGGTTGCTCTGCTCAACTGACACCTGTAGCCAACAGTAGAACTACTATGCACCCACCTTCCAGGAATTGGATGACCCTCCACTGCCAGCTGGTACCAGGATGGAATCGATTGCATACAGTTTGCACGCAGCAAGCGAGCATGATTCTTCCTTCCTACCCCTAGCTGCCGCCAACTCCGAAACCAATCGTTCAACCTACCGCCAATGATTCGTGCCCTCAAATCCAGGGATGCCGCCGATTACCTGCTGGCCCGCCTGGACGGGCACCGTTACCAGGGCGTGACGTACTTCGACGAGGCCCTGCGCAGCTGGACCGTGTGCGACCTGAGGGGCCGCCGACTGCCGCGCCACGCCTCAGCCATCATGGAGCGGCAGACGCTGGTCATTTACGACGATGCACGGTGCCGCGGAGCTGACCTGCAGCTGCGACCGGGTGCAGTCGGGCTCTTGACTCTTGGGCCCAGCGTGTGTAAGGACAAGCTGATGCAGGCGGCAGGGAGGCTGAGACAGCTAGGTCGTGGCCAGCGACTGCACTTCGCCGCCGCGCCGGATGTGACGGCCAAGATCAGGCGGCTTAGCGGCTTGCCGGCAGCAGAACCAGGTACATCTTCTACGGGTGCTGACACCGGGAACAGTACTGTTTCCGATAGCCGCCTGCGTGGGGGTCAGCAGCAGCCAACGACGGCACTGCAAGTACTTCGCTGGGTGATGGCCAATACCGTTACGGCGACACTGCACGGTGTAATGCAGTGGTCGACACACGGACTGCACTTTGCTGCCACCAAGGATGCGCCAGAGCGGGCCCTGCACGACGAGGTCCTGGAGCTGGGGCCGCTGTACGGCGGTAGCAAGGCGCCACAGCCGGTGGGGGAGGTGGTGGCATCCAAGGTGAGGCAGCGGTTGCATCATTGCCGCGATGGCAGTGGTGGCGGTGATGGCAGTGGCGGCCTGTCGGCCCATGCGGCTGGTCTAATGATGCGTATTAGGGATCAAGCGGCTCTTTACGGCAGGGGCCACATGGTCGCGGCCGGTGGCGGCGCGGCGGCCGCAGGCGACGAGGAATGCGAGCGGGAGCTTGAGGAGGAGAGGGAGAGGGAGAAGGAGAGAGAAGTTGAGGTGCCACGCGTGTCGCCGGCAGCGGAGTGCGACTGGAATTACGGCACTGCGTTTGCAGCGGCATCACCTGCGCAGCTTGACAGTGATGCACGGCTTGTTGCGCTCCGCGATGCGGTTTCGGGGCTGCTATGGCCGAGCAGTCTGGCTTCGCTCTCCTGGTCTGCAGAAGTCCTCTGCACCGCCAACTTCCTGTGTACCACCACCGCGAGAACACGCGCGGCAATCACAACATCTCGCTGTGGAAAAGAAGAAGCGCTGAACGAGTACCTGCGCCCTGTGGACGCGGTCCTGCTGTTCCCCAGCGGTCAGATGGTGCTGGTTTCGGAGCGCGAGGCGGACCAGCTGCAGGGCCTGGTGTGGGCGTCGTGGCATGTAAGCGTCGTTACTAGCGGCAGTGGTGGCGTCGGTGGTGGCGGCAGTATTGCCGTGCCGCTGCTGGCCAGCCTCTGCTACATGCGCGACGCATTTGCTCGCGGCACCGGACAGGGGCCCCTGCCGTTGCTGGCGGTGCCCTTGAGGGCTGGTGGCGGCAGCGGCATGGCCATGACGGCGGTGGTGCCAGCACGGGTGCCACCGGTGGCGGCTACTGCCATAAGGCCCCTGCAAGTCCACTGGCAGCAGCACCACCAGCAGCAGTTGTGCAATGGGTGGCTGTCGGCTGTGGGCCCATCAGCGTTGGTTTCGGTGCAGTTGTTTAACGGGAATGCGAGTGGGTACGGCAGCGGCGCACAGCAGCGGGAGCTGAGGTCGCTTGTACGGCGGCGGCAGGTGGAGGTCGAGGCGCTGGTGAGGATGCGAGGGAAGGCGTCCCTGCTGCCACGGAGCGAGCTAGAGAGGGCGTGTGACGATTGGATGGACAACACGCTGGCCCAGTTGCCTGAACGTAGCCGCCGGTGCCAGCATTCAGTACCTGTATCTACACCCAAAACCCATTCACGCAAGCGCCAGTTGGAACCAGAGGACGAGGATGACTATTGAGAGTGAGGATAGCAGCCACCCATGAGGAGGACGAGGATGATGAGGGTGAAGTGGAGGAGAGTGAATCGGATGGGTCGGAGGAGGACTTGGAGGAGAAGGTGGGGGATTGAAGTGCAGGCGTCCACCGCCACGTGCTCAGCACCCTAGTGGTAACAGGCCTTTGGTGGAGCGGTCTGGTAATGGGCTGCCAATGAAGGTAAAGCCTTCTACCTCCGCGGCCGCTGTACAGCAAATTGACACTACTGGCGTGTATGGCCTGTGTGTGGCAGGAACAGCAGAGGCAGGTGTGAAAAAGAATGCAGCAGCAGGGGCCCCGGCCAAGAACGCAAATCGCTGTGCCAGCCGTCGCTACTGTAGTGTAGCTCCTTAACTGCTGCTGCTGCTGCTGCTGGTGTGGGATGTGACTTCAGACTTTAGTGGGAATGATTAGCAGCAGACTATATTACTAGGCTGATATGCATGTACATTCTTGTGCTAGTATCCTAGGACCTGCTGGCTTGCCATTTTGAACTACTATACTTGGTGTTCTTTGACACGCTGCAGCTGCTGCTGGCGGGTGGCAAGTAAGGATAAGTAGTGACAGATAAATAGAGCTAGCTGCAAGGATGTGCAGGCCTGGTTACACGGGTGATGGTGATGTGCACACCCTTGTCCTTAAGGACACTGTCATGGGATGTCGTGCACAACGGTGTGCATATGCAGGGTAGCAGTTGACATGTCGTTGAACATTGATGAATCACAGAGAGACTGAATAGTTGTAGTTGTGATTGATGCTATGGTTGGGAGATGAACACCTCGACTGCTGTTTAGCCTGGGTGGTAGGCAGTGTTGATTTCTAGATAGATCGAGGTGGTGACCTGACTGGGTGCCAGGGGTGACATATGTGCGCATATGGCCTAGATGGGTTAGATTGCTGAAACTACATGTTTACCTTGATATCAAAACAACCACTCTGATCACCATCCACTTAGCCTACCTGACCATTTACCCAGCTGACCATTTACCGATCGCGAACTGACTAATTAACGTGTGTTGAGCGATCGTTATTCGGTCGGTTCGGTTAACGAACTGCAGTAGTGTTCAAAACGGTCGGTACCGACGTGTTTATGCCATGGGGAAGGGATGCTATAGCAACAATCACGTACTGCGCCCGAACAAGTACAGACCAGCAAATGCCCAAGGACGGACAAAGACCCGGCAAGACCTACCTCCATGCGTACATACATATGCTACCTGCATACGTGGCCTGGATAATCCTGATCCTAAACAATCAAAAAGACGACACACTGATCTTTAATCCCTGGCCCAACAGCCAAGACTTCTGAGGAGATAGAACTTCGACCACAAGTTGCCAACATCCCAGGCTCTCTTAATTAATGCAGTGCGATGGTAGGACAGCAGAAACTACTGTCGTACAGTGCTGTGCTGATGTGGGTACTCCAGTGCACGCACGTACGGTGTGGGCTCGCGTAGTAGCTGGTACATAGTACGGCACACATATCATCTACGAGTACACGCTAAGGTGCTCCACCAGCATTTTGAGAGGCCTTTTCAGCGGCCAGCTGCTACAGCTGGAGAGAGCATTTTGAGTGGTCACTGATGGGGCTGGTCAGGCGGATATCCGGATCGAACCGGTCACTGTCCACAAGCTCGCTCCTCTGCTCCAAAGTGAAAGAGGACTTCGGCCATGTTAACCTCTTTAGTGTAGCTGGGCAGATAACCCATATAACACGCATCTCTTAGAGGAAGTAGGTGCATGAAAGGCGACACACAGCATAGGCTGTGTAGTAATACTACTACTACTACTACTACACAACCATCAGGGAGCGTTACTACTATAGTAGTACTACTATAATAGTAACGCTCCCTGATGGCCAGTGTCTCACAACTTGCAATCCCGATGTGCGGATTACACATCCAAGCTCGCCCTCTCTACTCGCTCTTGATGACATGTGCTTGAAGTTAAGGGGCCCTATCTTGGCTTCATTGCTTGCTAGCTGTGAAACTCGCTTGTGGTGTCCGGGGAATACGATGTATATACATGGAGGAGATGACTGGCCTTAAGGCTAAGGCTGTGCGAGGTTTGCCTAAAGGGATGGATAGCTAAATGTGGCAGAGCACCATGTGTGCCATTGCCATCCGGTAACAGCAAACAGCACGACTGGAAGACTGGTGTGTGTTGCACCAAAGGTATTGCTGGTGTGTCTATGTAATGTAACCAAGTGGGAGGCTTCTGGGCCGCTTTATCTCTTGTTACTTCTACGATTTATCACCTTTTAGCACCATCCACCACTACCACACTGTACTTCGCCATACGAACTGTAAGTCCAAGGCGGCGGATCCAGCCTTCAGGGACCCCTCCTCATCCAGTCACCCGAACGTCCGAAGAGACGGAGGGTTCGGCAATCACCACCAATCTAGCGTGCGAATCTGGTCCGTCAACTGCGACCTCAACTCCACATCTCAGCAGCTAGCCATAATCTCGCGCTCCCGACTAATTCGGTCTATGTAGTATCCTGGCAAGCTTAACATGTATCCAAGAACAGGGGAAATAGAGCAGAGAGGCTTACTTTATGGGATTGGTGGAGGTTTAGAACTAGACCTGGGGAGCATGTACATATTGGGGAACCCTCGAGATAACCTCGAGATAACCAATGATCATATGGGTACCGCTTGCCGGACCGCCATAACCAGCTCCTGGTCAGGCCATAACCAGCACCTCATCCACTTCACACCAACAGCATTTTGCATTTTTATAATCCACACAGACAAACTCTATTTTCCGATGGGCAACTTGATTTTATCGTCAAGAGTGGACAAGCTCCATCATGCCGCAACCTGGTCTACAGCCTTTTTCCCAGCTCTAGTAATATTAGGGCTTGGTATAGCTCTCATCATCGTCATGTAGTTATCATGAAGTTGCTCACAATGGCGGGCGGGCGGCGGGAGGCTGGTGCTGCAGGCAGGGAGCTGCCCCCAGCCAGTGGTGGCACCAATGCCATCCCTGCCCTGAGCCCTGGCAGCGGCTGAGTATACAGAGCTGTTGCCGCTGCTGGCTGGGGCAGCTCCCTGCCTGCAGCACCGACCACTGGTTGGGGCACAGGGTTCTTCACCAGGGTACCCAAAAATTTCGGTCGGACCCAAAACCCTCTTGAGTAACCTATCGGGACCCTCCCCGAAAGTTTCCCTGTCAGCCTGACAGTTTTTATGGGCACCCCGAAATTGTCTGAAGCAGTTTGGGGGCCAAAGTTTAGCTGGATCTATCGTAATATGCTAGGACAGCTGAAGTAACAGGTGTTTGACTTTATTTTGGAACGTGGCATCTGGGAGCAATCGTTCAGGCAAGGATTTTACCCAAAACCAAGGAGGCGCCGCTCCTCATCCACCTCTGCAGCAAGCGCCTCCACCACACCTGCCACATCATCATCATCGTCCGTCTCCTCAGACGGGTACAAATCATCACTTGCCACACTCTCGACCTCCTCGTTATCAGAAGGGTAGTAGGCCTCTTGGCATTTTGTTGGCAAACTTACCTCGCCTTTTCAACCTTTGGTTCCCTTATGGAACAAAACTATGTGGTAAGCTCGTACCAAGGACTTCCGTGCCCTAATCCCTGGTATTAATCCGCACTGGAACTGCACCCTTAGTGTTAAACACAGCAACGCGCCGGACCCCCGGGTCATATTATTGCTGTCACCATTTCATGGTATATGTGCCGGTCACTTTTTAACAGGTAGCCCATAAATCTCACTATGCTGATGAGGAAGCCCTGACATAATCAAGACATGCCATGTATATTTCTGCCAGGGCAAAACCCTTTAGCCAAAGCAGTATCAAATCCTTTCTTGGGAATAACCAGATGAAACAGATTACCGAAAGGAAGCTCAATATTCCAGAGTAAGGGCATTACGACACACGTATCTGTGTTGACGAAAAAGGTCATATCCGACGCGTGCGCGTCAACCTCTGGGAGTTGACGAACGAAAATGGTAACTAAGGTTTCTTTTAACGGAATTAAAAGTTCGCAAGCATGAAAGTACTTTTGTTATGGATGCGCGCAGGAGAAATGCGCAATTATGTCGGAAGTACGGCAACCTTTCGGAACGGTCGACATATATTCTTACAGCATCATTCGATAATACAAGCAATTGAATACCTTTATAATAGATAATTAGATTGCACCGATTGGTGTGACCGAAGCAAGTCGACAGGACGGAGCGATGCGTTCCCAGCTCCAAATTACGTCGAGGCCGTGCCACTCAGGGACAGCGATACAGTTGCATATCCCCCTTAGGCATATCGCTTATCATGTCCGGCGTCCTGCAGTGGTGCGAGTGCACGCGTTCAAAGCGTCCGAGGATACAGCGAACGAGAAGTTGCAGGTTAGCCGGATTTTCCTGGTTGAATTGTGTTGCTTTACATTTGGGTTGGGCAAACAACTGCTGTGAGATATGAATTGGGGCTATCCTATTGCTGCGTTGTTTCTGCCTGCTGCACTCTTTGTGTTACGGTACTTGCTGTCGGCAATAGCCCTTAGAGACATTGAGCTTCTATATTCCACCACTGCGTACTATAGATGCATGTCAATAATAGCGATGATCTGAACCCTTTGTTATCGTGGTCATACCGATGCTTCGATTTCATCGCAGCCGTCTTTACATACGAAAGTGGCTATCATCGGCGGTGGCCCAGCTGGTCACACTGCTGCAATTTATGCGGCGCGTGCTGAGCTCGAGCCCATCGTATTCGAGGTATGGTTGCGCTGCAACACCCTGGGTCTGCGCTGACCGGCTTGCTTCCACTCCCCCGGCATTCACTGCAAACCGATGGATCAACATTGGAATACGAAGATTCTCACTCAACGGATTTGCACTGCGAACGCTTTATGTGGCCCCGGCGACAGGGTTGGATGGCGGGAGGAATTGCTCCTGGAGGTCAGCTCACAACAACAACGTTCGTCGAAAACTTTCCCGGTTTTGTGGAACCCATTATGGGTTATGAGCTGACTGACAAGTTCAGGTAGTACAAATTGCGGAACTATTAACAAGAAAGTGCGGGAGATGAATGTTGCCTAAACGACGACACCGTCTTGATGCGGTTATGTCTGAAGACAGAAACGTGACGCATCGTTCTGAGTTTATCGCAGCTTCTGAGTTTGAATGCAATTTATAACTCTTCCTCGTGGCGTTTTCTTCCCAGGCCATAGCATCTCACGCCGCAGTAGTCCTCATCGATTTTATTGATGTGCAACGACCTGCGTCCCGCCCTTCCTGCATCCAGCAGTTGACGCTTTGGGCGTCGGCTGTTGACCTTTTGCCCCTTCCATGATCGCATGTTTCCCTCCCTGTCTGCCTGCTGTCCTATTTAAGTCGATGACCCGCTGACGTCCTGCAGGCAGCACAGCGCTCGCTACGGTACTCGTATCTTAACCGAAACCATTACCGACATCGACCTGCTTGTCCATGACACAAAGCCGCCAGGGCTGTACCGCGGTACGGCAGGCCTGACCATTGGTGACACTGATTTGGGCGCTCCGAAACCGCTATCCCATATGGAAGAAATCGAACGGCCACGGCGGCCCTTCAAGCTGTGGACACCAGAACGCTGTATTACAGCGGACACTGTCATCATCGCCACCGGTGTGTGTTTCAGTTCGTGGGTGCGGGAAGGAGAGGGAGGGAAAGTGGGAGGAAGGGGAAGGGAGGGAGAGTGGGAAGAAGGGGAAGGGAGGGAGAGTGGGAGAGGGAGGAAGGGAGAGAAAGTGGGAGGAAGGGGAAGGGAGGGAAAGTGGGAGGAAGGGGAAGGGAGGGAAAGTGGGAAGAAGGGGAAGGGAGGGAAAGTGGGAGAGGGAGGAAGGGAGGGAAAGTGGGAGGATGGGAGGGAGAGTGGGAGGATGGGAGGGAGAGTGGGAGGAAGGGGAGAGAGGAAGGGAGGGAGAGTGGGAGGAAGGGGAAGGAAAGGAAAGGGAAGGAAAGAGAGAGGTGGTCACGGACTGTGGTGATAAGTCATGAGGGCTGCAGCCTGGCGCATGATTGAGAGAACAGTACGGCCGGGTATGTTTGTGGATAGATGGGTGCGGAGTTAAGCTCGTGGTCAGGGAAGGGCAGTCAAAACTTATACCCCCAAACCAGGTGAACCCCATGCCACCGATTGACCAGACCTGATCTGTCCTTGCATTGGTTCCCCCCTCCCTCTCTGGACAAACTTAGCGTTCCTTCCCTCCCTCACCCCCGTTGTTGGACTTCCATCCAATACATGAACACAACACGGGAATGCTGGCGGGCTGGTCCCGGCTGGGGGCTGAAATGGAAACGAGCAAATGTGCCGGCGACATGGTTGTGGGTGCTGGGGACCCATGGGTCGGTGTATGGGTCGGTGGGTCATTCTCACCCGTCTCCTCCTGTCCGCCCCCAGGTGCCAGTGCCAAGCGACTCCGCTTCCCGGGCAGTGGGGATGAGTCCGAGGGCGGGTTCTGGAACCGGGGCATCAGTGCGTGTGCCATCTGTGACGGCACCTCGCCACTCATACGGTACGGCAGGGTATGTGTGGGGGTATGCGGTACGGGGCACGTTGTCCTCAAGTGAGTCCACCAGTTCACCGGCGTCATGATCTCCGGGGTGTGTGTCTCTGGGTGTGCACATCATCAGCCATACACACATCACGCACGCACGCATTTGTACGACTTAGGGTTTCGAGTCTATATAAAGCGTAGGGATTGTGTGGAGCGCGGCAGAAAAGATGGGGTGGGAATGGTGGGCGGGCGGTTGATTTCTGGCAGGTTGATTTGGCGGAGGTGTGCATGGCGTGATGGTGATGGTGGTGGTGGTGATGGTGATACGTCCTGCAGGATATAACACCGTGTGTTGCTCGTCATCTTGTATGCGATGATGGAGGGGGGTTGCATCAGGGTTTCATGACCAGTGCCACTGCAGTTGTGAATGATGATTGCAGCTGATACCATGACAAGGTGAATTCACTAACCAGAACCAAACCAACCAACCAACCAACACCGTTTGTCACAATTTGTGAAAGCAGATTTCATAACTGACTCATACGTGTGTGTCTGTGGATATGTGCGTGCTGGGTATTCCTACCCTCCCATCATTCCTCCCACCACCACCCCCAATCCCCAATCGCTCCCTACCCCCTCTCTCTCAGCAACAAGCCGGTGGCAGTTGTGGGTGGGGGAGACAGCGCCATGGAGGAGGCCATGTTCCTGACACGGTGCGAGTACCTCTACGGAGGGAGGGAGGGAGGGAGGGGGGGGGGGGAAACTGACTGGCCGATTAAGGACTGACCCCTGGTGTGGTCACACCTGATGCGGTCTACTGCACACCGTCACCTTGCCGCCCTTGTGCTGTCCTCTGCTGTCCTGCTTTGGAAACCCCATGTGTGTGGAGGAAGGCCCTGGTTCCCATGTGTGCTGTGGTGTATGTATGTATGTATGTATGTATGTATGTATGTATGTATGTATGTGTGCCTTGCAGCCACCCGAAGACTACTGACCTCGTCCACCTCTCCGCACAAGCCCGATCAGCACTGCGAGGGGCAGAGGGACAGACAGCCGAATCTTCGACGAAGTAGAGGGCTCTGCCACAAAGCACAGTTCCTAGCTCCCGAAGTTTGTGTGTATGTTTGTATGTATGTATGTTGTATGTACATGTTATTGCAGGTACGCCTCCAAGGTCTACATCGTTCACCGCTTCGACTACCTGGAGGCGTCCAAGGTGTGTGGGTGGTTGTGTGAGGTAGTTGGGAGGTGGTTGAGCGGTGATAGTTTCTAGTGTGGTGGCGGGGTGGTGGGGGTTTGGGTGAGCTGTGGTAGAGCATGTGATTGTGGGTGATGGGTGCAGGGGGCCATCCCAGTCATAGGCTAGAGGCACCAGGTGCCTAATTCTGCTGGGGTGAGGCCAGGTAGCATGTGCTCTACCTGCCATCTGGTAAGCACCAACGGGGGCCTAATCCCTGCCTGGGATTAAGCCCCGTTGGTGCTTACCAGCTAGCAGGGTGCAGCATGGCATGGGGTTTGTGATTTGTGGTTTTGTTTGTTGGTTTGTTGGGTAGATTGATGGATGGATGGATGGATGGATGGATGGATGGATGGATGGATACTTTGATCAATATCTGCTATGTAGTGAGGAGGCGTTTTCATCTCTTGACATTCAAGATTACATGCTCCTCGTATGCTCCAGCGGGGGTTTACTCTCCTCCCCTCCTCTGGTGCGCTGCTTTCTTTATTCCCTCTGAGGGCCACTGCGGGGGTACCGGGGTGCCGTGCTGTGGTGCTGCATCGCATCTTCTGCTGCAGTTGGGGCAGTGTGGGGATGAGAGAGTGCGCTCAGGAGGAGGACACGTAACCCCACATCATCAGGGGAACCACTAACTAATGTGGCTAATTAACTCTGGGGTGTTGGTCTTCGGCCCGCCTTTAACACCCTCTTTCAGCCATGTCTAAATAAATGTACCGTACTTGTTCGCATGTACGGCAATTCCCGTACGCACCTCCCCGCAGTCCATGGCCCGCCGTGCCCTGTCCAACCCCAAGATTGAGATTCTGTGGTGCAGCCAGGTAGTGGAGGCACACGGCAACGATCAGGGCAACTTGGGTGAGGGTGTTGAGCTTGGGCTTGAGGGGGGGTGAGTGGGCTGGGGGAATGGGGGATGTGGGCAGTCATGTGGATGGCAGTATCTCACGCGGCACGGGAACACCGCCGGGGCATCGGGGGGGTTGGAGGGGGGTTGTGGTGGTGGTGGGGGTGGGGGTGGGGCAGGTGGCAGCAGCTGGCACTTGAAAGGGCGTCTTAAGATGATGGCAGGGCGCCTTAGCGCATACGGCATACCGCGTCCTATTTTCGCATTTCTGCTTTCGTTTCAATTTAACTTGAGTACTGACTGAACTGACTTATTTTGGGTACGTAAGTATGTTTGTGTATATGTTGTTGTGTGCTTGCGTGTTGCCTGTTCAGGATCCATCACTGTTGCTCGGTCTCCCATTCCTTCCCCCGGGCACACTCCCGCTGCACTGGGCCTGGCGGGCAGTGCGCCGCCGCAGCCGACGGCGGTATCCCTGGAGCGGTTGGCGGTTGGGGGGCTGTTCTTCGCCATTGGCCACCGCCCCGCTACGGACTTCCTGAAGGGCCAGGTGCGAGTGGTGGTGGCGGTGGTGGTGGTGGTACGGCGTCAGGGGGGGGGGGGGTAGTGAGGGAGAGGAGGAATGAGGAGGGAGGTGGGGGAGCCGTCAGGCCGGTGCTAAGGTGCGGGTGGTGGATGCGATAAAGCGGAGGAGGAGGAGGAGGAGACGGAGTAGAAGTAGGCGGGAGCAGAGCAAGGGAAAAAACACGGGCAGAACACACCACTGGGGCTCCCCCGTCACTAAAGATGTATTGCTCGAGGCGCGTCAAGTCGGACGCGCAGCCGTACTTTGTCGTACAAGAAAGCAGCACATAGTTATATTGTTGCGACCTTGCTGTCGTGACACCAATGTGACCGTTCGTACTTACCGACCACGGTGTTATGTTGCGTTCGTACTCTGTAGCTCGACCTGGACGAGTACGGCTACATCGTGACCGTACCCGGAAGTACGGCAACTAGTGTACCTGGTAAGAGTTTCATGAAAGGGAGTTGGGAGGGGGGAGAAGCTGGCTTGGGGAGTTGGAACTAATGAATGGATGCGGATTCCTAATTAATATATTCCGGAGGGAGTTGTGGGGGATTGGGTTGCGGGGATGGAGTGAACACGCGCTAAAACGCCCCGCGAGACGGCGCCGCCACCGTCGGGGTCGTTTTCACTGTCTAGCTATAATATAGAAAGGCCATCAGCACCACATTGTTGTAACAAGTTGTGATACACATTATATTATATTATATTGTATTATATGATATCATATCATATCATAATCATATGATATGATATGATATGATATGATATGATGTTATATGATGTTATATGATGTTATATGATGTTATAGGTATATCTATATATATTCTAAGCTCAATATCTACACCGGCAGATATACATATGTCCAGAGGAATAAATTGGAGTGGGTGCTCAACGACCGCCTCTTGCTTTTGCTCCCACTTCGCCCACCGCCCCCCCCCCCCC